GCGACAGCCCTTCGGCATCCTGCTTCAGTATGCTATTAAGAAGGATCTCCTCCTCGATTGGAGTGAGATTGCTATTCTGTGGCATATAGTCCTCTCGAGCAGGACTTCCTTTCAATCTCCGAAGCAGCGTTGATTTTGAGACACCGTAGGTTTTTGCAGCAGCATTTACAGATCCTATGTCACCTGATCTGAAAGCTGATATTGCAAGCAGTACACTCCCTTCGTTTGAGCTCTTTTGGACGCGTTTTGATGGTGCCATCGCGTGTTGAAGTTGTTGTTGTTATGGACACGTAATTCGTGGACCACGCCGTGGGGTGGACCGCGCTCTGGTGTTTGACGTTAAGGAGACCGTTGATTACCTAAGGCAGAACTGATGGAGACTCCTGCCCAGATGCCTTTCATAATTTCTAGAATTCGGGCAACACCATCCGTGTACGAAAAACGATCTGCATAACTTGTAAACGACATGATCGACATTTCCCTTTGGTGATCGCGACACTTGACCATGCCATGCCTTGGCATGCAGTGTATGATAAAGAATGAGCGGTTCCGTACAATCTTGGACACCTGGGAATTTCCCGCGAACGTCGAAACCACCAGATGAAGTGAAGAAAGCAGCGTAAGGAGCACCGGGATTCACGACATGCTCGTTCGTAAGTCAACTGCCGCAGCCGCTATCCTTTCGATCCCACTTTCGGAATGGACAGCATTGAATGCATCGGTTGGCGGTCGATTGGCTACCACAACGCCCATGGCACACCCGTGTTTCTCGACTTATTTGAATGGAAACGGAGAGAATTCTCAAGCCCCGACAAGCGCAATCACATGCTCTCAGATCAGGCGCAACACGGCCAACTCGTCTTTCATCGCAGATCAGCCTGGGGGATATATTATGCACAATTTTGGGACCTGTCAAGAAACCAACCACGGCTGCTCAGTGACAACTTCCAGGTGGCTGCTCGGAACAAATCTACCAGGAACATGTTACCAAGGGAGTGTGCCGGACTACTTCATCGACGTTCGCACCGCCGGTGATGTCGCTGCTGGCCTAGCTTTTGCGCAGAAGCATTCCGTGCCCGTCGTTGTCAAAAACACTGGCCATGATTATAAAGGCCGAAGTTCTGCCCCGAATTCGCTGATGTTATGGTGAGCACGAGTACTGACTTTTGGGCAACGTGAGAGGGTGGCCCTGACTCACGGAACGTAACAGGACTCACAATCTTCGACCGCCGGTGCAGTTTAGTCCCGAGTTTCAACCAGACGGCTGTGAGGACTCTACTGGCCCTGTGCTAACCTACGGTGCTGGGCAAGGATTCCTCGGGATCTATGAAGCTGCCCACGCAAATGGCATGATGGCTGTAGGAGGCACATCGCCTACTGTCGGTGCTTCGGGTGGATGGGTCACAGGAGGTGGCCATAGCGCGCTCTCACCGACGCATGGACTCGGCGTCGATAACGTCGTACAAATGAAAGCTGTCTTACCAAATGGTACCTTGATCACCGCCAACCGCTGCCAGAATCAAGATCTATTTTTCGCTCTGCGGGGCGGCGGTGGTGGTACTTTTGGTGTTTTAATGGAGACAACCAGCCGTGTCTATCCGGAAGTACCTCTGCAGCATGTGGTGATCCTCGCGCCAAGCCTCAATGTGATGACCGGCGTCGACAAGCTGGTGGAACTGCTCGTGGACAACACGCCGCGGTGGTCTGCCGACGGCTGGGGTGGATATATGGCGGGTATGGCGGGAGGTGGCTATGGCATCGGCTTCGCTCTTGTTGACATGATCACTCCCAAATTGACCCTGGAAGAGGCGAAGATCTCAATGAAACCCATCTTGGATTATGCGAACTCGTTCTTCTCGCACCTTTCTGTGCCCCTCAAAGTCGAAATCAAGACCGAGCCCAACTACTGGTCTTACTACAACAGCCAGAGCGCGCAAATGCTTTCCAACGTTGGCGTTGGTGGCTCCTCCGCCATGGCCTCACGGCTAATTCCCAAAGAAAGTTTCACCGCTCCCAAGAAAGCCGAACTGATCGCCACCCTCACCGACATTATCAAGAACGCGCCCGTACCGGGAGGTTTTCTCATGGTCCCTCCCGCCCAACACGAGCTTCCCGCAACTGATCAAGCCGGCGGCCCAGGCGAATGTAGCCTGACACCGGCCTGGCGCAATTCGTACTGGCACATGTTATTCCAGAAGTCCTGGAGCCAAGGCGACGAGAAGTACGGCGGAAGCGGAAGCGCTTTGGCTGCGTTCAACGCGACGACAATGTCGGCAAACATGATCCGCGCAATCACACCTGAAGGCGCGTATCAGAACGAGGGCGATACTTTCGAGCCGAACCCGGCGGAGAGTTTCTGGGGTCAACAGAATTATGACCGTCTGTTTCGAATCAAGCGTGAGGTGGATCCGAATAATGTTCTGACGTGTCATCAGTGTATTGGATGGAACCCTGACGATCCGAGATACAGATGTTATCCTCGGTTGTAAGACATCTCGCATGTTGGGGAACTCTCGATTCTAAGAATTTCGATGTGGATTTCCTTTGAGGCCCTTCAGACCGAAGTTATATATATGATGTTTGACCTGAAATTAGCACATACGGCCACAGGCAGCTGAGAACAAGGGATCCCGTCCGCTCTCCCATATTTAAGCAGCTGACCGCGAGATTAGTACTACGGTGGGTGACCACGTGGGAATCCCTCGTGCTGTATGTTTTGCTGTTTGCCCTTCGCCCGAATGAATATATCAAAGTGCAGTGGCAATGAACGCCTTGATTTCGTTATGATGCAAGTTTTGGTAGTCTAGAAGACTAGAAGTGTAGCTACGACAAGTTACAGGTATCGGTCAAATCGGACTGGGCATTCCGACAACTTCAAATGTTGTCCTCCGACCTTGCCTTATTGAAAGCGGGCGGGCATATTGTTTAGCCGTGAAGCTCATTACCTGATGAGTCAATGTGGTGCCCCGTCCGATTTTATCAGTGTTGGTGCACAGCTAGAAATGATTAACCTTTTGCTTGGAGCATAACCATTATGTCCGCACCACCCTAGTCACTTAACACCAAAGTAGCCCCCGGACGATAATGAATGCATTTGCAGGCGGCGGATGAACTTTTATTGAAAGACCATTCTTGTCTAACGGGCATTCTCGACCGCAGCAGCGAACGAGGGTCTCCTGGTCGGATGCCTCTTCTCAACCCCAGGTCACATCCTCTCATTCTATCGGTTTCTTCGCACACGGGCGCTCGCCATCGTCAAGGTCGCCGGAAGGGGCAAATCTGCTCTCATTATTGCCTTCGGCAAGCTCCACATGGTATCTAGTCCATTGAGCATCCACTCGTCCAGGTTTGCGAGTGAAGCTAAGTGAAATGAAACTTTCTTGTTTGTACATGATTGCGAGGCGGTCTCGTGCCATTCTCCTGTTTCCGGGTTGAATCATGGCACTGGTGTTCTCCTGCGCTTGTTTCATGACCAGTGATGCAGCCGCGAATCCGCCTCAGATCAGCCAGGCATCAAGCTCATACGCTTTCGAGAAGACCAGCGCTCTCCGGTTTTCCCACCTGCGCTCCGCGAACGATGGATGTAGAGGCCCGTCATCAGCATCGGCCTGCTAAGTTGCTTGTACATCTCCTATATTGTCGGACGGCGAGATATACCCTTGCTCGAGATTTCGGTCGCGGAGGCATAACAGAGCAATGCCCAAGACTCCTATTTATCTTGGACCACGGACGATAAGTTTGCGTGAAACCCGTCAAATTTCGCGATGATCCGTTTTCAAATTGTGTATGTAAGCTGCTGTGCCGCCCCCGCTCACGATGATCGCCGCCACGGGCTCGGAACTTCCTCTGCTTACCTATATTTGAACAGCTGGTCCCGAGATCAGGCAATCAATCGTTGCAGGGAGGGCGTAGATCAGTGACCGTCATAATACAAAGAATGGTATTGTGGCATTTTGAACCTCAAATTCGGAGGTTGGGCCGGCTTGGTCGCAAGAGGGATCCTTGATCTGTTTTGATTGGTGCTGTACGACCACTACATCTAACAGGATCGTTCTTTCTTCATTCATCCTTTGTCGACATCATCTTTACAACTTCCTATCGTCGGAAAAACTCCAGATTTATCGAGCCTGACGCAGTAACGGTATCTTCCTTTCTCGAATAACTTCGCCTCTAGCAAGGACAACGCGGGCATCATGTTTGCGGTCGTATGTACTGTTCCAACGAGCAAAGAGGTCAGCTTCTTTCAACAAGCAATGTCCGCCCTAATATCACTGCTGAAATAAATTCTTTACAGGTCATGGACCGCTTCATCGAGGAAAATGGCGTCGATGATGAAGTCTGGATGCTCGTCTTTGTAGATTGTCTGGACAACTATTACGACGAGCCATCGATGGTTCCTACAGATGCCGACAGTGACCCAGACTCCCCGTTTCTCAACAAATCGCCCGAGGAATGCTTCAAATTATTACATCAGCTACGGAAAGACACCGAGTCAGAGATTTCTACAGACCTCTTCGCGATCGTGGACGAGAGATCCGCGCAGGACGATACTGTTCTTCTCGTCGTTGCTGGAAGCAACGACGCAATCAGTGAGACCGAGGGTTGGGAGATGAAGACTCTACGCGTGACCTTCCAGGCTTCAGGACAAGCAATGGTTCTGTACATGACCGGACACAGTAGCATGGACGAAGATCGCGAATTGGCTGAGCGCGAGGAGGACGGTGTCTATCGAGGGTTGTGGTCTACACACAGGTGAAGATATTAAATCAATTGCTCCTTTGGCGATTAATCACCGGCTTTACAATACATCGTTCGCTTGCATACACCGACTAGACGCTATCGGTGGTCCCCGCGAGCAGCTTTCCCTCCACACACCAGCCACACTACTCATTTGTCGGCTTCATCTCCATGCCCTCCTGTGGCCTGATCTGCAGTATCTTCATGAGAGGCGCCTTTGTTGCCTTGGCCGTCGTCGTCATCGTCTACATCGTCTTCATCGTTTTGGTCGTCTTCATCGTCTTACCGGACGGTGAGTCCCTGCCGTACTGGAATCTTGACTTTCCCATCCTGGACGTTGTTCTGCCCAATAGGAAGACTGCGTGGAGTCGCTGGATCGAGAAGAGTCTCGTCGTCATCGTCTCCGGCAGAAGAAGGAATGGGAGGGATAGGAGGGATGTCCTCGTCGTCTTGGCGCGCATTGAGGTCACGCGAGTGGTCCCAGTGAATGATCCTTTCGATGCCATTTTCGTCGATCTTGGAGACAGAGCCCTGGTGACTGGTGGGAGCTGCAATTGTGCCAATGACGGTACTAGCGATAGCGATGGTGGCAAAGAGGAACTTCATGTCGAGAGTAGTCTTTATGACGAGAACCGATTTTGATAGTTGCTTGTTGATGCCTTGATGAGATGATTGATGGGAATGATGATGTGGATTATAGATCAAAGGGCGTAGAAGAGGGTCTTATATGCTTTACTTATTTGAAGACTGCGACTCATTACTTTGGTCGGCGGGATGATTAGACGCTGAAAATAAAGATTCAAGCAGCCCGTACCGTCTTTTCTTTCATTGAGCAATCTCGTAACAGTGTCACTCATGCATTCACGATACGTATACAACGCGGCCATACTTGAAAGATATACCGGTTTGGTAGAAAGGCTGATGTTGAGATCGACAATTCCGTAGGTTGGCCAGACAATCGTGCGGATGGAATCGCGGTACAAGACGTAAGTAGATTGCAATGCAGAAAGGTCGTTTACCAAACTGATCCAGCATGGACGATATCTCGTTAGTGGAATACTGTACGTTGCACGTGTCCACTAGTCCCCGCTTTGTTAACCCCAATCCACCTGCAATCATCTGATCTTAGAATTTGAACGCTTCGCATGATTTATTTTACGTACGATGAAAGTAATGTTATTGGTGCAGAATCGCCGTTCATGAGAGAGAGGATCTTTATGAAGCTGATCCAAGGACGCACGGAAGATGCTGCAGAGCGCTTCCCAAACTTGCTACCGAGTGAGAGTAGAATTAGGGCGGTCTTGAGGTCGCTTTTTTGCTCAGATTCAGTGATAGCATCGGCGCAGCCACCCAATCGAGAGCGGCTCTCCCAGGTGAGCCCCCAATCCACTAAGAAAGAGTTGCCATTTTCCCCATTTATGCGCTTGACAGACCATGTTGGCTCTTGTCGTGTCGGATCATTACAGTCACACGCGTCGTCACCCAGGATTGTTGTCCGGCGTCCACACATCAAACTGTTATCCTCACGATCGACAGGTTGATTCGATTCTGCGCGTTAATTGCTTAATCGACCTAATGTCTACGGAATTTCTACTACGAAAGCATGATGAGTCCGCAGATCGGAGCAGAGAGCACTCGCCCTGCTCTTGGCTTGCTCGTCTGAACGAACGAAGCCCGCATCTACGAGTTCCGAAAGGGATAGCCTGGCTGTCTCCGGGATCCTCATGATCAAGGTGCAACACGACCGATTAATCTCTCCTGGCCTGCCCTTCACAGGCTTTAACAATCACGACGATGTCACAGCGCTAGTACCCTTCGTTTTTGCCCGAGTCTATCACAGTTCACTCCAATGTTTAGCCGGGTATAACAGTAAGGCAATCTTGACCACGCAGTAGGACCTCCGAGAGCAAAATGAAAGGCGCACCGCTCGCTTATATCGTTCCACATTGTCCTGAACCTTGCCATCACGGACCCTCGCTCCAAGTCCTGAACGTCCCGAATGTCCCTGCGGCTTGCGGGTAATGGCCACATGCTGCGAACCCTGGTTTCCTTAGCTGCTGATGTCCTCCAATGACATGGATTCAGATTCGGACTTTCCCACGGCATTTTATGCCCTTTAACCTATTCCGTCACGCTACTTCTCGCTCCATAGCAATCGTTAAACATTTAGTGGTTCTAGCCTGCAAATTACATTTCCTGCTACGAAGAGCCTCCCAAGTCGGTAAACCTAAAGGACGATGGTGCCGTTCGTGTCATCATTCATCCAATATTGTGATTGGAGCATGTTTCACATACACCAGGTCCTTGGAGGAAAAACAGCACATCCAATCGACGAAAACTTCACACAAGCAAATTTACGTGACATTTGATATCGGGCTGACGTGATCTTCCTTTTGTTAAGGTGACCTTTGTCCTTCAGTGAATGTTGCTATACGCCGATTTCTACATCCCTTCCACGTACAGAGGCGGTCTGAAATTGTATGTGACGAGGTGCAGACTAAATGGAGACGCTTTCTCGCGCGCAGCAGAAAAGACTCCGGGGCGCCAGAAGTTAGCATCTCCCACCGATGAATGTGATAGACATGACCTCAATATGCTGCGCGCAATTATCAGATCATCTTCAGCCCATCTCTATTCGATCTACATTTCATAACAAGATTGCCATAAAGCAACATCACGCACAGCGCTCGCATTGGGTGTCAGCATCCGCCACGGGAACGACACATTTAATATTCTTCTACTACTTTGTGGCATTCTCGTTCTTGCAATTTTCGCATGGTATTTGCGCCAGCTTCCCCTGCCCTCCTGCCATACGCGCGCTAGCGTACCGGCACCTTTGCACGGCTCGTGCAGCAGCCTCGAACTGTTGCTCAGTGCGGCTCCACCACTCTCCTTCTATCGCCAGTACCGGGTTGAATGGTCGGATAGATTTTCATCGAGGTATCGGGGATGGTGGTAATGGTAGGATAGCTAGTATCGGATGGAGGAGATGAGGATGATCTGCCACGCTCTCCCCGGCGGCCACCAATATAGCCCCAATCCTGGTCCAACCCGTCTTCACTTCCACCTTGCCGTTCTTGATAGGCGACGTCGTCGCCGCGCGTGGTCGTGCTGACCATCGACAGTGATGTTGATGGAAGGGAAGGTGGCCGCGAAAGTGACATCAGTCGCGTCGTCAGGTTCCACCATTTGGACCTTGCCTGTGACTTTCTTGAGCGAGATGTCTGTCACAGCTCCGCGAAATTCTTGGGAATCGAAGTCACGAGAGTTGATTCGTGCGAATGGGGGTTCAAGGGATGTCAGTGGTTCTCAAAGCAGATCAATCATATGTGTATTAACAATACACAAGTGACTGCTCGCTAGCAAAACGAGCAAGCGACGCTATTTTCCACGCTCACTCAAATGTCGCTATCTTTGCTTGTTCGTCGACCAGCCTGCCTGGTACACTCCTACGGCCGTCGAATCTCCGGTGGCTGACGATACTCTGTCTCCCAAGCGTTTTCCGGTCGAAAAAGGTTGTACCAGGTGACCAGCAGGTCTGAGTATGATATCCGCATGTACGCCGGATCGAGCTGCGGCTCATCGCCCTCTTTGTCCGCTTCCACTTCTATCCCCTCTGCCCGGACAATATTGACATAGCCACCGCCGAGCTCATCTTCAGGCGGTTCAGGACCTCCCAGCACGGACTCCAGGGCTTCCTGGTCCACGTGCAAGCAGTACCTGTACCGTTGGGCGAGACCTGCAGGCCGACCCTGCTCCTCCATCGAAGCCACTTCAGCCCACTGCTGGAAGTACTGGCGCACGTCATCGGGCGTGGCGCCTTCTAAAGCTTCACGGTCTGACAGGACCTGTATGTCTAAGCTGGACTCCAGATCCACGCCGTTGTGGAACTCCAGCGTCGCGTGGACGTAGTACCCGAATCGCTCGAGGAAGGCTTGCCATTGTTCGTCGCTGTCGTACGTAGTTCTGTAGATTAACCAGCCCCATTTTTGGTGGCCGTCTTCTCGCATCTGTCGCTCGAGGTTGTCGGCATCGTTGAAGTCGGTGTATCTGTCGGGTGTTCTTCGAGATTGCGTGGGTTCGGGATCGTTGCGGCTGACATGGGCCCGCGCTCGCGCTAGAATCTCCCGAAAGTTTGAGGTGCGTGAAGAAGCCATTGTGCTCATTCGGAAACCTTTCGCGGTGTACGAATATCGAGCTGTGTCTTTGGTATATCAAGCGCGTATAAGGAAGCATTAACAAGACTTTGGTTGTTGAAGCATTTACAATACTTTGGTTGTTCTGAAGCATTTACAAGACTTTTGTTGTTGCCTCAGGCATGTCGATTCGAACTGAGCAGTATGAGGGCGCATAGTCATGTACCTACTATCTGTTCTCTCTCGCCGAAGTCATTGTTATTGAAACTTCCGGGGATTGAGCGGAAACTCTCTTGTGGTTGAAAGTCAGTCCGGCGAAGCTTCTCTTGCTCCATGGCTACCGCGGTGACACCTGTGAATTTGACGGCACTCACCATCGCACGGGAACAACCTCATCAACGTCTTCAATGTATACTTTGAGTACCGCCATCACGCCATCAACATGACATTTGCGCTTCCGTGGCTAAATGCTGTGCAGAGAACAGTCAAATCGCACGACGCACTGCGATGACTCATCAGATGTTGATCTTCGCCGATGATCAATACCACCACTCGCTCTATACGAGACAAGCACGGATAAAATCGTTTCAATTGAGCTGTCGGAGCGCCCCGTCCGATTCAACCAAATATCTGGACTTCCGGCTATAACGTAATGGTTGATCAGTCTTGATGACCTGCATTATTACCCCACAAGCTTGAACGCAGTGTCGATCACCAATTCAGCCGAATCGTGATGACGTCGAGTAAGGACATGCGCGTATGCTGTGCTCGTATGCCAATGCCCACTTTATCCGAGGGGTGCGTGCAGGTACACCATCGACGTGTGAGCCATGAATCTGGTGGTGATATATAGAGACGGCATGAAATCGCGGTGGATATCCACAAAACTCACGCTTGTCATAGCAATGTTGCTTCCAAATCTTTGCCAGGCCCTTGCTTTGCTTTCCACAGTCGCACAATCCTCGGCGCTGAATCTGGGTAATGGGCAGCATGTGAGTATCATTCAGGACAAGCAAACGCTATTGCAAGATATTGTCAATTGGGACTCGCATTCACTCTTCGTTCGTGGAGAACGAGTACTCTTTTATAGTGGCGAATTCCACCCATTTCGCCTGCCGGTCCCTGGTCTCTGGCTAGATGTTTTCCAGAAGATCAGAAGTGCCGGGTACAATGGTGTATCCTTCTACACCAATTGGGCGCAATTGGAAGGCAAACAAGGAGCCTTCCACGCCGACGGCATTTTCGCCTTAGAGCCTTTCTTTCAGGCAGCGCAACAAGCTGGAATCTATCTCCTCGCACGACCGGGACCTTATATCAATGCCGAGGTGAGCGGAGGTGGATTTCCTGGATGGCTGCAGAGAAACCCGGCAATCTCCCGCACGCGCGATGCGCGATACCTCAATGCTACCACGAATTACATGAATAAGATCAACCAGATCATCGCCAAGGCCCAGATCACTAACGGTGGTCCCGTCATCCTCGTGCAGCCTGAGAACGAGTATTCGCAGGCGACGAATACCCCGGAATTTCCTGATCCAGTGTATTTCCAATATGTACAGGATCAATTCAGAAGCAATGGCATTGTGGTTCCACTGATCAGCAACGATGCTGGGCCGTATGGACATTTCGCTCCGGGTCCGCCGCGGAAGCAGGCCGCTGTTGATATCTATGGCCATGATGGCTACCCGCTTGGTACTTTCTCCACTCCAACTGTTGTCGAGAGTCGTCTTATTGACCGTGCATAGGTTTTAATTGCGGTAATCCTTACCAGTGGCCCGCGGGCGCACTCCCCACCAACTATGGCAACCTCCACGAGAATCAGAGTTCGAGCACACCATACTCCATTATTGAATTCCAAGGCGGAAGCTTCGATCCATGGGGAGGTTATGGCTTTGGCCCATGTACTGCCCTCCTTGGACCAGAGTTTGAGCGAGTCTTCTACAAGAACAATGTTGGCTATGGACTTACGATCTACAACCAGTACATGATCTACGGCGGCACCAATTGGGGAAATCTTGGGCATCCCCTTGGCTATACTAGCTACGACTACGGCGCCATCATCACGGAAGACCGATCAGTTGCGAGAGAGAAGTACAGTCAAGCCAAGCTCCTTTCCAATTTCCTCTTCGCATCGTCCGCATACCTCACAGCCGAACATCAAGGCAATTCAGACGCCGTGTCCGCTTTCACAGGCAACAAGGATCTCTTCACGACGGTGCTCAAAGGGCAGTCCACCAAGTTCTTCGTAGTGCGGCAAACATCATATGAGTCCCTCGCCACCATTAACTACAATATTACTCTTCCGACGAGTGCTGGAAATATCACCGTCCCTCAACTTGGTGGAACGCTATCGCTCTATGGGCGAGACTCCAAGATATTCGTCACGGACTACGATCTTGACGGCATAAAGCTTTTGTACTCGACTGCTGAGATCTTTACCTGGCAAAGTTACGGCGATAAGCGTGTCCTGGTAGTCTACTCGGGACCCGGCGAGAACAACGAACTCGCCATCGCAAACGCCTCGTATTCGAAAGCGACAATCGTCGAGGGTGATAATGTTGAAATCAATATCAAGAAGCTTAATGACCGCACAATTATTAACTTCAGTACAAGCTCTACTCGTCGGGTTGTGAAATCCGGGAATCTTCTCGTTTATATTTTAGGTGAGTATTTGTTCGTCACATGCATTGATAAACGAACGCTGATTTGGAATAGATCGGCAATCCGCCTACAACTATTGGGTTGTCGATGCCATGCCACAGAAGTCTAAGCTGATCCTCAAAGCTGGCTACCTCGTCCGAAACGCAACGGTGATTGGCGGCAGTCTTAAACTCATTGGAGACCTGAACTCAAGCGCGCCGATTGAAGTGATTGGTGGCGCTCCAAGCAAGCTGCAGACACTAACATGGAATGGCCAAGATCTCTCGTTCACTCAGGACCATAATGGTGTAGTCAAGGCCACCGCGGCATACTTTCCACCCACGATTGCACTGCCCAAATTATCGACTATTCAATGGAAACATCTCGACAGCCTGCCCGAGATCCAACCAGGCTACGATGATCGCCTTTGGACACCAGCGGACCTCGCATATTCAAATAATACAGCTCGCAATATCACAACCCCTACATCGTTGTACGCCAGTGACTACGGCTATCATGCAGGAAGCCTACTCTACCGTGGTCATTTCGTCGCCCGTGGTGGCGAGAAGGAGTTATTTGTTCGTACCCAGGGCGGTCAAGCTTTTGCACACTCAGTGTGGCTGAACAGTACACTTCTTGGATCTTTCACCGGCAACCCTTCATTCGAAGACGTGAATGCTACTTACAGCCTTCCAGCTCTCCGCTCAGGTAGCTCATACATCATCACGATGCTCATCGACCACATGGGCCTCAATGAGAACTTCCGAGTCGGTGACCCGTCGGCAAAGAACCCTCGGGGCATTCTCGACTACAATCTCCCAGGGCGGTCCAAATCCGACATCACGTGGAAGCTCACAGGCAACCTCGGTGGCGAAGACTACAAAGATCGCATCCGGGGTCCTTTGAACGAAGGCAGTATCTTCGCAGAGCGCCATGGCTATCATCTTCCAGGCGCACCCATTTCCTCATGGCCGAGCGTCGTAGGCGGGCCAATGAAAGGTCTATCAAAAGCCGGCGTAGCATTCTACGCAGCCGACATCCCCCTCGACCTCCCCAAGGGCTACGATATCACGCTGTCCTTGTCATTTGAGGACTCCAGCAGCAACTTTACTTCTCGTCCCGCTTATCGTTCACAGGTCTGGGTCAACGGATATCAATTCGGCAAATACGTCAACAATATAGGTCCACAGGTCGATTATCCCGTCCCGCCCGGAATTTGGAATATTCGCGGCACGAACCGTGTTGCTGTGAGTCTTTGGGCTTTGGAGAATGGTGGCGCGAGAGTCGCAAATTTTTCCCTGAAGGCTAGGCCGGCGATCATGACAGGATATGGAGAGATTGAATCTAGTCCGATGGGATCGTGGACGAAACGACGTGATGCATATTGATGGATAATCCCATCGCCCTTGGCTACGATAAAAATTTGTAGCTGTATTGCATAATCCCGATCAATGATCAAAACCCAAGAAGCTAGCATGTAGCATATTAGTCATCAGAAAGCAGTATTGCCTGATGAACCATCAGAATATTCAATTCAGTTCGGGATACTGGCATAAAGGGAGCAAAAGAGACTACATTCGAAGGCATTTTATGTCACTAAAGTGTGGATGATGGAGCGATGGTCTATATTTTCATTACATTCCAGTCATTTGTATATGTTCATTAAGCGAAAAGTCACCAACAAGAACAACGCCGCAATCGCTACCAATCTGTAGATTCCCAATCAATCAACAACACCACAAGAGAATCGTCAGACCACAAAATCTTCCACTAATACACTCCATTGACTTGATTAGTGAAAGGTAAAGCCTCCGCATTTCTGTTGCAACCGAATTGCACCAGGTAAGGGTTCCCAGCACGGGTGATTTTCGAGTCGAGGACGCGCACACCGCCGGGCGCAACAATGTCGAAAGATCCATGGGTCGGTCCACCTACGTTGGACATCATGAGACGGACAGGCGTGTATGATCCAGCACCTAGCTGCATGGAGAAGCTGCTGGTTCCGTTCGTGTTGCGGACCTGTGCCTCCAAGGTGGCGTTGGGCCGGCCGAAGTTCCGGTACGCTATATCGCCCAGCCAAAGCAAGGCGATGTCGTCTACAAAGCGCAGCGTGAATGTGTAGTTGCCAGAAATCGGAGCAAAGAAGTAGCCACGGTGATCGTAAGTGTACGCAGCACAAGAGCGGTTGACCGGTCCGTATGGGAGACCCGGGCTGTCAGCAGGACAAGGATCGGTCAAGAAGCTCCATCCGAGAGGAACTGTAGTAACTCCGGAGCCGAGGAAGTTTTCAGCCGCACGCTTGTCGCGAACGAATTGCGGGTCGATTGTGTATGGTGGGCCATTCCCGAATGGATATTTGAAACCACCGAATTGAATGCCGGCGTTGTTGCACTGTTCAGGCATCGGGTAGGATGTCGTTGTCGCCAAGGCAGTGCTAGTAGACGTGACGGTAACCGGCGCGAGAGAGAAGACTGTTATTACCGAGGCAGGCTGTCTCACAGTCACGGTGGTTGTAACGGAGGGCGTGGGAAGGCTCAAGCAGTTGCACAGGGACGAAAGCGACGGCATAAGACTCATTGGAGGGGCGGTAGCGGTTGGTCCATCTTCGAAAATGTTGAGAGAGAGCGCAACAGTGACCATGCGTTTGGTCGGAGGCGCAGTTGGCAGTCCATTGGTGGAACGAACATCAAGCAACATCGTAGCAGTTCTTGTAGATGTCACGGTGTCGGTCAAGGTTGTTGTTCGACGTGAGATGAACTGCGCTTCTGTATCTGTATCCGCGATCTCGGTAGCGGTGATGGTTGTGGGTAATACGACCATGGTCATTGTGGACGTGATGGTTGTCGGCACAATAGAAAGCAGTGTAGAGCAGAAGTTAGTGGCCTCGGGGAGACTCTGGAAGTCATTGAGCAAGTCACTGTCCGAGCAGGCGGAAGCCGCAACCAATTCACTGGCGGCCGATGCCGCAGCATTCTGAGTCGATGTACTAGTGCACAGTGTAGACGAAGCCGCAAAGCTTCCTTCGACAATCGCACCTAGTATGATGACCTGTGCGAGGAACATCGTTGTAGGTAGTGGTTGTATTTGCTTGCGGTTGTTGTCGGTGGTCTTTTGGACTTGTTGGATGATCGTCCTCAAGGTGGAAATCCGCTCTTGATATCTGCTCAACGACCAGACGCTCGGACTGACGTACGGGCATCATTCCGTCCTGTTGGCATTAATTCCAGGTGGTGGCTTCCTGGGTGGCGCCTTTCTGTTGCCATGTCAGGCAGGGATGCAAGTATGTCTGAAGCCATGCCAGCCTCCGGAGTCGGCTCCCAAGCAGGAATTTGAGACCATCATCCATTCAATCGGGTGGATCGCGACAGAACAAATCATCATATGCTGGGAAGGATTCGGGAATCTATGATTAGACGATCAATCTCAGATTGTGCCCATCGATGGGTGGCGACGGCTTCCGGCTCGATCAGAGACTTTTTGGTAGCCGTTGCATGCTGGTGCAAACGGTTTGGTCGGTCTGCCACCGTCCGTCACCTGTCGCACGCTGTTGTAGCTACCGAAAGCCAGCCGCAGGCGGCGGGTCGTCCTACCGGCCAGCAACGGTCGTGCATGGCATGAGTCCCGTCGGCCGGGCCACCGGACATGAACATGTCCTCGAGTCATCGGCCTTCGCAAAATCTGCTGGTGCTCGCATCAGATGGCTGCACAGCTTGCATGAAATGTTTCTGAAATTTGAGTTCTTACCTACTCATGCCGCACGACCCTTCCTAAGCGACAAATTACAGCCTCCAACGAGCGAGACGTGGCGTTTTCTGAATGTCTTGGACCTCTTTATCACGGACTTTTCCTTCGGAAGGAAAATCGCCTCATTGCAATTACCTTGTCTCGTCTCCAGCAGAGCGTTATTAGGCGCTGCCCGCATTCGAGTGGTTGACGACGCCTTCGTTTATCCTGACCTGGGTGGGAAGTTTTACTGCGCGACCGCCATGAGTCGGAGTGATGGTGACAAAAAACAGCGAAGGCGCTGTCAATACGGCCCGAAGGTCCAGCCTTCTGCCTGTCGCATCAAGACAGAATATCTTGGGCTGCTGTACCAGCATGAGAATTCATGCATACTCGGGGTTATCTGTCAAAGGCTGATGTCAGCGTGCCGCTCCGAGAACCATTCCGAAGGCCGACAGCAGGCGCGAGTCATGTGTGAGACCGCATCTATGCGCTGTATCAAAGGTGCATTGGCTATTTTGGTACAGATGCATGAATTGTGCTGGGAGAGTATGTCAGATTTGGAATAAAATCACAATAAGCTATCTAACTGCTGCTGTACGCCGTCTTGATCGCATCCTTGTAATTGTCATTAATGACCTTGCGGTTGAGTTTCTGCGCAGAAGTGACCAAGCCCTGTGCAAAGTGTCAGCGTGCATCTCAACGTTCCAAAGATATTCGCAACTCACGCTTTGTGGTGTCCACTCATCGTCCGTCAATGCCACACCTTCCAGAATTTCGAAGGGCGCAAAGCCAGCACTCTTACCCGCAGCCTGCATCTCCTTGAGAACCGCCTTGTTGACTTTAGAATCCTGCAACAACGCATCGCCCGACTTGTCCACACCATTGTCCTTTGCGATCTGTTGAAGAACCTTCTCGACCACAGACACGATCGCAATCGGCTTGTTCTTCTCAGCTGCAGCATACACGCAGATGTTCTGCACTACAGGAACAGTTCGATAGATCGACTCCAGCTTTTCGAGCGCGATGTACTCGCCGTTCAGTGTCTTGACAAGGTTCTTCTTGCGGTCGATGATTCGCAAGTTGCCCTTGGCATCAAATTCACCAATGTCTCCAGTCTTGAACCAGCCGTCGGAAGTGAAGGCCTCCTCAGTCTCTTTCGGCAAATCAAGATAGCCACCAGTCGCGATCGAAGCTCCTCGGAGCCAGATCTCACCCTGTGGTGGCGAGTTTGTTGAGTAATAACCGGCGTCCGCAAAATCAACAAGCTTAATCTCAATACTGCCCTCAGGCGAGCCGAGAGAGTCGTCGACCCAGCCAAGTGGGTCTGTGAAGGCGCCCATCGCGGCGGTTTCGGTCAGACCGTATCCCGAAAGCAACGGAGCGATGACCATGGAGATGAAGCGTTGCGTGTCCTTTGCAATGGGTCCACCACCGTTCATTACAAGTCGGAGTCGTCCACCGGTAGCTTCCCGTACCTTGCTAAACACGACAGAGTCAATGATACTAGTCTCGAGGCCAATAGGTGCGAGGTAGGGTGCGAGGAATGACTTGGTCGCAAGAGCACCCCAGAACAAGTTGCGTACAACAGGGCTCATAGCATTGACCTTGGCAATGATACCCTTCTTGATTGTCTCCCAGACGGCCGGCACACCTACCATAATGGTGGGCTTCAGCTCAGCAATATCACCTCGGCAGTTCTTGGCGGAGTTGTCTGAGATAGTTTTTGGATGGCCGTACCCCATCTTCGTTCCCCAGAACAAGCAAGTGTTCTCAAGGACTAGCTCAAAGATGTGCGCCAATGGGAGGAAAGTGATGAAGTAGTCTCGGGGTCCAACATATTTGCCGACATTGGATTCCAGACCAGCAATGGCACCAACAGCGTTGGCGTGAGTAAGGAGGACACCCTTCGGTACACCGGTCGATCCAGATGTGTACATGATGCATGCCAAATCTTCGGGCTTCGGGGGGTTTGGTTTGTGTTGCTTGTCGGCGCCAAGCTTAACGAATTCAGAAAAGCTGAAGATCTTGAGGTGAGGGTGGGCTTCTTGCAATTTCTTCACATCCCCAGCAACTTTGCTCGGGTCAGCCTTGCAGACAGGAGACTCATCGTCGTTGTAGACAACAACCTGAACGTCTTTGGTTTCCTTGAACGGCTTGATGAGCTTCGGGAGGAGATGCGGGTCGAGAAACATGGCCTTTGCGTTCGTTTGTGCTAATGAATGCTTGAGTCCCTCTTCGCCGAGAGTATCATATGCGGTGACAATCGGGATGTTGAGCGTCCAGGCACCGTGTGCGAAGGCCAACCAGTGCGGGTGCGTTGCAGCAAAAAGATGCACACGGTCGGGGTTCTTCAGGCCAAGAGACGCCAGCGCTGTGCCGATGTTCTTGCATAGTTGTTCGAATTCAACATAGGACATGAACTCATAAGGAGACTGTTCGTAGAATTGCCATGCTTTGTCGAATTCTTGTTCTTTGCCGTCGATGATTTTCTTGACCTTGGTATTTTCGGTGTGCAGCTTGATCAATTTCCGCTTTCCGATGGCTTCGGCATTCCCAAACTTCTCGCTGGATCTTCGAAGCACGGCATACAGTGTGTCGATGCCCTCTTCGGGGACCGTCCAGAGCTTGTCCTTGTGACGAGTGTTTCGTCGCGGCAATGTCTCGCCTTCTTGCTTCTCCGCGCCAGCCACATTGGTGGTGTACGGTCCGGTGGTATACTCGGCCGGGAAGAAGCCGGTCTCCTTCAGATTCTTGCCAGGCATCTTCGCTTCAGGTCTATGATCCGTTTATTTCCCAAGAGGATCCTATCGAGATGGATTTAATGATGGGGGATGCTCCTCTATATTCTTGCAATGAGGTTGCCTAGGTATCTCCACACCGATGGACACCTTCACACTGACGTAACGGCCGAGAAGATGGCAGCGCGGGAGCTTGGGCGGGTAAAGCTGGGGTTTCCCGCCCCCATCATTCTTACATAATGACCAACAACCGCGGCACATTGAACGGACGCGCATGTCTGGCTGCTCAGGCAACGTGCAGGTCCGTCGATGATCGTTGAATTACGAGTCATTGCGGGCGTTCCTGGGGGTGATCGTCGTCCGGATCTACAGGACCTTAGCGCGGCACGACCACAGACAGCGGAGACCGACTCCGAAGGCAGGCTGTTAGGCGCGACACTTGTCGCAACAGGCACTACACGATGACCAAATCTGCATTTCTGACTCGGCTTTGGGCGTAAGATGATATGTAGGAAGTGCGTCGGGAGCGCAAATGGCCTGTATGAGAGTCTCTTGAACTAACGCAACCTACGACAACGAGAGGCAGCGGCAGAGTCGCAGAAACTCGCCATGTCGAACTGAAGATAGTATCATCTTTGGAGCTCTCTTCCTCGCGGTATTTGTATGACAATTCAGAATGCAACATCCATGTTGTTCATTACGCTCATTATGATTTGCGCACAACCTTCGCGCTCTGCTCGACGCCTTGAGCCTTCTTCGCCTGCCATTCCCGTTGTGCTGCGAGTAGCGCATCATCGTCGTCGTCATCGTTGGCATCGTTTTCAGCATCACCCATAGCGACATCAGTGGGCGTGGGGTCCACTTTCCTCGATACTCCGGCTGCAGGCTTCTCTGGCAGCGCACCCGCAAGTCTCGCTTCATCCTCCCAGTCCTTGCGCTCCAACTCGTCGAATTCTTCTTTTCGCTCGATCCATCGCTCCTGGACATCACGAACATCCAGCTTCCCGTAATTCTCGCTCATGGCTTGCGCCCAGATGCTAGCTTCGTCGTTGAGCGTGCGTCCACTCTCATCGGTGGCTCGAGCTCCTGCGAAAGCAAACCCGCTTGCTCGGTCGATGGCGCGGAGGAGAATAGACATGCTCTGACGGTCTTCCACGGCGAGCGTCTCGAAGCCAATCATTCCAAAGTCAGTGATCAGATCGATTAGTGCTTCGTTGAGTTTCGACCATTTATCTTCGCTGCTGGGTGATGATACACCCTGCTCCGCAGAGAGATGTGGGAGAAGGTAATGAAGGTCCTGTACTTCGGTGTAATAGTCGAGGTTGAATGGAAGATCTGCTCCTCCAACAGCTTTGAGATTGTCAAGTTTGGTCAACACGTTGACTGCCGGATAAGGAAGATGGAGCATTCCTCGCAAGCAAAGTAACAAGCTGCTCATGTACAGACTCGGTCGTGTGAGAACGACGGAGTCCAACAGCTGTATGACGACTACCTACTATTCTCTCAATCAGCTGCGTTTGATGAGGCTATCTGAAGCTATCTTACTCTATGGCCTAGCTTCTCCATGCGCTGCATCAACTTTGGCAGCGCCATATGATGCGTGAGTAGTTCCGGCTGGCCAGGAGAGTCGAGTAGGATCGTCTCTTCTGTATTGGGACAATCAATCAACACGCCGATCACAGTGGAGCATAGCGGTCGGACCAACCGCAGTGTTCTAATTTGCTCTCCAGCCAGTCGAAATTGGCCTCTAGTTCCTCCATCGCCCACAAGACTCCACCGTTCGGTCCAAGCCCTTCGCGCTCCATTACTTCGTCGACATCTACAATCTCGCGAACGTCGAAGTCCGCTTCGTAAGGTAATGAGTCATTTGCAGGATCGATATTGCCTATGGATACTGGTCGGGCAATAGCTCTCATGAATTGCTGCAGACCATTGCACAGAGTTGATTTTCCCGACCCAGGTGGGCCGATGGGCATCAGAATCGTGGATGGCATCTTTCAGGGCAGGACCGCGTTCTGCATTCATATGATACAACTGTAAGATTGTGTCATCGAAGTGACAGGTTTCACTGTCGAAAATTGCTTGCACATTTAGGTCATGGTCGATGAACTTTGGACTTTTACTTCTCATTGTGACGTTCGTGCTGTGGAAGTGATGTCTTAGGGTTGCGGTGCCACTTCAAGAATCAAAAGTCGTGGATCAAAGTGCCAGAAGAGCTTTCCCGAGCACGTCTTCAAGCATTGTTCAGGCAAGCGGGACGAAAATGCCAATTCTGCGTGCGCCAGGACAATCACAAAATGGCGACCATCGAGCTACCGAACCCTCCAACAGATGTCGTATCCAGCGTGCGCTTCTCGCCTGACAATTCCAAGCTCCTCGTTGGCTCATGGGACCGACATGTCTACGTTTATAGCCGCACCCAGGACGCCGCACAACTTTGGAGCCTGAGCGAGAAAATCGAGACTGATGCGCCTGTCCTCGATGTCTGCTGGTCGTCTGACGGAGCCAATGTCTTTGCAGTGGGAATTTCACAGGATGTCGTTCAGTACAATCTGCATGATGAATCGCGCAGCAAGATCGTCCTGAGTAGTCACAATAACGCGAGCAATAAAATCGCCTACAGTCCACAATTCGATATCCTTATCTCCACGAGCTGGGACGGTACTTTGCATGTTCACGAACCGAAGAGCAGACGCCATGTGAGTATCTCGCTACCGGCAAAACCATTCGCACTTTCTCTCTCCAGCAATCGTGCTGTTGTAGCCATGGCGGAGCGAAAGGTTTGGGTGTACGATTTGAGCGCGCTGAAGACGCTGGTGGAGCAAGGAGGCGACACTGTGCAGACTCAACAGCCCATGTCTGTTGAACCTTGGCAACAACGAGAAAGTAGTCTGAAATTTATGACTCGCGCTATCGCGTGCATGCCCGATGCGACTGGTTTCGCGACCAGCAGTATCGAGGGAAGAGTCGGAGTGGAATGGTTCGATCCCGAGCTCGAGAAGGATACCTACGCATTCAAGTGTCACCGGGACAAGCAGACGCTTTCAACCGGTGAGGGGGAGCAAGAGGAGGTAGATGTCGTATATCCCGTCAATGCGCTGGCGTTTCACCCAACTTACGGAACATTCGCAACTGGCGGAGGCGAAGGATCTATCGTAATCTGGGATCCCAAAACAAAGCGGCGACTAAAGCAGCTCCCACCATTGGCGTCAAGTATCGCAGCGATGGAGTTCAGCTCAGATGGATCCCTCCTAGCTGTGGGAATCAGTCCTGGATTTGAAGATGGCAAAGAGAGCGACGAGCCGATCCCCGAACTCATCAAGGTCATTGTCAGAGAGATCAGTGCCACCGAGGTCAAAGGCAAGCCTGCCAAGGAGAAGTGAGGCATTTTCTGACCCAACATTGCCTTGTTCCACGCTCGAGCGGTTCAAGTTTGATGCATCCGAGGTGAACAAGCACGGCAGTGTCGTAACACTACACAAGGCCGGCCACCCCACCTGTGAGAATATGCATGTGACATTGCATGCTCACCGATGCGGCTGAGGAATGCTTGGTTATGACCAGAAGTCAACGCCCGGTGTTGGCAGCGCCCATGTGGTCACGGCTGCATCGACCCAGCTCGGTTCGGAAACGAGATGCATACATACACATCTGTACAAGATTGCGAGGAAAGGTTGACGGACCATCCATCAAGGATAGTGCTCGAATCGTGGAGCCTTGGGAGAGCACCCCTGCGTGGTTGACACCGGTAGGGATGCTCGATTTGACTTTCCAGCCGCTTGCTATTTGGGATCTTCTTTCGACGGAAGGCTTTACATATGGTCCACAATTTCTTGCCCTTTGCAGGAGCTCTCAGTTTGGCAGTATTCTCCATAGGCCCAGCAAGCCCTAGCCCTAGGGCTTCTGCGATGCGCTGACCAACCAGGCCTTGCTGTATTCCAAGGATCTTGTGCGCTAAGCACTCCGACAGGACAGGGGAGACGAGGTTCGAGGTTCGCCCGTTGACAGGGCTGTGTACAAACATTATGTGAACTGGGAATACGAGCTGATGCTTCATCGTCGCGGGAGAGCGCTAGAGAGCTCTGTCAAGCTGCTTGAGGTCAGCCTCATTGGCTTCCAATATGGCTTTGTTAAGTGTACTTGCGCAGCAGAAATCCACGTTTAGACCTATATTCCTTGAAGCACGGATCCACCACGGTTCGTTGATCTCGAACGCAATCGAGGTGCGACTGCGCGATTGAACCATTCTTATGCTGCTGTGACCGGTGTGCCGGTGATCTTCTTCCGCGACTTTTCAGCTCAGACCCCATGCGACGCTAATAAATCCCAGCTGAACCTCATTCTGCGCTAGGTCACGCCTTGGGTCAAAACAATATAACCCTGGCCTTGCATGGCGTCAAACTATACTCCATGACGGACTCGACTTAATCGAATATCCTCCATAGCAAGAAATGCACGTGGTTGATCGATGTCCCCGATTTGTAGCTTATATCGAAATCAGGGCGCACCGGATTTCTGCCACGTCAAGTCTACGACATTATACTAAGCACCGAAATAGATGCGACTTCCACGAGGCGCATCTAAGCTTTTCCCTCATTTGGCTCGCGCAGTCAAAGCTGAAGATCTTCCCGCAAAGGCGCAAACTTCGTCAAAGACTGATGTCGCTGTCCATCCATTGCGATGTTGAACCCGACTACACTGCCCTCCCGAATCCCCCCGGGACTATGCAAGCCACCTGCTCCTTCAAGGCCACCGCACAGTAGCATTACATGAGGGCACATTTAAGGTTACCAATGGTCATGAAGGTAGATTTAAGGCTACCAATGATCCTGTAGGATTGTACTGCGTGGTGTGTAAGAGTCTCGAAATGCTGGCGTTTCAGCTCGTCCGGTGAGCTGATCCTACCTCGGTTTCAATAGAAAGGAGGAGGATATAAAGTTGTTGCGAACGGCTCTTCATTGCCTTGATTCCAATCGAAATCTTCACAAGCAATACCCAGCATCATCAGACAAGTTCCTCGATTTCTTCTCTCGTTCTTGAATCTCAAATCGCAAAAATGCAGTTCACTACTCTCGCTGTCGGGCTCCTGGCCTCCCTCAGCTCAGTCACCGCTGTGGCTCTCGAGAAGCGTGTCGATCACTATGGTATCGCTACGGTCAACCCCAACCCGAGCAATGGGCTTGGCTCATGCGGAAACCCCTTTCGAGACAGCCAGTACAAGGTGCGGAGTTTCCCCAAAACAAAGCGAAGGGATACGCTTACTGACGGCGGGTTCAAGGTTGCGCTCAGCAACTACTGGATGAAGAACCAGAGCCCCTCCTCGTACTGCGGACGTAAGATCGTTCTCACGAACACTGGACCCAGCGGCGACAACTCTGTCGGAGGCAAAGGAAACTCCGTTGTTGTGACGTAAGTCTTGGTCCCGCTTAATGATCCGGAACAGAAAACCTGACGATGAGCCGATATAGCGTCGACGACACCTGCCCTGGCTGCGATGAGAACCACCTTGACCTCAGTGTTGCCGCCTGGAACAAGCTCACCAATGGCCACGGCTACAGCCAAGTTGGCATCACCTGGTACGTACCTTCCTCGAGCTCCGAGATGTTTCCCTTTGCTTATACTGTCAAAAGGCACTTCTGCAACGCCAACGGCCAGTGCTAGATGGTCATGGGAACCAATGCTGGAATTTGTCTATGATTAACTATACAGGCATCGGTCAAATTGGACGGGTCACCACAATGACTCGTCAGATATTGATCTTTACTGATGACATACATGCTTACTCAATATTTACGGGGCAAGGGCGGATGACATCGTTTCAATTGAGCTTTTGAGATGTCCCGTCCGATTTGACCAATACCTGTATGTAATCTGGATCAATCTGTGAAAAGTGGAGGAATCAGATCTGAGTGCTACTCGCTTGAGAATGGCTCCTGGTTTGCGGGTAAGATGTCGGAACACGCTCCGAATAGAATACGCTCTGGAACGAAACCTCAAAAGCACAGCTATCTTCCGCGTGTTCTTTTTGCATGATGAGACGACAGGTAGCGCGACTTGTGATGTCTGATGTTGCTCGTCGGGATTGGGTTCCCAAAATACCAGCCATCGGCAATCATTGGTCGCTGCTACGCTTCACTATCTGAGCAGTTGTAAATGGTAGCCCACCTGCACAGGAAGGTCCTTCCCTATTCGACCTCATAGTTCGTGGATAGCTCGGAATCGTAGAACACTATCACCGAGAAACGAATCACCACCGTCGAAGCCTCAACCGGACCTCCGCTGATCCTATCGCATTGCCATACAGTTTGAACAACTAGGGCGGCGGCAAGATGACTCGACTGGCGCTTGATAGAGTGTCTTGATACGTCGGACTGTACAAAGCTCACATTGGCAATGGGCCAGGGTGCCTCGACACGATCTCGGACGAGCCAAGCAGGCTGAGTTGCCGCCTCCTTAGATCGTCTCCTTTGTCAACGCCCACAGCGCCGTCCACGTTGCCAGCTGGATCTCGAGCTCAACAACCCACCGCCTCTTCTTCTTTTCCTTCTTCTTCGTTCTTAGCCACCACCGCCTGCACCTCTCATAGCGAGCGACGCAGGATAGAGGACCCAACAGCACGCCCTCGTAATCAGCACACTTTCCTTAGACCGCCCGGAGCTGAGCCTAGAGCCAGACGCTCGCAGCGCCGTCGGTAAGACCGCACCAGGTGACCATATCGCTGAAATGAGGTCAACATGCAATAAATCATCTGGTGTGCTGTCCATACTTACTCTACAGGCAAAGCACCACCGACGCGAGAGGCTGCGGTGGTTGTTTCTGTTGCCGCTGTTCTGTCGATGTTGCCGCTGTTGTGGTTGGCTCTGTTTCCGCCGGTCTACACGATTGTGATCTAGGATTCCGTCAACCTCTTGGTCAAATGCTGGAGCGCGGGACGCTTGAATTGTATTTCGATTACCGTGTCGTAGAACATGAACCATTGTGTAAAGTTCCTCTACTTGTATCAGTGTAGGAATACAATACGACAAGGTAATTCAACTCACTTGCGGATATGAATGGGGGTTCGTTTTATTGTGCGGTTTCTCAATATCAGTGAACTTTGATACAGCGCAAATGGTGATGATCGTACAAACTAATAATTTTCGACGGTGGAAAGCAGAAGGACGGAAGGGAGGAGGCCAACTTCTGAGTGATATCGATATCTGAGAAGGTGCCAATAGTTTGGAGGTCACATTGATACAGTCGTGCCTGCCTTCGTTCGAAACTTTCGTGCACTTACGTTGCGAAAGCCGCCTTGTCGGAATTGTTGAGCTTGTGAGTCAACCTTGGAAAACCGTTCACCCTTTCATCCTCTCACAGGCCGCCAAGGCACTCGTATGCTCAAGTTTCCCGTCCAGATTTTGCTGTTAACCAGAATTCGCCATGACCGAAATCGTGCGCACCAGACGTTCTCGTTCATCTTGACAGCGACCGCACTCGCGAAATGACCTCATTCGTTCAAATCAAGAGCTGAGCAGGATCTCGCGAAGTATGAACAACGTTGAGCAAACGAAGGGCGACGCAGCACTCTGCGCTTAAGTCAAGGTATTATGCTCCTCCCTGCAGCATCAACAATTTCTAGACGCACCTGCCAGGTTCAACAAATCGCTGTACGAGATTGCCGCACACGATAGATTCATCCGACGACCAGCAGTCCGTCATCTCTTGTTTGCGGCCATGCCTCAAATACCCGGAATAATTTGATTGTGATTTCCCCAAAAGGTCGTCGCAGCGACGCTCGATCAGCGAACCAATGGCTTCAGCTACCCTCGCATCATCCGGCAGTAGCACATGCCGGGCATTCATCCATCTCCGTACGTTGCGAACTTCAAGCTCTGTAAAGGTCGCAATCACCATCAGGCCAATACGTGAGGGATGCAAGAGCAGGACATGATAAAGGAATATTCTAATGGAAGGCAATGGGCTGAAGTCAAAACCGCACAACCAATCGGACAGTATCCCGCTCCTGGCAAGTTAATATATGTAATAGCAGCATCAGTCAAATCGGACTGGGCACTCCGACAGCTTGATCAGAATGATATTTGATTTGACTCTGCCCTCTTGAGACAGATAACGAGCAGGTGGCATATTAGTCATCAGCCAAAGACAGTATCCGATGAGTGATCGGAATGCCCTGTCCGAGTTCATCAATGGCTGTATTGGATGAGCAAAGCGCCAAGCCAAGCGTCTCCTCGTTGCCACTTGTGCAGTGACTCGTCTAATCTTTGGGTGACGCGGACACCGTGTCGAAAATCACCTGGGGTCCCTGGGGTCGGTCCCAGGATTCGAAGGATTCCACTGACAGTTGCGCCCACCAAGCCTGGGCACGAACGATCCGCTCGAAGGCTAGTATCCTGGTAAATGTTCCCTATATAAGTACAGGGTTTACATGGATAAATCACAGATCACATGTGTACAAGGTCTCTGTTTCCATTCTCTCGTGACATCTTTCATGGTGATTGAAATTGACCTCGTATCAAATGAGCTCCCAGATCGACATGATCCACGATTAAACATGTGAAATGAGAAATCTGTGTATCATCCCAGCCTTTGGAGAGATATTCGCATCTCGTACGCTTTGCGTACTGCTCTGGCAAAAGCTGCCTCAAAAGCTCTGCAGTCTATGCCAAACCTGCCTCGAGATCAGGCTTGAGTCACGATGAGTCTTCAGTAGGTACCCACAAAGGCATCATGCCATGCAATGCGAAGCTTTATCTGCAATACTCAAGCTTTTCAAATGGAACCGCCGTGACGTAGACAGCATGAACTCTATCAGAGAACGATCGTCAACGTCTCCACCAGGCCGCGCGGCTCTGGGGTTACCAGGCGGTGCGGTTGTACTGTATCAAGTTTGTCTCAACGGTTGATCCACGTTACATGCGTTTTGATCGTCGTGTACTGAGCTGTCCCTGACGGCTGCGACGCGGCATCCTTCGGGGAGCGTTGCGCACACGCAACTGCAGAAGTTATTGCCTTCGTTCCGGAGAAGTGTGGTATGATCGTCGTCCAAGAAGTCATCGCGTTGGGAGGCCTGCTGCGGCTGATCTTTCTGCGATCATCAAGGTAGAGACGTTTCTGGTGACGAGATGATCCTTCGTGTGTCATTGACGTGGCAGTGCGTGTGGAATTGACGCTATGGGTCATTGATGGAGCAGCGAACTTATTCCTGCACAAGGCTTGACGTGCTTCCGCCGTGACGGGCGCTTTCTGCGCCATCATAGTCCCCCCGCGAGAAATCCTGAACATTCCGAGTTGACGTCGGGAGTGCGCTGCAACAATACGAGGATGTTGGAATGGTTGAGGAGACGCGAGATTTGCAACAGAATCCTGAGATTTGCTATCGTGGGATTCCGAGGCAGTCTTCGATCCACCTCCTCTTTTCGTCCAAGCCTGCGGACTGCGCGATTTTTACAAGTGACGGCGATCAGGCTTGGCGCTGGCACTGCGGATTTTCTTGGGATTCGGCGCCTGCGTCAGGTCGCGATCTTGATCGAGCCGTGACGGTGACACTGCTCCACCGGGGCGCGATTGCCTGAGTTACATCGCTGTGTCGATGTCTCTGATCTAGAACAAATGCCAAAAGAGAGTTCACCATGAAGGAAGAGCTCCCCCGAACAATGACATAATTTTGAGGAGTTCAAGTCTAATGCCTGAGGCATCAGATGTGGATCCGCGCAGAGGTCCATGCGCTTGACAACCAACCACAGCGCGGTTCAGGGCGGTGCATTCCGCGCCGAAAGACTTCATCTCTACAGGAACTGAACGATGGGAACGGAAATGGGATCGCAATGCGTGAGTGTGAAAAATGTATGATAGGTCATTAATGAAGAATAAAAACGTGAATCTATTTAGCCCAACATATACTGCTTTCCCGGCTCTTGAACAAGTCAACGTCCTTCTCGTTGACATCGAGGCCATCCTTCTCGTCATCCTTCTCGTCGTGTTCGACAGCAGAGTGGTCGTCGTTAGACGCAATTGAAGCTTGACGGGTCGGTGGCACAGTAAGAGTCTCCGGTGGTGGCGGTCGGCCCAGATCGTCCTTGATCAGCACGCACAATAGGAGGCAGCAGCCAACGAAGCCAGCGGCGACGTAGAAAACTGTTGATGTTGCACCAGCATATCCTCGAAGTATGAGGTCTGCGTCTTCATCTGAAAATAGGTCCAAATGCGGATGTGAGAATGCTGAGTCCGCAATGTGGTGTAGTCTGTCGGGGAGATGGGCGACCAATGTAGATCGAAGGATGAGTGCTGAAATGGCTGTGCCGATGGCACCTCCCATGAATCGGAAGACGTTACGCGTCCCAACTGAAACGGCAGACAGGTCTGCGGTGACATTCGCTCTGAGCAGTAATACTCCATTAGCAAACGTCGAACCGGTGCCGAGGCCGACCATGATCTCAAGAATGATCAAAACGCCGAGGAATCCCGATCCCAAAGATGTGAGGCTTGAGGTGTATGCAAGCATGGCATTCGCGATCGTCCAGGTCGAGAAGGCGCCGACGAAGACAAACAGGTAGCTCTTGAATCCCCGGCGTTGAAGAGCATTGATGAGCAAAGCGCTGGTCGTCGAGGCAAAGCCGTGTGTGACATAGTATATCGACATCAATCCGGCAGCCTGGATGGGTGTGTATCCATGGGCAACTTCCAGAGTAAAGACTAGGAAGTATGTGAAAGTGTAATATGCACTTCCCAACAGCAAGTTCTGCAGCAGGATGGCCGTGATGGTACGGTTGCGGAACAGAATGAACGGAATCAGTGGGCGGACATTTCGTTTCGTGAAGCCAAGCACCAGAAACACGATCAGGGAGATTCCGGAGCATGCGACGAGAAAGATGAATAGACCGGAGCGCATATCAAAGTCAGAGCCTTGACAAATGAGGACCAATGCTGGCAGAATGAAGCAAATTCCAGAAAGGATCCCGAAGTAATCCACGGTCTTCAGCACATTCCAGATCTCATCCTTGGCCGGTGGTTTGCAATTTGCCGGGACCCACAGATATGTAAGGACGATGGAGCAAGCGACAAGTCCGGACTCGATGAAATACAGGTACTGCCAGGTCTTGACTAGTACTGCTCCTAGAATCATACCCAGGATGGAGCCTAACGCAATACTGCAGCCCTGGACACCTTGCCATTGGTTACGCTTCTCTCGGGGTAGGATGTCATTCAGGCTGATGTTCATAAGGTTGCTGACGGAGCCTGTTGCAACACCGCACATGGCCCGGGTGAGGAAAAAGAAAGCTGGACTCATGGCATATCTTGAGACACCACATGCAATTGCGCTGAAGAAAAGGATCGATTGGGCGATGAGTAGCATCCTCCGACGGCTCCATAGATCTGAAGCGTATCCGAGTAATGCCATTCCAATCGTGGCACCAATGAGCTGGGATGTGGCTGCCCAAGCGATGGTATCTCCGGCTTGAAGGTCTTTGCCAATTCGGGCGATCAACGCCGTGACTCCCATCAAATCAACGAAGGCGACACCATTGGCAACGTTCAGAGCGATGATAGCGCGGATCATCTCTGATCCTTCAAGGTATTGTGGTTGTTTCTTGGTCGGCTTTTGTGACGCATCCTGAATTTGGCTTTCGGCATCGCTGATTGAGCTTGCGAAGGTGGCACTTTGGCGAGGCGCCTTGTCCTGATGTTGTTGTTCCAGCGACATGATGAATGGATTACTCGTTCAATCACATAGGATGTCGTCGAAGTGTAAGCCAGGCCCGAACGATGGACCGAAGAAAGTCAAAAGTGGCGCGATATAATTTATGAAAAGACCATTTCGTTTCGAGGAAGAGCGGGATCTTGATATATATGCGGAGGGTCTCCGAAAGAGACACCACCATCACAGTGTGTGCGCAAGCTCCGCCACACCGGGACACGCATTACCCCTTGGGCATCAGGTATTTGATGACGATGGGGGGTCATCTTGACGCTGGCCGCTTGGCGGAGTATGCCCTCCCTGTAAGACGCTGCAAGACGATAACAAAACGGTAGGTTCGGGAGGCACGTTGAGACCTCTGAGACACTTCTGAACGGTTTCGGCCTGTTTGATCTCCGCCGCTTGTGAACGGGTGGCCACCGCTGGGGTCTCGGCAAGAGGTAGGAGGTTCGGTCTCCGTAGGGCGGTGGCAGAGGAGATGTGCTGCCAAGCGGCCCTACGTAAACCTTGACGACGCCGTGCCCCAATGGTGATATTGCACTGGACTCATGTTGTAGATCTTTTTCGAGCTTGTTTTTTCCGAAATGGGTCGCCGAAAAATCCATGACAGTCCCTTCAGGGTTGGTCGTTTCACTGCGATGATGACCGTGACTCTCTTCTGTGTCAATCGATCGAGTCATGTTCGAAGGCATCCTGGACTTCTTTCTCTCCGATACCTGTGACGATGTATGCGTGCGCCCGGGCCGAACGTTGCAAGACAGAGTGCGAGACAGATAGCCCTGGTGCCTGAGATCGTTGGGGCAGATCCCGCCCCACGAGGCTTCGCGGGCTGGACTTGGCGGACGGCGGCTGCCGGGAAGATCACAACGGCGTCACTGCTAAACAAGAAAAAAACAGGTGCACCTTGGGCCCTGCGTGCCTGCGCATTGATTCGCTCTGGTGAAAAGATGCAACCCATCCCGCGGGTCTACAGGTGTAACATGTGGTATTAGCATATTCAACAATTTGCACACGCCCGAAACCGTGAGAATGCCACATTCCATATTGCCACTGTTCTAGAAAACACAAAACTTCCCAGCCTGGAGAGTCAAACGAACACGGTACAGTACGACCCATATCGCGGGGAACAAGGGACCTCTCTCTGCTAGTATGTCATTAGTTTTCGAACCACCCGAAAATCATTATGATGGACGTCTTGGCTACCATTTGAGATAAGCACGATCGGCCGTGCTGTCTCAACTTGTTCGAGATGTGCTTCCGTGGCCCCGTAGAAGACGCGTGTCTCGGATCTGACGTCGGCCGGAGGGCTCGCATCATCGTGAGTGAGGACGCGATAACATCCGAAGTGTGCAATGCTTACACCTTGCATCGTGAATGACGCATACCGAAGGGCCTGCGTGAAGGCCTCTTCAGGCATCGGAGACGAGATGCGACATCCTGCGGCGAACCAGGCTAGAACATCTGCCGCACACCTACCCTCATCTTCAGGCCAACAAGTTAGTGAGCCATTCTGAGCCATTCCCAACTCACATCGCAAGGATCAGCAATGCATGCCCGAAGGAGTGTCCACGCTTGCAATCAGTGGGATTTCTGCCTCCACGAGCGTATCGAGACGATGTTGACGGTGGAGTTCGCCAAGGCGGGCTCAGCCAGCCTACAGTAGCGCAACTTCGGCAGCCACACCGTAATACTCCTGAATTCCCAACGCTCCTTTTTGAGGCTGCCAAAGTCTAAACACGCTTGCCGCAAAGTCTTTTAATCCTTCGCGCACGTCGACGAGCAAACTCCCACCGTGACATTTCCACGACAACCAAATCCCTCTCGAGGCTGTGCAGCAGCTCGAAATGATTGAGAATGACTCTGCAGCAATGCGAAATGATTAGGAATGACTCATCAGCACTGTATAAAATATCATAACTTTCTGCCCTTGTGCATCTCCGCATAGATCGATACGTTCTATCCTCGCGACCAGCCAATGTGGAGTTATAATTCACTTGTCCTCGGCAGACATTGCCCCGTGTCTACCCACTCTATTTTTCAAGGTCGTTCCGCCGCTACTCTCGAGATGAACTCCAATTTGTACATGGCTGCAGAATATCTCTCTCAAGTGTGACTGAATCTTGATTGCACAGATAGCAGCTTGGCGAGCGCAACCGATCCCAACTTGAGGTTACATCGCAATAAATGACGCGCAGGGCGGGTATCCACAATCGACCCTCGCCAAGCCTTTGTTATCTTTCACACACAGAGGTTCGGCGGAACTACGGTCTCCGTAGCCGCCCTGCATTTCACGATATCGCAACACAACAACACACTTTTAGACGAACAGGTGATATCGGTCTGCTGCGACCGACAGGGATGAAGGTTCGTCGAGTCGGAGCGCCACGGGATATCGTACCTGCAGTGTGCGCCGCCAAATTAATGAATCCCCACGCTTGTGGTCAATCACCAAGATGACCTCAGCGGACATGATTTAGAGTTGCGTCTATCGGCGCTAAACGATATGCTGAGCTGACAAGGGGCGGAGCCGCCGCGCCGCCAAGCCACGCGGGAGTTCAACACATTTTCGCAGTCGGGAGGATTCCTCGGCTCTTGCTTGTTCTGCATACAAGCGCTGTCATATGTCAAGCTGGATTCGCGCATGCCTTTGATAGAGATGTGTTCGCGCTATGACGAAAATTGTCCCGAGATTCGCCTCTGAACATAATCGGTCAAGTAGTCTCACTTCGCACCCGCATGTTGCTCTGTTAGAAAGCCTGCATGATACCTCACAGAGTTATTCTCTCGCATTTACTTCGTGACCGTTTGACCCTACTTACACGCACGTTGAGGTGGAGTCGCACGTTTTTGCGTTGGAATTCGGTCTCCGATGGGACGGACTGCCTGGGTTTCCTGGAGAAGTGGACCTGTGATATGACGCGAGCACCTAGACTTGAGCGGGTCATCCGCATGCTCTGGGACAGGGCGAGTCTTATCAAATGGGTCTGATTAAGCCCATCGTCAGCCTTGTGTGGCCGGAATCTTTGATGATGCGATGCTATGCGAAGAATCGTGAAATCAATCAGACCCTGGGTGAATGTTGATTGTCCAGAAGCAATTCTGTTGACAGTGACGTCACACCTTGAGGATCAACATGCCAACGACAACGGCAAACAGTGGACATGTATGGCCATATAACCTGATGCATTTACATTGAGGATAACAATACCCGGTCGCAGGACATATTCGCATGTGTTGAATTGACATGAATATGTTGAATACGCGTATTCAGAAGAGGAGGAGGAGTTCGTGTGTCAGCATGTTGGTCGAGATTTCTAATGCGTCGTCTCGCAGTAAAAAAACTCCGTCGACTATATCTAGACCGCTACAAGGACAGTTTCAGGTTTAAGCGTAGTCGCAGGACGTTCTTGACATCGAACCTTATCTGATATAGCATCTCTACGCAGTATTAAATCAATAAGATACCTTCTCGTCGCCGTGGATAGGAGGTGACGATACCGTATTAGGGTTGACTTATGGGTTAAATGGGGTTATATTTAGGGTTGGAATAGAAATTGTCCTCTATGGACCCTGAGTCGAAAGCGCAGGCGGAGAGTCCGTCTGCCCTAGTTAAAATCAGTGCTGGGAGAGTCTCATCTATGTCTCATCGTATCAACATATGCCCAGGTGTACATGAACTGCGTTTCGGAAGATCTCCAGAATTATGTCATAAGTTTCATGTCCATCAGATTGATCGCGATCGTGATCAGAGACAACTACCGTCATTGCGTTTCGTCATGAAGGCTGGAGAAAGAGACAATGTATGAATGGTCAAACTTCAACTCCCGCGTTGATTCTGGACAAAGGTAAAGGTTTCTCGTATTGCCTCGCGATTCTGCTATCACCGGAATAAGATTTGAACGAGATCTTATCTTCAAATGGTGACAACGTTCCAGATAGATATGATACAAGCCCCCCTCCAAAAATAGCGATCAGAAGGTAGGTTTCATACGCGTGAATTCCGAAATCATGACTTTCAGTGCGTATTCACATTGAAGTCCGGGAAGTATATACTATCGTCTTCATATCTGACGCCGAAGTGCTACACCGCGTTTGCATACGACTCAATGAAGCAAAAGCAGAAACAGTCTGCATAATGCAAAGGATCTTGGGTCGCTGCATCTGAGGACTTGAGCCGAAGTGAGGGCGAATTCCACGACACAGTCAATGCACGATGCTGACGTGCCCTGTGGCAGGATACACGGCTACATGATAGTAATTCGCAGCGATCGTGATGGCTAACAAGATAGCGACATCGACCAAAGCTTGCTCTCAAGAGCTATGCGGAAGCATGTGCCACTGCAAGCTCCTATTCCGGCTACCACCTCATCATACTTGACGCGTCATTCGGTGCGGTGAAGTCAAATGAGCCTAGATCTTGCGTTTCATATAGACAACTCGTCACATTGCCGATCCACATTTGAGCATACGGCATCGTCTCCGGGCCAACTCCAGTCCAATCTCAACATATCTCGTCAAGGGCATCAAAGCACCGGATGTGCCGTCCGAGCATTGCGGCTACAGGGCCAATGCGCAGATTGATGGCACACGTGTGCCCATTCCACCTCGATGGCACTCCTCCGGATGACTCTATTCAAAGATAATTCGAATTCCGCCCCTTCGAGGCCCATTCCCGACGTCTTGGGCTTCAATGCCAACGTCGCGGCCGCCTTGACCGATAAGGCAATCGAGCGCGGGTGCACAGGGACCGGGATCAAATTCCAACAAGATGGACTGAGCGCGCGTAGATGACAAGTGCAACGGTCGACTGCGCCCGAAACTTTGATGAAAAGAGGGAGGTGACGTTGGGCAATCCTCACGCACGAGAGCCTTCAGAACGGGCACAGACGGTTCACCAGGCTGTTTCCAACCTGAGGCCAACAGCTGCACGACGACCATTCATTCACCAACCTCCGTCAAACACTCATTGCAAACCGACAGCCAAAGCAAAACACCGCCATCGCACCGTACAAGTAATTTCTCAAGCTTGTCGATTTAGATCTGGAAATTCACCATGGAAGCGGAGGGAAAAGTTCACACTGATCTCATCATTTCATTTGGCACGAGGCAGTAATTTCCAATGAGGCAGTTTGCGCGAGAAATGTGCTCTGCGCCACCCAGCACGTGCTGAGCTGTGAGATGTACAACACGGCTTGATCATTTTCCACACGGTTGCGACCGGTCGCTTCAAGGTTCGAGAATATATCACGACTATGGCGAAATGGACAACGAAGACGGTATATGGATCGGTCGTCGGGGCACGCCGATGACTAATTCGATGACTTGTCATGCTGATGATTAATACGACACTCACTAGGACATGAGGTCGTTCTTATCACCGGATTGAGATATATCTGCTAAATATTATAGTGTCGATTAAGGGCGACACTGAAATTCAAGTCAACCTTGGAAGTCAAGTACCTAGGCAGGCTGCGGTTGCTTATGAAAACCAAAATGGTGGTAGCACTAGTCAAGAGACTTCCTTCTAATGATTTCTGTACCAATCCCGAGTCCGAAGTCTGGAGCAGCATGCCGATGTCTGTACAGGTTGCGAATTTCTGAACATGTGCTCTCCGCCATGTTTCCCAAAGTGCATCATGAAGCAGCAGATTGTGTAAAACGTCATACAGAGAAATGTGCCAGCTTCCTTTAATACATACAGGTCCAGCAGATACAGCATGACAGAGATCATGTTACAATCATCGAACAGGAGATCTAAGAACCAATTCCCTCCCTTTCACGCCTCCACCTGCTTTCCGCCCTTCTCCACATGCCACCCCTGATACCCATCCTCCAACGAATCATACAGAGCCGCCGTATACTTGTCCAGTCCACCGGCAAAGTTCAACGGTTCAACCCTGCGTCCGGGAATATTTGACCCTTGATACCACGACTTGGCCAAGGGAAAAAGCGTCTTGTCCCACTCCTCATGCATGCGACGATGCCAATCCTCCTCGACGGACTTCTTGGGTTCCACGCGCGTGATCCCGTCGGCGACGGCGCGTCGCAGGAATTCCTCGACGAATTCTGCTTGGAATTGGGTGCAGCTTGGGCCGTTGGAGAAGGCCGTGGGCGCTTGCGGGCCGTAGAGGAAGAGAAGGTTGGGGAAATCGCTCATGCCGATCCCCAGGGCGGTGCGGAGACCGTCCTTCCAGTGCTCGCCGATGGTCCCGCTGGCGTTGATCCCTTGGATGTTGAGCTGCCCGAGGGAGCCTGTCACGCTGTCGAAGCCCGTGGCAAGGATTATCACGTCGAGCTCGATGAGCTCCTTGCCTTGGAGGCGGAGACCGGAGGCTTCGACGTGCTCGACAGGGTGCTGGTTCACATCGATGATGTCCACGTGGTCCTGATCGACGACTTCGTAGAAGCGCTGTTCGAGCGACGGGCGTTTGGTTCCCCAGGGATGGGGAGGGACCTCGGGAGCCAGGAGCTTCTGCTTCTCGGGGTTCTTCACTCGTGCGAGGACTCGCTTCCTCCAGTATTTGTAGGCCTCGCCGTTGGCTTCCTGGTCCTTGAAGAGGTCTTCGTAGTTTCCGAGCCAGAAGCGGAATCCGCCTTGGTCTATCAAGCTCTTGTAGAAGGCCTCTCGATCCTCAGGAGTGTCATCGAAGGTCTTGCAAGATCGCTCACCGAACGTGAAGCCTGAAAAAGTCTGCTTGGTCGATGCGAACGCTTTGTCATATACGCCGGCTTTCTTCTTCTTCTCCTCCTCCTCGGGGTCCAAACGAGCTTGGTTCATCGGGAGACACATGTTCGGCGTCCGCTGGAGAATGGTCAAGTGTTTCACCTTATCTCCAATCTCTTGCGAGACTTGGATCCCGCTTGCACCGGTCCCGACGACCGCAACGCGCTTATTCTTGAGCGAGACTCCGTGCTGCGGCCACTTTGCGGTATGATAGACATCTCCTTTGAAATCGCTCAGGCCGCTGAAAGGTGGGCTGTAATGCTTCGAAGCAAAGCCAATACAAGGGATGAACCATCGACACTCTATCTGTGAGTCATCCGAGCACTCCACCAGCCAGGTCTGCTTATCTTCCTGGAAGACGGCGCTGTCGACGTGCTTGTTGAAGGTGGTATGTGCACCCACATCCCACTTCTTTTCGACGTACTCGAAGTATTTCCGAATCTCCTTCCAGCCGGCGTATCGCTCTGTGAAGGTGAAGTCTTGGTATAGGTCTTTGTCGTATAGTTGGTAGATGGGTGAGTCGCTGTCCACTCGTGCTCCTGGATAACAATTCCTGGATGATGGAAGCATGGACCCGTTAGCTTCCATAGCAGAGCATACTTGATGTCGTTCTGGGAAGCCGGAAACTCACCAGTACCAGATCCCTCCGCTTGCAGCGCCTTTCTCGTAGATCTGAACAGACAGTCCGAGTTTACGGAGTCGATTGAGCAGTGTAAATGATGCGAAACCTATGCCATATTCGTGAGTTGGGAGCTCTACTAGTTGCGATTGCTCAGGCGAGAGCTGACAGACCTGCTCCCACTAGTAACACATCTGTGTAGGGAATGTCTTTGGTCAGTCCAGGCATGGCTATGGATGATTTTGATATATCTCTTGCTGATGTCTCATGCGGGACAGTATTGAGCACCCGAGCAGCAATGAGGCTGAGGTTGATTTGCATTTCACTGCTATATATATGTTCTACCTGTTGCCATTGACCCGCTGCCATGCTGTGCTACACATGCAAGCTTCCAAATGCAAATGCCGGCAGGAAGGAATCGGTCGAACGGACATGATGCGTGATAGTGGCGAGGTGAGTTGCAGTATAGCACATTGCGTCCGAAATTCATCACATGCAGGCCTCCGACGACATCGTGCAGGGTACGGTAGATGGTACCCCTACATCGATTTGGAAGCCGAGATTCATACTCATCATTACAGATGAGGCTGCTCATTTGCTAGTATTCGGCAGCGTCGGGCTCATGTCGTCGATGTCAACGTCCTCGTGCGAAGGTTCTGCTGCTCGTCATGACTCGTGCTCTATCCTCCCGCCCGAATGTGGTGGTGTGGTGTACTGAAGCTCCTCCTCTTCCAAGCCCCAGTCTGTGTCTGGACCAGGATGCGCCATTGAATTCGGTGTCGGTTGACGGGTGCGCCATCAAGAAGGTCCACAAATTTCACAGCCCTGATATGTGTGGTTGGAGGAGTCGACGTGAGTGTATGGTGAAATTGTCAACGCGGAGCGTAAGGATCCCCATCGTGGTCGCAGTGTTTATGATCAAATTCATTGTGCTGGAAGCCCGAGGTATATATACATGTACACATGGTCGTTCATTGTGTGTGTGTGTGTGTGTGTGTGTGTGTGTGTGTGTGTGTGTCTCTCTCTCTCTCTCCCCCGCATGCCAAATGATGGAGCTGTACAGTATTTCTCCGAAGAGAAGCCAATTCATCACAGAGAAAGCCATCAGAGAGACGATGATGACGCATTTATTACGCCACGCCTGCCATGTCATGCCCCGTTCAGCCACCACCCCGCAATCCATTGCAGGAGGATTCGAGGATCGGCAACCAACCTCCTGCGCCAATTCCAACGTGAGATACTGTCCTGCCGAGAATCCAACCTGGATACTGTACTTCGAGGCTGGAGCGGATCCACGGTGGACCAGATTTACGCGTAGAAGTCCAGCTGACGGATACATGCGATATGCGACTCCTGTCCTTCAAAAATGGACTCGAGGCGAAGAGCGGCATCCTGGAGGACCTCATTCCAACTTCATGAAGGATTGGCCGAGTGTGATGAAATTACTTCTTCGACCGCACTGACAGGTCGACTCAATAAGCGCTAAGAGGGAAGGCCAAGCCACAAGAAGTGAGCGGGCACGCGACTCCACTGCGAAGAGGACGGTCGTTCTGGACAAAGAATTGAGTTCCACCAGTTCACGTCAGACTGGTGATCGGACTCGGTCTCGGGATTAATGTTCGCTATCGCAGTCAGAGGAGGAGATGACGCATTTGAACTGCACAACCCCATTTATACGCGCCAATTGAAAAGAGCGCTCTCCCGTGTTGCCAGCTAATGAAGGAATCTACATAACAATCCTTACAATGAACGCTTTCGAAACTGGAATTCGTCGTTCGTCGTATGCCACAAATGGTAAGATCTGCGGTCCTCCGCGTGTCCTTCCCCACAGAAGGACAAGGCACTTGGGCTCGGTACCAGCTCGCTCCGGTCCATCTCGGACTCACGGCCAGGACTTGTTGATGAGGACAATTAGCAACACTGTTCTTTTTCAAATCGATGAACGCGAGGTCATGATAGAATTGTAAGAAGAATCCAATTCGAATGATGGCAAGATTGCCTCACAAGACCATGACCGCAACCAGGCATAGGTATTTCGTCGAGGAGATCTCCAGGGCGGCGCATAAGCGTGATAAGGCCAGCGCCAAACATCTGTTCGACGATCAAACTTCCCGAGGCTTATTAGGGCATGCCTTTGATGAATTTTATGCAAATGATCGCCGGAAAGTGATGCACGCCCAGCGGTACACAGGCAAAATCGCTCGCACATATATACAACCTCAACGCCCACCATGGACGATGCTTTCCACAATTTCAAATCAAGGTCTATCATTCGACTGTCGCAAGAATGTTGTCACTCATCATCGCGACGGCGTTCACGGCCATCGTGCTGCCTTACTTCATATTCAAGCTCCTCGGGTCCAAGCCCAATCTCAGCCAGTTCCCGCTCATTAACCCGAAGGAGGGACCCTGGTACTGGCCATCCAATGCCAACAAGGACCGATTCGTCACCGAAGCCACCGAACTTGTCAAGGAGGGCGCGAAGAAGGTAGATGCAGTTCTGAAAACAATCGATTTTCATTTCGTTTCCTGACGCTCCGAAAAACAGTATGGCGGCAAACCTTTCCGCATTGCGACAAACCAGGGAGAGAAGATTGTTCTCGACACGGCGATGGTCGACGCTATAAAGAGCGACCCTCGTCTCAGCTTCGTTGCAGCTACACAAAAGGTACGGGGTGCTCTCAATCTCGGCCGGAGATATCATGCTGATCTGGCGGCTCAAATAGGGCATGTTCGCCCACATGTGGGGGTTCGAGGCTCTCCGCTCCAGTGGAGAGAACAACTTTGTGCGCGATATGGTCCGTATCAAGTTGACTCAAAATCTGAGTAAGTTTGGAATTCTCCGTCCCAGCTTGGAATCGTGACTTGTAGACTTACAATCTCATAGCCAAAGTAACTCGTGATCTTGCTACCGAAGTGTCCGCCGTCCTGGAGAAGCGATGGGGCACCAGTGAGGAGTGGCACGATGTCGATCTTGGAACCGACGTTCTCAAATTGGTCGCTGTGCTCTCTACTCGCGTCTTCATGGGGTACGTCCATTTCAATCTTCCGTTCCTGCCATTCGCCCCATGCTAATTCCACTGCAGTGAGGAACTCGCACACAACGAGGAATGGTTGGACATTGCCATCAACTACACTGTCGACATCTTCGGAGCTGCCCGCGAGCTCCGCCGCTGGCCGGCACCTCTGCGCCCCTTGGCCAACATCTTTCTCAAGTCGCACCGCAGCCTCCGGGCTTCCGGAAAGCGTGCTTCCGAGATCGTGCAGCCCATCGTGGACGCTCGACGCCTCGCCCGCTCCAAGCCCGACTTCGTGAAGCCCAATGACTCGCTCGAGTGGTTCGACGAGACCGCCAAAGGTGCACAATACGACCCGACCATGCTGCAACTCGTCTTGACTATGGCCGCCATCCACACCACCGCCGACCTCACCAAGACGACCCTCCTGCAATACGCACAGCACCCCGAGATCATGGCCGACCTGCGCCAAGAAATCCTCGAAGTCCTCCCTACCGGCGGCTGGGACAAGCTGACCCTCTACAAGCTCCGGTTGCTCGACAGCTCCATCAAGGAGGCCCAACGGCTGAAGCCCATCGGCGCCGCCTCCCTCGGCCGTGTCGTCATGAAAGATGTTACCCTTCCGGATGGAACCGTCCTGCCCAAGAACTCGGACATCATGGTCTCCTCTCACCCCATGTGGGAGGACACGGTCTACCCCGAACCTGAGAAATACGATGCCTACCGCTTCGTGAAGATCCGGGAGACGCCTGGCAAGGAGAACACCGGCCAGCTGACCACCACAGAGTCCCAGGTACGTGACTTGCCCAATTTCCGGCTTTTCTTCGATTTTATTCCAATTTAATCATCTCCTGTGCTGCGCTGACCGATTGAAAAGTTCCTCAGCTTTGGACACGGACGCCATGCGTGCCCCGGACGCTTCTTTGCAGCGAACGAGGTCAAAATTGCGATGGCCTACGCCTTGATCAACTACGACATCCGATTGAAGGGCGATAAAGCGCCGAATACCATCAAGTTCGGCTTCGAGCTGGTCGCCGATCCCACTGCCACGATCCAAGTGCGCAGGAGAAGGGCCGAGATCGATCTCGATAGGCTGTCGTAGACTTTTTGAAATGTATGATGATTGATCACTTCTGAGGTCCTGGCTTTACTATCACGTGACTCATGTGTGCATCACATGACCAGAGCTGCTCGGACTTCTCAACATTGCTCCTCAGTGAGCGTCCCCTGTCTGGGGGACGGTATCCCAGGTGGAGCGCTTATTCGACTCTGATCGTGAGGTGATGCTCGCCACATTAATGTGACGTTAAATTTGCGCTACCCCGTACCCCATCATGATCTGCAGTGCTCAATATGGACCCACGATCACTTGGATCATCCAATCTATGGAGGCAATCCTGCCCCCTGTGCAATGATGCCATTCATAGAGGGATCTCAAGAGCGGAAAATGTTCACAAGCGCGGCATGTATAGACGTCAGGGCGACCACGAGTGCGAAACACACGTCGACATGGAATGAATTCGCTTTCCAGAAAATGAAACGCTGCTCATTAATGCTGTTCAGGCATTCCTGAATCTATGTCTATCTGCTATATCGATTTCTATTTCATGAGCATGTGCTCGTTTGCACCAACAAGACTCGAACTGCTCGAGCACTGTACACGCGATGACTCAGCCGAATGGACTCGTCAGGGTTTAGTCAGACGGGTCGTGCTTCAAATGCAATCATGTCAAAGATCCGGGGGCCTCCCATAACGTCTCGGGAAGGGTCCAGCTGCCTGGTTCCTGAAGTGTGAACGAGTCCAAATCGAAGCCGAGCATACCGTCGAAAGGGTTGGCACTGAACAGTCCACACCAGGCGTTGTTCGGGGCGAAGACTTGCTGACCTCCCATCGACGTAGGGATATGCTGATCATGTTGCATCGAGCCCGATGCCGGGTCAGCGCAGACGGCTTGAAAAAACGGCGCTCCAGCACCCGGTAGGAGCTGCTCCATATGGTTGTAGAGACGGAATCCTCCTAGCTGGGAAACGTCCCATACCAGTTTGACGACTTCGTCGAGCTTCTCTCGCCATCGAAATCGAGGATACTCTAGAAGCAGTCGCGCCAGAGCGATGTTTCGAGATGCTTGGTCCGCCGTCATCTCGCCGTGCCAATATGCGTATATAACAACAAGGATCGATATGGTAATACGTTGTACTTGACGCCATGTGGGCCCGAGTCGCGAAGTGACGGGAGCTAGCACGATATCAACTTGCATGCTCTGCGGGCTATTCCGCTTGGCCAACGCGCGCAGCGGCGAGCTGTAGAGCTCTAGATATGTCGCCAGGATGCCCTCGGCTGCGTGAACGCAGATGCAGATTGAGGACAGCCACGTAGTCTTGTCGAAGAGGCCGGGCACTCGGAGTTGTAGCCGACAGCTGCACGTGGGTTTCGGTCAGTGCACGGGTCAAAGATGTGGAAGAATTACTGGGGACCTACCACATCATGTGCACTCGGCCCAGAGGTTCATATGCTGTTCGGAAACTCGTGGCTGCAGCACGGTTCGGACCGAAATCGCTCGCTCGGGCGCTGATCTCGCCGATTTTCGCTTCGAGCTCGAGGATTTGTTCGGGACTTGGGCTGGGAAAACGGTAATAATGGTCGATGAGAAATCCGTTGATTACGACCAGCGATATCAACCGGCTCAGCTCCGGATCCGCCTGCTGAAGAGGGTCAAAAGCCTTGGTTCCTAGCGTGTCGCTTCGGATAAGTGGCTCGGTATTGTAGGTCATTGAGCAGTATCTGGAATATGTTAACGATTGCTGGGTTCACAATGTAGAATTCACTTACTGGTCGGCCATGTAAATCAACATGTAGAGCTGTAATCCCTGAACGCCTTGACGACCATGCTGAAGATGGAGGTCGTGGGCTACCTCCACGGCACGTGTGATTATACCTTGAGCGTAATTGGATGTTCCCATGCGCAGTGCAGACATGTGTTGCATGAGGTATGTCAGACATAGGTCTAGGGTCGCCTGGTCCGCGTGGTGTTCCACCATGCGAATTGAGATATCGAAGTAGAAGCGGGCATTTTCGAACAGCCCTTCATGTGCGGCACCCAGGGAGAAGGCAGCGAAAACGAGTGCAACTGCATCAAAAGGAAGAGTATGAGTCGTAGGTATGCCACTGAGGTGAATGTTTTGAAGCTCGATATTGTGCATGTCGATCGTCGCTTGGAGGTATTCGATGCTGAAGAACTTTGCATCTTGCCAGCTGAGGAATTCGACGCAACTTTTGAGCAAAGCCCAGGTCTGAGACGGCAACAGTGGCCATGCAGGACTTCTATCGCCTGGCTTAAGCAACGGCGCTGATTGATTTGCAGAATCTGCCGACCCTGTTGAAGGTTCTACCAGTGATAAGGTAAGAGTATAGCCTGGTCGAGTCAGTTCGAGCCGAAACGCGACGTGAGGCCACGGAAAGCGTACCGTATTGCTTCTTGAGGACGTCATGCACAAGAAACTTCAGCAGCTCAAACATCTGACCACGCGGAGCTTCGAACAGCGTCGATCTTCCCTCAGGACGTTCATGTGCGCTGCCCGCATTCGTTCTTTCTATCTCGATCGAGGACTTTGCAGACGATTTTCCTGCGGGGCTGCTCTCTGATGGGGTACGACGTTGACGATGCGGTCGTGCTTTGTCTCGCACCTCACACGGTTCGCCTGCAGCGACACATGCTTGACAAGGGAAGGGAGGCGCACATCGTCGGCGTGTGTGCCTGCATCGCTCACAAGCACGTGCCGTCCGCTTGGTGGTGATATTTGCGGACATGCCCAGGCGCTAGATCGACCAACTCCGGAGCTATATTGCTTGTTTAGCTGTGGTTCCTGTGTTTTGTATATCCGCGTGATTGATGTGAAGCGTGGGTGGCCTGGATTCTGCAGGACACAGCAGCGGCAATGCGGAAGGCGGAATAAGAATTCAAGGCTTGGGTGCGGCTCTTCGAGTGAAGGTTCTTGACCAGCTCGTGTTCTTCTCGAATTTATCATTCGGCGGGCATATTGCTTTTGAGCTTGAACGGCTTCGACTATGTGCAAATCGGAGCACATCGGCCATTGTCGCCACGAGCGCAACGTGCTGCACGTTGCGTCCTCGGTGATTCATCATCGGCTCGAGCCGTCAGAGTCCGGCTTACGTGCGCAATGAGCCTCATTGTTCGTCGCGCCTTACGTGCATCGCCATATTGTCACAGTGTATCGCATGGAGATACTGAGAACATCAAGGGGAATGGTAAAGTCGTGGATCTATATCCGCGTTCTGCTTGGTGAAGCTATATCCGCTCGAGCTATATCCGCAAGCGCTTACCACAAACGGCGGAACCCACGCCTCTAGAATGACGCGTCACGTCAGACTGCATCGAACTGCCGTGTTTATTTAAAGATCGACCGGATATGCTTTCGAGCCTCAATTTATGGTGATGATCGTTTTCATGCTTAAAACTGTCATGCAATGGCTGTAACTCATGGCGCTCTCGTTGTTTGCGGATCTGGCCCGGGCGTTGCTCGAGGCATCGCCACGCTATTTGCCGAGCGAGGATTCGAGAAGGTGATCCTCCTGTCGCGCAGTGCGGAACGACTGTCGAAGGAAGCGGAAACTGTCAGATCGAAGAGCGCGACAACCAAGGTCTATGAAATTACAGCAGATTTTGGAAACGCGGAACAAGTCAAAGCGGGACTAGCAAGAGTCGAAGTCGCTTTGGGAGAGACGCCGCTTGACTGTGTATTGTACAATGCAGCTCGGACAGGAAGAAGCGATATTCTCGATTTTTCGCCGGAAGACTTCCAGAGCGATCTTCAGGTACGGGCAGATCCCCTGCCTCGACGAAGGGAGTGATCGTTGATTGACCATACATGTACAGATTGCCATGATTAGTCTTCTCACCATTGCACAATGGGCGATTCCTCAGCTGAAGCAAGCTTCATCTCTTGAAGGCCATACCCCGTCGTTGTTGGTCACAAGTGGAATGTTGGCAAAGGACCCATATCCGGCAATGTTCTCGCTTGCTGCCTCCAAAGCAGGACAATACAGTCTTGTACACTCGCTTCACAAACAATACGAATCAGAAGGAGTGCATTGTGCGGTAATTGTTATAGCTGGGCACGTGTCTGAGAGTTCTGAGGGAACAAATCCGCAAAATATTGCAAAGGAATCGTGGGAACTGTATCGACAGCCGAAAACCGAGGGTAAATTCGAGGTTGTGATTCGGGACCCAGCATTTCTTGAGCACGTGAAGAATAGAGAGAAGTAGTCAAGACAATCACCAACACATGAAACTATCCCATAATTAGCGAAATCGTGTCTGTTCAGGGTGCTGGTCCGATATTTATATGTGAGAGCTTCAGTCAAAGAATGATTCCTCTTCGTTCATCTTCTATTCGACGAATGACACTTTCCTACGATGCTGCGCAATCGAACTTTGATGACCAAGAGACTCAGGCTCGAATCGTGCTGTAGGCGGAACTACCGGAAGACGTACACAACCTATATCCGCTCCTCGCAAGGTGCGAATATAAGAGAGGGAGTCAGTCCTCTTAAATTCATCCAAAGCTCTTTCGAATGGGCATCGGGGGTTGCACCTTTTCCTGATCTTCAAACACACTCCGAACTTCACTCAGTCATGGATTTACCATCCGAAATCAAGACCTCGCATCGCATCACACTCGCACTCCTAGACGAAATTCTAGAGGACTTTGGACTCGATCGTAAACATGGCCTGTCATCGATCAAGCTGATCGGCTCATTGCCATCGAACACTGAGACCAAGAGCGATGATATCATCATGTCACTGATAGGAGCTATTCCATCTCTGGCGAACGCAATAATCGCGACGCAGATCTTTGAAGCCAGAGGAGGTGCGCCTCAGAGTATTGAAATCGACCTTCGCAGAGCGCATAACTATCTTGATCCAGATATCGGAATGACTCCTACACTCAATGATCAAGTGCGTCCTAGAGCTGAGGGAGCTGATTTTTACCCAATTTACTGACTGGGATATCGCAGGAGATCACTCTGGATGTCGTTGCCGGGAATCCGTTCATATCAGGGATATATGAGACGGCTGATAGCCGTCACGTGGTTCCCTCAGCCGTGTATGTCGATCTTGTCTACCGCTGGAGCACATTCTTGCAATGTGCAGTGAACTCGGAAGACGTTGCGAGAGCTATCAAGGGCTGGACGTCGCGAGGTAAGAGGATACGCAACACACTTTCAAACCCACAACTGAAGGTGCAAAAGATCTCGAGAGTGCGGCCGAAGCTGCGGGCTTACCGCTCGCCGTCGTCCAGTCTACAGAATCATGGGCGTCGACAGACCAGGGCAAGCATCTATCAAACCTTCCAATTGTGCCAATCCGCAAGATTGGGACATCCCCATCATCTTCACTCCCTGACCAACCGAGTCGACCATTGGAAGGAATTAAAGTCCTATGCTTGACACACGCAATCGCAGGCCCCTCAGCCGGACGAACACTCGCAGAACATGGAGCTTCCGTGCTTCAGATCATGTACACACACGGCTACGAACATCCCTTCGTCTACACATATGCAAATCTAGGATGCGCCTCTTCGCGTTTGAATCTGAACCGTGATAGCGATCGGAGTCACATGTGGAGACTCGTACGAGAAGCCCACGTGTGGATCGATTCCTATCGCGGTGGAGCACTGGCCAAATTCGGCTTCACAGATGGAAAGCTCCACGAGATCAATCCGAGTTTGATCATTTCCCATGTTCGACTCTATGGAACGACGGGTCCATGGTCGGAGAAAGCGGGATTCGATATGCAAGGCTCTGCTTCGTCGGGTATGATGGCTCTGTGTGGTCAGGGACCTCGGAATCCTGCCTGGCCGCCGGGACAGGTCATCAATGACTACACCACCGGATACTATGGAGCACTAGCTATCCAAGCAGCCATTCTTCGACAAATGAAGGAAGGTGGCGGGTATGTCTTGAGCCCGTCCTTGACGGGCACTGCAATGTCCATCGTGAAGTATTTCAGGACTTCGAGATTTCCTGAGCTTGCTCATATCCAAGGCGGCAAACTACCGCCGCAGGAGCTCACCATGACGACAGGATTGGGAGTCCTCAAGACTTTGCAGCCGCTTCCAGTTCTGACAGGTACTCCACTTCAGTACAGCAAGTCGTTATCTGCTATGGGCTCGGATTTGCCTCTGTTCCCGGGTGGTACGATGACATATGATATCGCGGCCGTACAGCCTTCCAAGAAGGAGGATGTATTGCGTGCTTTCAAGAGTGCAAACGAGAAGAAGACTCGAGAGCTGAAGGACATCTCCGCGAGGTGGACTTTAGCCTAGCCATTCTATGCATGCAAGATTCGGTTGTATTGCAAGGTAGTATGTGTTCACGAGGTAGAAATTGAGCATGAAAATTTACCTTCAGCTGACCTAAAGTGCGACTAATCGTTCCAATGCAATGATATACCGAAGGGCTAACATCAACTGCATAATCAAGTTTAATCCTCACGCATCGCCTGAATTACCAGCACCGCTCTACCGCCCTGGGATCACCGGCGTCCCATAAACGCCTCTAAGTTTCTCCAACGTCTCCTCAGGAACAATCTTCTTCGTAGGCCCCAAATACCACTCATTATCCGCCCCAGGGTTGCCCTCATACTCGACATCATACCCATTCCCCAAGTACGAGAAAATATCACTTTCATCAACATATGTGAGATCAAAGTCCTCGAAGCGCGGATTCTCAAGGACGCGCATGTAGTGCGTCCGGCCCCCGGGCCAAAGAGCAGCCTTCGCGCCCCCCGCGGCGGATTTATACCAGGCGACGCAAGGGCCGCCCTGAGGCATGCGTTCGACGAAAGCGTTGCAGTGGGCGATCCAGTGCTCGATGGCTTTTCTCTTGGGCGTGAGGGAGAGGATCTGTTCTCTCTGCATCTTGTCGATGACCTTGACGATGTAGCGGGTTCGCGGCGTGGAGATGAGGAAGTAGCTCGCCATCAGGGGCGCGTAGGCGAGGGAGGGGTTGAAGTAGTTGGGCATGCCGTCGAGGCTCATGGACATGTATGACGGGGGTGAGTTCCATTCTCGGAATTTCTCACGCATGTCCACCCCGTTGACGAGTTTGGGGTAGCGCGGGATGAAGGATTGGTTGTAGCCGGTGGCTGCGACGACGACGTCGATTTCGTGTTCGACGCCGTCGGCATCTATGAGACCACTCTCCGTAAAGCCTTTTGGTGACTGTAAAAGAAACTCGCTCTTTGGACTGGTTATTGCATCCAGGTAGCCATAGTCGAAAGTCGGGCGTCGGCAGCTCATCTCGAAGTCAGTAGGGAGGATGCACTCGAGGATGTCAGGCCTTGACTTGAGCTTCTGCTGCATATGACTGACGGCTGCTTTCTTGCCCAGTTCAGATACTTGACTGCCATTGACCAGTCCTGTGAGCCCTTTGTAGGCCACTTCATCGACTTGCTTCCGGTAGGCAAGATAGATGTCTGGGTCTTCTAGTAGTTCTTTCTGGGTTTGGTTGTCTATATTGATTAAGATTAGTACTGGAGCGCAATTTTTTACGATGAAGACTCTTACATGCAAAATTGACACCATTTTCTCCCGCCAACGACGCACTGTGTGGTGGTCCGATGTAGTTTTTGTTTCGGTGCCACGTGTACAGCTTCGCAGCATCCTTGAGGAGATATGGTGCAATTTGGACTCCAGTTGCTGTTTCCCTTATCAGTATTTGTGCTTGAAATATAGCGCAATTCTACCTACAGCCATATCCGATCAGCGCAACTCGTTTGCCCTTGAGGTCAGACCCAGCATCCCATTCTCCTGGATGGAGGATCGGGCCCTTGAAGTTTTCAATACCGGCGACGTTGATTCGCGGATCGCTGAGATGGGTCAGCTCAGGTCAGTGAGCCGAACATGGTATACGTACCTGACCGGCCCGTTAAACTCGAGGAACAGATCAACTTTGTCCTGTATCGTCTCTCCGCTAGCATGGTCGAGGATGCTCAACGTCCATTTCACTTCTTCATCAGTCCACGAGGCCCCGATGACTTCGTGTTTGAACTTGATATACTTGTAGAAGTCGTTTTCCCGGGCTACGTCGCTCAGATACTTCTGAATCTCTGCAGCGGCAGGGTAAAACTCGGACCAGACGTTATATCTCCATGTGAACTGATAGGTCGGACCAGGAAGGTCGCATCTTGAGAGGTTTTTTAGTTCTGGGGATCAGATGTCAAGGAGATTCTCCATTTTTCCTGCTTACCTACAGCCGGGGTAGCGATTCGATTGCCACTGCGCCGCCAATCCGTGAGCGACTGATCGAGACCCTCATACATAAATCAAGACCCATCGACATACCACACCACCGACGTCTTCATTCTTGTCATAGACGACGACCTCATAGCTCTCCGCCGGGATATTCTCCGTCAGATGGTGTAAGAAGTCGATCCCACTGATTCCCGCCCCGAGGACACCGATGCGAAGCTTCCTTCTCGTGCCGTAGAAGTCATCGCGGATGGTGACTTTCGGAGGATCGGCCGGGTCGCGATAGAGGAATTTAGGGGTCCATTCGGCGGCTTTTGGGTGGCTTGGGGCGGCTGCGGGGTGGTAGGGGATCTTTTCCAACATGGCGAGAAATTCCTGATGGACAATGTCATATCACACTCAGGCAGGATGAGCGGTATACAGAATGTATCATTATTCGAGGGAAAAGTGTATAGTGCACTTTTGATTCTCTCTCCATATATATAAGACTGCCTAGTCATCTAGTCTAGCGACACTGGCTCGAAAGGCTACTGACTCGCTAAAACCATGTTTCTCTGATTATCTCTCCTCAGTGAGTTCTAAATGTTCGTATAATGTTGTCATTGTATACGAGCCGAGATGGCGCCGCCAGAAGGATGCGTCGGCATGTCCCGAGTTGCCCGAAATGCTAACGAAACCTTCCCAGTTTCCAATGCGCGGCGATCAACTCCCCTCTTTACCATTACTAATGCGCCTTAAATTGACACGCTTTGTCTAATTCGAGCATAATAAAAATCATTCCTGAACAGACATAGAAATAAGAATAAGAAGAGGAAGAGGAAGAAGAGAGAAAGGACACGCGACAATATCAACAACAACAATGAGTGCATTCCTCCTATTCATTGTGCTGATCACAAGTTTCGCCGTATTATTACTCCTCTGGTTTGTGCTATCATCCTGTCTGGGAGATGAGATTCGCGCCGCCTGGTCGTCTCGTGGCCAACGCGAGCACACTTTGCCCACGACCTACGGCCTACAATATGCCCAACTCTTCGCGAACTCCGATCCTCGTCATGGTCTGTCGGAGCAGATCGAGATGGATGCCATGATGGGTGCTCAGAGTCGACAGTTCCACGACGACTGATGGAGATTGTGAAACTCAAACGCAAGATCTCATCAAAGTAAAAATGTCGTGCTCCGCGGATCGCATTCCTCTCCTCTTCTTTTCTTCCGATCAGAATTCGATGTCCTTGCCGGTGAGTTTCCCGCCTTCCTTCTGCGCATCCTGATCGCCCTCGACGGGCGGCAGCGAGAAGGGCTTCAGCACGAATTTCCTGCGACTGACCACGAACGCCAGATCCTCGCCAATGCTGTTCCCCACGCCGGCGCCGCCCTCGCCGCGCTCGGTGATCAGGGGCAATTTGTGGATCCTCGCGAGGCCCTGCGGCTGGTCTTCTCCTCCCTCCTTCGCGCCGTCTGACGGTCGAGGGTGCTCGTCGTATGCGTCCATGAGGTGCGGGAAGGGCGTGAGCTCCAGGACGCCGTCGGCGAGGATCTCCGTCCAGCGGAGGAGACCTGTTGTGCGAGGGTGCAGCTCGAGGGGCAGGGAGAGGATTGCCGTGAGGCGGTCGCTGTTGGAGCGGAGGAGCGAGCGGAGGGAGTGCAGGAATTTCAGTGAGGAAGAGGGATGGCTGGCGGTTGGTGGGTAGAGGGCCGGGCTTAGCATTGATGGGACAATGAGACGGTGGACGATGTTCGGAGGTGAGCTTTTCAGACTCTGGTTGAGCGATGCTATGATTGTCTCGAAGGCGGATCTCGGGTCGATGCGAATGTGGTTGATCTTCGCGTCGGCCGGGACGGTGATGCGTTTCGACAGATCGAACGTGTGGCAGAAGGGCACGGCGGCTTGCGCATCTGTCGCAGCTGGTACGCTTCCTTGTCCAGGCGATGCTACTCTTACCATCAGTTTGCAACTCCTACATTTCGAGGAAACGGATCGGGTGACTGGTAGGGTTTTTTCTTTTCTCTCTACATGTGGCTGTTCTACAAATCGTGCAGCTGGACGCACCTCTTTCGCCGACCTGTCCCAAACGCTCATATCTCCACGCAATCTTCATCTTCTCCTCGTTCGTCTTCGAACCACTCCTACTCCCGCTCTTCTCCACCGCGACATCAGGTAAGTCTCGCACCCAGCCTTCTCCCACCCCGACAACATGTAGCACATGACCCTGGCAAATTCCCTCGGCCGCAAAGTTGCGCAGCAGGACGCTCGAGAATTCTGTATTGCCCGACTCTTCGATCAGAAGACTGGTCCCGAGTGCGAGGCCTGCATGGCCTCCGAGCAGCCCGTCGAGGGAAGAGGTGCCGGTGGAAGTTACGGGATGCGATGTGAGAGGCGATGGGCGGACGCCTGGGAGATTGCCTATGACGGGAGTCTTCTCGGTGGGCGCTGCACGATTCGCGGGCGTGCCGAGGGGGATGTTGCGCTTGCGAAAGGCCATGATAGACCGAACCAAGTCACAGCAATCGCCGAGAGGAGATCAGAGGTTGGAATGCCGAGTGCTGAGTGCTCTATGGACTGTGGGATCAGACTCGCGTGGTGGGGTCTGCCAACATGTCGAGTTCATGACGGAATTTCGCGAAAGTCGAGGCGACGCTCGGACCATATTCGCCATGTCTAATCATCACCGGGCATTGTCCAACACACATGGTCGCCGCTACAACTATCTGTCTAATGACAAGATCCAACATACCTAGGTACTGTACATGCCTTTGCTTGCTGGAAGTATCTCATCTTGATTCTTGGCTCTGAGCGATGCGCGTGGTGCAGGTGGGGCTATCCCTTTCTATCACGTCCTCCAGCCGAGTTCCTCCTGTCAATATACTCTATATTGATGAGGGTCCCGTTCGCTCGCATTTCCGGATGATGCCATTTCTTCTGCCGAAACGACGACGATATCACGTAAGCTGCATGGAGTTTCTCTCAAAACGGCGGATCGATCTTTGCGGTGAAGCATAAGGTGGTCGTGATTAGATATAGTTGGTGCGCGTAGTTTGCCGATCGTGCACCCCTCACACTATTCATCTATCAGCATCATATGTTATCAGGCAGGTGTCCTTCGATCATCCCATACCGCCGAGATAGTCCGCAGCCATCAACAACTCCAAGCACAATTCCGGCGGAATATCCATATCCGGGACATCTCGGGCGTCCTTGTGCTTTTCGTTGTAGTAGAGATATTCGCAGACCTTCTCCAGGACCATTCCACTAGGATTCATTCGATGTTAGTCTGCCTTATCTGGGTTCTGACGGTTGACTGCGAAACGAGGAAGCGGTACTTGATGTTATCGAAGTGACATGTGTTGGTCTGGGATTCTCGAAATCCATCTGTATGGTGTGTCAATCCCTCTTCGTTTGGTGAAGATGTGTGGTTCCCGTACTGGCTGGGTCGAGCATCCTCCGAATGGCTTCGCTGATGTTGGCGGCGGACCGGCGAATCACGTAGGAAAAGTTGTCGGAGGACACCAAGGTGACATATGTCGACAGATCTTCTTGGGTCGCCATGATCGTTGTGTGTTTCGAACTCAATATTCCGTCGACAAGGCCGAAGTGGAAACGCCTCTTGTTGTTGAAGGCGATATGTTGATCGTGGTTCTTGCGTGGCGATTGATCAACACCTGGGCAGGCAGATGCCTGGCGTTTTCGCCGGTCTGTTGTTAGGGTTGCGACTCTTCGTTTCCCAGGTTCACAAGCTCTCGCGATGCGGAATGACAAGCACCTGCACCTCACGAACCACTTCACCATGCCGATACCGATCAACATCTGTCAGTGAGGCCGGTGGCTTAGTTGAATACTCTCTTCCAAGGTTCTCGTTTGTATACCTAGGTAGGCGGTGAACTTGTGCGTAGTCCTAGCAGTACACATGCTACCAGAATACATGGGTCCTCGTCGCGCCGTCACAGCGATATCTCTCCGCGTCTACACTCCGTCGACAACCAGAACCTGGTGTTCTCCGAGGTGCCCAGGTGGCTGCCATCGCCTAGCTAAATTGAGCGCATTCCCATATGATTGATGGGCAGGCGCAAGCTGTGGCTGTACAGTTGCATAAGTACCTAGGTAATCAGCGGTTGGGTGTCTGGGTCGTCCTCCTACGCCGCAAAGTGGGCGCTTGCGCGAGCAGCGGCCCCTCGTGCCTTCCAGTCGACAGTGACTTGTGACGACACGTCTGACAAGCAGGGAAGGCCTCAAATAATTCTCTGCTCCGCCACAGCTCATTCATGACTTAAGATCATCATCATTCTCGCTGACGAGTCTTCCCCAGACCAAACACTACAACCATCGCGCGATCGGGTATCTCCTCTACAGCTTCGTCGCATTTGAAACCGCAGATACACGGCCTCAATACCACAGACTAATCCTCGACTCGCTCATCATGTTCGCCTGCTTCACCTCATGTGCCGGCGCCGGTCGCAAAAAGCGCGTGCTCCCAACCCCACTCGCAGTGAACGAAAAGCGAATCCCGTATCACGATGAGCCCTACAAGACCCGCGGCCAGACCGTCGATGAATTGACCGATCTGTTTCGCTCGACAAGCATCCCGCTCTCACAGCTGGTCGAGGAAGTAGAGGATACCGTCTACGCACAAGGCTGTTGGGACGAGCTTACCGCGCAAGCCTTTCTCGCGGCACTGAGCAATCTCATCCTCGCGGGCGAAGACGCCTCGCCCACCTTCACCCACACCCTAAACAGGGCCATCGACGAGGCCAAAAAGATCGAGGAACTTGCCGTGGACTTTGCAGGAGAACATCCGGTGCTCACCGCCGCAGTGTTGGCGATTCTGGCCCTGGGTGTCCTTTATCTGTTCTGGCCGGCTGCGCTTGACCTCCTTGGGTTCGGCTCCGAGGGAATTATCGCAGGTAGATATGCTCGAAACTTTGTCGTCGTTATTGTACCAGGCTGACTTGTGCCGCAGACTCCTTTGCTGCTCGGTTCTGGCAGAGCTATCTGGGCAACGTCCCCAAGGGGTCTTTCTTCTCATACCTTCAAAGACTTGCCATGACGGTGGGCAAGTAGGGATGATCAAGTTCACGGACCATAGCGAGAACAGCGTGGTCTTTCCCAGGGATCGGGAAGGGCGAATTGCTCGATACGTTCCACTCATCACATCATCTTCTCGCTGTATCGATATTGTTTATTGCAAGAACTGGTACCGAATAGCTTCAACTTCCTGCCACTCAGATCTAAAGCAGCCTCGAGGCAGAACCATGAAAGTTATCGGCGTGTAGACTTTCAGACGCTATCGATCCCATCGCTGCCAACGGCAACTAATAGCCGTGCCCGTGATTCGATTATAATGTATTCTGGCACCTTTGTGTCGTATAAGCAGGTATCATTCAAATGGATACGCTAGTCGTTCACAAGCAACGCCAAGCTACGGGAATATAGCTGCACCAGGCTTGAGCCACAGCGACCGTCAATATCCTCCTCTTGCACGTTCTCCGGACGGAACGACGCAGTGTCGTGATCGCCAAGATCATGGATTTACTGGCCGTGGATTCCTCTACGCAATCTCATCATCAGCCTGCTTAATTCATGTTCAGTGACTGCTTGCAACGTGCCAAGATCGCCGAGGCCGCCCCCTGGTAGACTGTGCCGCATTGTTGCATGCATCGCGAAATGAGCATAGACCTGTGCCACAAATGAAAGGGCAACCAGCCTGAACGCAAGGAAGCACTGCCTTGAATCGATGCCCCGTTCTATATTTGTGTTTCGATGGACAGATCTCAGGCGTGTTCGTCATTTCGCTAGCCACGACAGGCATGGCAGACATCGGTGTTGACCTCGGGCCGCCCTTGACAGTGATCGGCGGCAGATACTAAAGCTTGTATCTGTCCGTCGTGGCAACGATCGTTCTTGCACCTGCAGCCTGTCAATTCGGAGTCTTTCGTCCCGCGTGGATCGCATACTGCGACGTCTAACGTCCTTTCCACCACATTTTGTCACATTTCAACATTGTCTTTACCACCTGAGATCTAATCAGATTCTGCCCAATTACCTGTTCGATTGTTCATCTCTCGTTCCCTTGGACAATCCGATCAAAAACAACGCCATGGCGTACTTCCTTGCAATATTCTTATTTCTGTTCGCTTCTCGATCGCTTGCGTCGCTCTCGGACATATATGACACTCCTAGAGTCTTCGAAGTCCAACTGATATCCCCAAGAAACGGGACGTGGGAGCCCACTGCCAATATGCCAATAATTTTTGCCATCAAGAACCCCAGGCTTGCATCGCCGCTCGGGGTCAGTTATATCAGCTGGAGATTTGCCAAACTCGGTACATTTTCCGACCAATACTCCGACAGTGGCGATATCAAGCTGCAGACTCTGAACGGATCAACCCCGAGTCCTTACATTGCCATTGATCACAGTAGCGTCATGGGTAAAGTTGAAGCCGAATGGGTTTTCGTGTGGGATATATCCTTCTCGAACTGCTCCAACGACGTCACGGATGTTCAAGACGAGGATGGCAGGGAGGGACGTGTCGCCACCACCAATATCTGGCGGGACGGGAAGATCAATCGTTTGCAGTTCACGACGCGCAATGCAACCACCGCCATGTCGGTCGAGGCCGCCATGTCCAGCGATGACACCTGCCGTCTTTCCGATACTATAGCTCTGAATGTCCATGATCTCCTTCCACTTCCTGGCTGGATTAGGACTGGCGACCAGTCTCAGTGGTACGCGCCCACATGGCGGCCAAGCTGCGCCAACCTAGGGCCTACACCGACAACGGCGAGCTCTTGCGCTTTCAATGGAACGACCAGGTCAAGTGTAGCGGCGCAGGTGTCGTACTATGGCTGCAAGTCCAATTGCACTCTGCCGGGAGAACGATCTGCCGCGTCGTCCTCGAATTGTTTCAACTCTCTCTTGTTCGCTGTACTACTGTGTATGGCACTTGGTGTAATTCTCAATTGATATTTCTTATCAAAGCGTTGTTGCGGCTTGTCCTGGGACTTGAATCAATATCCATTACTTTCTTCTTATTTTTCTTCCATGGTTCCAAGTCGTGAAATAGAGATCCCTATTCAGGCTTGTAGGATATCGAATTAAAACCAGACTATGAGATGGGCACACAGTAAGCAAGGGCCGTACCACGCCCGGACAACGGGTGCAGCCAGCCTGAAGGAAATGTAAAATCGGCCCGCAATTCACCACTCCGGCATAATTCGCGCCTGCGGCACGGGCGCACGCTCGGCGTACATGGCCACTAACCCTGGAGAGACACCGGCATTGTGACTCATTGGAGCATAAACATTCGACACAGCAATGCCGACGCATGCGCTCAAACGAAGCAATTGCGACATGCAATTGTTATATATGAGCTGATGGCCGTCGCCCCTTCTCGTTTTCGCTGACAGTCTGTCGTCTTTGAGACTGCCGTTGCAACGATCCAGACGCTGCCCTCCCTCAAGCCCAAGCACCGACTCAGTCCGCAACGAATTGTTAGGCCGAACTTCCTCATCCTCCGTTGGAGAAGCCTGAACGCACTCGCGAAGCGGTGTGTGCAGTATCTACACATATGGCCGACAGGTATGCCAGCGGTTCTATCTGGTGGTTGGAAGGAGATCTGACCAAGGCTTCAATGTTGTACGAAGGAGCATTCGACGAGTGGTGGTCGCATCTGGAGAGTGTTTGGCTAATTCGCGACAACGTGCCTCAGCGTCGAACTTACAACTCCAATACCATTCGCGGTCTGAGCAGAGGAGAGACGACATCTGTGACAGAATTATGCCATTCAGTGAGTCCCATCATACTAAGGCGAGTCCCGGCTGCTGGATTTCGGACTCTCGAGACCTTATTTCCCGCACTCGAGACAGCCAGTCAGCCATTTCGATTATTGGATCTGCCAATAGATATTCGACTGCACGTCTATGACTACATACCGCTTGACTTGGACCTCACGGTCGATACCGACCGCTGGGAACCTGGCCGCGTGCCCCCGATCCTCGGCTGCTGTAAACAGATACGGCAAGAAGTACTTCCCATGGTCGGCATCGAGCTAGATCTTGAGGCCCATATCGACGTATTCAAATGCGGCCATCTTGCACCAGACAACACAACCAACTCCACCTTCAGAGACTTTGCGAAGCAGCTGACCCATTGGTCTTTGGGTGGCGGCTTGGAGTTTGTCAGCAATCTGTCCAGAATCAGTCTCACGTTCGAGGAGATGTGTGAGACCTGCAAGGGCCCGTGCAGTGCTTCTCCAGGCATCGAGTTTGAGATCGATTTCGCATATAACTCTACCCAGGGCTTGTATGTTCGAGGGAGCGGCTCGAAGTATTATCGCGCAGAAGGATATTGGGGATGTCCCGCGCAAGATGCGCTGTCTAAAATTAAGCATGAGGTGGCTACTCTTGATATCGAGAGACGGAAATGTGGTTTCGGTGGTAGCGCGCTAGTACTTCTCATTACCAAATGTCTTCCGAAGTGGAAGTTTTTGAGTTTGGAGGAGAACAACGGACCGGCTCAGGCCTAGAATCTCGCAAACACATGCACTATTACCAAGATATCAACATCAGTATGATTCTGTCAAACATGGATTATACGCCACATTTCCTCGAGTAACAAATTATTTTGCCTCATCATTACGGAGTGGACATCAGCACTTTCAGATCGTACGCTTGAACAATAGATTTTTAAAATATTAGCCACAAATCAAACGCGATAGTCATGAAAAATCGACCGGCCTGTGGCGACCTTCAGCGGCATTTGGGCATGTTGCAGAGCCCCTTGAGCCACTTCGCAAAGCATTGGATCACAGCCTCTTTAGCCCGTCCGTGTCATTCAGCATAACCTGCGATTATGTTCATATCTGGAGGATCAGCGACTGATACTCTAATTTGCATCGGCCCCGGCCGATTCGGAATTCGCGATTGATAGGCAATTGCCCCCGCTGGATACGCGAGCATATTGGATTAGCAAGTATATGACACGGTTAGAGAGTCTCTACCTACTAACGATTGTGATCTCCGGGCCTTCCGTGATTGGGGAAATATTCCAAGACGAAGCACGATTCAGCAAAGTTGGTTCCCTGCATGCTGTAAGCTACCAAGACCCATGACATGATTCAGACGCATCTTACGTAGGTAGATCGTCACGATAATTTGGCGCTTCATTCTCAATAGGAAGCACGACGATCGATCCGACGTGTACAGGCTCTGTCACTTTGAATTTCTTTCCAAGGAACCATTTCTTGTATTCGGTGAGCCGTGCGGAAAGGTTGTCTCGCTCTGCTTGTGTATAACTTTCGTGCACAGCCCTGTAAACACGTCGATAGTCGCGTCTTTCTATGCGTAAGACTGGACGTACCATCGCCATTTCATATAACGATCGACAAATGGAGTTTTGCCGAACTTGGCTATATAGGCATGGCAGATTTATTTATAGGGATAGTATGCGTCGTAGTAGTACGGCACACAACCGGCATTGCATCATTAAAGATGTCAGGAATAGTGCCGTATCGCTGTTGTCGACTTGATCTTACCTCCACCAGATATTCGCATAATGATGTATGGCCGTCGCTACTTGGCTCATCCGCCTCCCAAAGTTCCACCAAAGACAAGTCCACTCTTGGAATCTGAAAGATTTTAACTGGTGCATACATGGGACAGTATGCAAATTGGATGCCTTGCTCTCGCGCTGTCGATGAGTTACGCAATAAGCCAGTGCTGGTAGATGATCAAGCTGGGTTCGGAACGCGATGAGCGTTGAAGAGTGACCTTCGTAATTGCAATGTTCATTCCATCACTTGCAAAACGATCGGCATGGACTTTGTCGACTTCGGTGCCTTTTCGCTGAGTTTGTAGCGTCAATGCCTACAATTCTTGTCTTGAACACCGGATTGTTCAACATAATCTGCTGACATTGTTGGTCTGGATTCAGGACAGCGGCTCGATCAAAAGTGCGTACTGGCTTGCTATGCTGCGCTCTTGAGCCATAAATCAAGTAAACCGTCATATGCTAGTCCTCATGTTGTATAGCAGAAGAGGTGTTAGTCATCGAAAGCACATGCTGCTCACTCACCGACTTGGGTCGCGTGATCTTTCAGACCAAGATGGGAGGCTCCGTGCTCAGCCATGATGGGTAAAGACCACGAATCCAACCAAGAACATTGTGCTCTCGAACACGGAGGCTTCCCTTTGGCAAGTTTATCGTCTGTTTGACAGTGATCTCAAGAAAATTTAACATCAATATGATTTATCATGGTGTTACACAACTCAACTAACATTAAGAGCCATGGCCATCCCGCTCCCCATATGCCACAAAACATGACAATGAAACATCCAAAGACCAGGATTGTCCGCTCGTAATCGCAGGACTGCATAGCCTCTTCGCGGTACGTACACGGTGTCTCGCACCACGGCGTTCATCAAGTCGTATTCTCCTCCAGGAGGGTCGTCTTCGAAAGGATTGTACGATCCCCAATTGTAGTCCGAGCTGTACGTAGACAAAACCCAGAAGCTGTAGCCATGAAGATGAAATGGATGGCCTTCTTCGTCTCGGTTGTTGAGGACAATGTCGATCCATAATGGAGAAGACGCGTCGTATGGTATATGGGGGATGAAATGGTTTGCCGACCATGATGTCGGCGGCTGGGAGATGAGCGCAGAGTTTGATGGAGATGAGGGCCACATCGTGTTGTTGATGAAGCCATGGGGCTCATTGTCCAGGTGGGCGAGCCTTTGAGTGACGGCGTAAAGTACAATGGTCCGGTCGACGGAGCTTGCAACCGCGTCAGATTGTGTATGCAGAGATTTTACTTCCTGGATATCGAGTATCTGCAGGGCGTCCGTGCCTTTCCCTGAACTTTCAACGTTATCGCCGGTCCAAGATAGCAGGAATTGGTGCTTCATGGTGAGCGCATCATTTTGATATTTGAAGAAAGTATCGTCCAGAGTGATCGAAAGCGATTCGTTAGGGTCTTCTGCGCGGTTCGTAGGCTCCAGCAGAATATCCATCCGTTGTCCAGGGTGCAGCGACCCGATACTCTTTGCGGCATGTCCTGCGACGCTGAAACCGCCATCGATCGTCAGCGGTGTCAGCATGGAATTTTGTGGGTTGATGAAGAAGCCCGCATATGCTCCGACATTGACGACGCGGAGGATATTGCGTCTTCGTCGATCGAAATTAGAGACCGGTCGGACATTTTGTCGCTGCGCACAATCGACCGGCCTTGCGGGCACTGCGTCGGCACACTTGAAGGTACCCTCGCCATTCATTAAGATAGAATCCGGGATCGTCTCGAGCCCGAATGCGCCAGGATGCATGTAGAACTCTAGAGCCTCTGCTGCAGAGCGATGGTACCAGTCACCGATGAGAAGGAGGGTCTCGTCTGCAACGGAAGCAGTGTCCTCCGAGCCAAATGCTGGCTCATGGATGACAAGCCCACCATATAGCCCATCTGCTCTCTGGACTCCATCATGTGCGTGATACCAAAAGGTTCCATGCTGGGCTTCGTCTATGACAAAGTCGTAAACCATCGAGTCGCCATCCTTGATGCCTGCTTGAGTTACTCCTGCAGCTCCATCCATGGCATTGGCTCCTCGCATGTGAAGGCCATGCCAATGTATGGACAGACTCTCATCTCGCCCTAGACGATTTGTAACATTGACAATAACCCGATCACCAGATCGTGCCTCGATTGTCGGCCCGAGGAGCTCGCCGTTGATCAGGTAGACCTGCTTCAGGACTCCATCCGGACGGCGCTCACCAGTGGTAATTTGCCACGAGTGTCGGATTGTTCTTGGAGCTCGGAATATGTGCTCTCGAGGATGGAGAACGAATTTGTCCTCGCCCGATGTTGTGTCTGAATTTTCTGATACACTGTGGAGAGTAGCTTGGTTCGAGAAAATGCCCAAATAAGGCCCCACGTCTGGCCTGAATCGTGCCGAAAGGACGAAGAGGACGAGCAGCGCAGACGCAATGGCTACAATTATGGTTCTGTTGCTCGGTCGTCCGCGTGGCGTGAAGCCGATATTCTTTTTCTGCCCTGGTCGCGACATCTTGCAAATGTCATGCGCATCGATCTTGCAACAGGTATACTCTCATGCTGGAACTTCAACAACTCGATAGTCACAATCTCGTGCGCACGTTGCGATCATGACTCCGCACTTCGACTGTGCAGTGGTGACCTTCGGTGATGAATCTCGCCCGTTGCCGTCGCCGCCCAAATTGAACGTAGAAAGCGGCAAAGCACGTTGCCCTGCGTCACGACAATATTACGAACTCTCCAAGGGTCCCACGTTAAAAGCGTGGGTGGCTTGCTCGTGGGATTGATGAATTGATGAACCGTCCAACCGAAACCGACGACCGGTGCGAAGACCTTGTCACGGAAAGGAAGCACCGGCACGAAAGCCGATCAGTCTGCCGATCAGGGTCCAGGACAAGCGAAACCACATGTTCGCACTTCACCTTCTTATTCGCTCACCACTGCACGGATCTCTTCACTATCTGCAATGCCTGTGGGGAACTTGTGTTCCTTCGGAGCAATTCTACACTTCTACTGCATAAGTTCGCTCCATTCGGATAAGTGGTGAGCTTCGACTATGCACGTGCTGTAGCCTACTGGTCGAATGGCGTGAACGATTCGCGCATGCCAGATTTTCGAATTACCACTTCCGGCAAAGGGACCGTTCTAAATGACTCACAATGATAGTAGTGTCGGTGGAGAAAACGTGGACATGAATGTCACGTCCGAACGTTACCTTTGACTCCAACCTGATTGGGAAGGTGGAATGCATAAGCACCAGGAACCGCTACCAAGCTTTTAAATGATGTAGATGCCCAGACGTCTCACAACTATTCCTGGATCATCTCAACCTCCACTGCAATCATGATGGCGAGTCTCACAAAGGTGTCGCTGGCCGCGTTGGCCCTGTCCAGTGCAGTTTCTGCTGGCTCTCTGGCGGACATCGACCATGTCGTTCTCTTCATGCAAGAAAATCGAGCTTTCGATCACTACTTCGGAACTATGGCCGGAGTTCGTGGTTTCAAGGATCCCAACGTCAAGGTCAATGGCAACAGACCCGTCTGGTACCAACAAGTCAATGCCAAATTGTCCACCGCTACCGACTACCTACTGCCGTGGTACTTGAACTACCTCGGAGGAAGCTGGCAGCAAGCCACGCAATGCATGTCTGCGTAGGTCATCACTCAGGCCATCGAGAGAACTAGTAAGCTGACACTGGACAGGGGCTCCAACGGCTGGAGCGCAAACCAAGGCGCTTTGGCTAACGGTACCAACGATCAATGGGCAATCGCAAACACTCCCTGGTCTTGGGGCCACTTTACACGCAAAGAGATCCCTAATCACTTTGCCATTGCCGAAGGCTGGGCTGTTGGAGATATGTACGCCGAGAGCGTCATTGCGTCAACCAACCCAAACCGTGTGACCTGGATGTCGGGTACCATCAATGCTCCGGGCTCAGCACCAGGACTCGGCCAAGGCGGCATGTATGTACCGCGAAATCCCGAGCAACGTTAAAATCGCTCTTTCTGACGATGGTCTTCACAGGTATATCGACAATAACAACAGCCCTGGATGTGAAGGCACCAACTTGAACTGCTACCCGCTCAAATGGCAGACCACTGCTGAGACTTATGAAAATGCAGGAGTCTCGTGGCAGGTCTACCAGGACACAGACAACTTTGACGACAATGCTCTCGTACACTTTGAAAACTTCCAGAAAGCCGCCAAGGGATCCAACCTGCAGAAGAAAGGACTCGCATTCCTTGGTCTGGAACAATTCTACAAGGATGCCGCTGCGGGAGTTCTTCCTGCAGTGAGCATCATCGTTGGCCCTGCAGAGCTGTCCGAGCACCCGCCCTACCAGCCAAAGGATGGAGGTTGGTTGCAACAACGCATCGTCAACGCCGTCACGTCGTCTCCGAAATACAGCAAGACCGTCCTCATGATCTCGTACGACGAGACCGGTGGTTGGGGCGACCACGTCCTGCCCTTCACGTCCCCCCGCGGTACCAGCGGAGAATGGGTCAAGGACCCCTACGGCAGCAGCGACGTCCCCACGGGCCCCGGCTTCCGTCTCCCCTTCTACATCATCTCCCCGTGGACGCGCGGCGGAAATGTCTTCGTCGAGCCCTCGGACCACAACTCCCAGATCCTGTTCGTGGAGAAATGGCTCGCAGCCAAAGGCAAGAGCGTCAAGACCAGCGCCATGAACGCCTGGCGACGCAGCCACATGGCCGACCTCACGCGGGCCTTCGACTTCGCCAACCCGGACTTCTCCATCCCGAACATGCCCAACATCTCCTACCCGTCGACCGACAAGCCCGGCGGCCAATGGAACGGCTACTCCGTCTGCGAGAACACCTACGCCACCCGCCGGCCCCCGGTGCCCTACGGCAAGCAGTCCCCCAACGACGCCCCGGGCCAGACCGAGGAGGGCTTCAAGAAGATGCGCGGGAACCCCACCGAAGGCCGCTACCTGACCTTCGAATCCAACGGCTACGCGCTGACGAACGGCGGCAGCGGCAGCCTGACCACCAGCGCAGCGACGTCCTCCCACAGCAGCAAGGCCCAGCGCTTCGTGCTGTACGCGAGCAACCCCGATGCCAGCGTCCTGCAGCAATTCGCCATCGCCAGCGCCGTGGACAACAGCACCATCAGCGGGACATCGTTCGTGCGGAGCGGAGGGTCCTCCGCCGCTCTCTACACGATTCGTGACTTGGGCAACGGCGCGGGATACACCGTTCAGGCGAGTGGCGGATCTCAGCAGTATCTTGTCGCTGATGGCTCGGGAAGGTTGAGTTTGAGCTCGACGGCGCCGTCGAACGGGTGGACTGTGTACAGCGTCACTTACAATAATTAAAAAGGGTGTTATAGTTGGATGATGATGGTGGTGGTGATGGCATGTGAGCTATTGTTGTCAGGCAGAGGAAAATAGAGGAAGGAGCAAAGATATGATACAGATGCGTATGATATGTCATGAAGCGCACAAGTTTTGTTTTTTCCAGATTCTCCCCTTCCATGATGATTATATATTACCTGCTTCCCGTGTATTATGATGACAGTATCATGCGACATGTCACATCATCCCCGACAGATCCCTCCTCAGCATTTCGAGGATTTTCTGCGGGTCCCGACTCGGAGGCAGCTGAGCGCTTTCACCTCCAGGATTCGCAGAAGTTTTCATGGAAGCTCTCTGCTCCGCCGTCATGGTGGCTGTCGCATTCGCGCCTGTCGCACTGTGATGAACACTCGAACTCGAACCGCCAGCGGGGTTTCGATCGCTGATTGAATGGCTCTCTCTGTCGACATGATCGAGAGGTGTTCGCGCGGGATTTCTGGCTTCGCGGGCGCGTTGGTCGGCGAGGTAGGCTTCTTCTGTGATGAAGGCTTGCTTACTCGTCGTCGCCGCCGAGGCGACTTCATCTGGCCCATGCGGAAAGATATAAAAAGTCGGAAACTCCAACACGGCGTGGGTGGAAAGTGCTTGCGTCAGGGTCTTTGAGGCGTCCATTGGAATAAGGACTTTGGCTCGTCCGGTGGTGGAGGGTCTGAGGAGATAGTAGTAGTGAGAAGGTTTTTCGGAGGGCGTTGATATAGGATCTGCATCGCTTGTGATCAGGGACGTGCTTGCACTCGGAGGAGGCGGCTGCGCAGTAGTGTTGGAAGGGGCTTTTTCTTCGGAAAGATCTGTCGATGGGTCGGACGGAGGTTCTGCGTCGTGATTTGATATGTTCGGATGTATTTCGTCTGCAGTGCTTACACCTGCATCATTCCCTCCAGTCGACGAAGAAGAAGTCGGCTTGTCCGCTGATGGATCCGATGACATATTCTGCTCCACCGCGCCAGATAATTTTCGATCATCATCATCATCATTATCGAGACCACGCTGTCGCTTCCCACTCGTAATACGCGTACCAGAATTCGACGCCTCGGCCTCCGCTTTTCGCTTCGCAGCATTGGTCTTCTCGACCTGCAGCGCACGATGGAGTTCCGCAAGCGTATTCGACTCGAGGCAGGAATTCTGGACGGTAGTCTGGCCGTCGAGATCGATCCATTCGACGGTCCACATGATGCGTTTATTCCTGCGTGGTCGTCATCAGTGAAAAACGCCCACTCGATGAGGGGGAGGAGAAGAACTCTCTCCGGGAAGGATTCGGCGAGACTTACTTCGTGCACCGCGTCTGATTCATCCTCTGCCTCGACATCCCCGTCGGCGCCCTCGTGACGCCGATCCGGTTCTTCTGCAAATACTGCTGGACCGGACCTTCGGGATTCCCCCTCCTCGCAAACACCTTGCCTCCCCTCTCTGCAGGACCACCGCGGCTGCCACCACCAATCCCTCTCTCGACTACCTCCTTCCCCGCAACCTCGATCTCCCTCTCAACACCTTTCAGAAAATTGTAATCCTGGTCCAGCGCCGCAGGAGTCGCGAGTTGGCTGCGTTTCCGGTAGGCCGCGGGGTCTCGTTGGCCGGAGCAGGAGGCGCGTTGTTGGTGGCGTTTGTAGCATGGCAGAGAGCAGGTGCGGGTGCTGCAGCGGGGACAGCGATATTTGGGGGGAAGAGTGTAGCTAGGAAGGACATCAACGTTTGCACATGGTTGGAATGGGTGATTTCTTCAATCTGAAGGAGAAGGAGGATACGTGCAGAGGGAGGGAGAAGGGATTGTACAATGCTTCCTGTTTTTTCCCCTTTGATAGACTCTATCTCTCATCGTGGACTAGCATTCCGGGAAGAGATTGAGTTTTTTTGATAGAGACGGGTGTCTCCGAGCATGGATTTGCATGGATTTCGCCTTTTCCGAATTAAAATTGAAAGGGAAAATTCCTGGTAGTCAAGATTACGAAGAGGGTGAAAGGATAAGAGCGAGCGAAAAGAATGGAATCTTCTACCGAACTTACCAAATACTACATAACTCCGCCAGCGAAGTCTCCTCTTCCTTCCTGTCCTCGTTTCCCAAGACCGGCGACGACGGCGGCGGCGGCGACGACATGATCGTCGCAACCGATCCGTCTGCCGTCATCTCCCAGTCGTTTCTTCAGAATGGGGAAAGTCCTTGAGAAATTCAAAAAGGCTTCGGACGATCTCGAGGGTGGAGGGTCTGCGCTCGGGGGGATTGTCGCGACGAGGGAAATCTCGAGAGGGATGGATTCTTGAGAGGGATTCGTCAACGAGGCTCTTGAAAATATCTTGAAGAGCTTGAACGCCCTTGGAGGAGACGGTATGACCTGTCGGTTGTTGCGGAAAGAACGTGGCGATCCACCTGTGTCGAAAGAGAGGTGTATGTGTATTAGATGGAGTGCTGTAGTAGCATGAAACATGTGGATGCGGACTGACTTCCAGTGTGCAGACGGAATAAATTTCACGACGCGCTGACGTCGTTAGGGTTATCCTTCGCCGTTGGATTCTCGCCGACGGTGGAGGATGACTAAGCAGATTCACCGAGCCACCGTCTTCAAGGATATCTTCAATATTCAAGGTGGTTTGATGATGCTTTCCGTTGAATTATTTTTCATTTCATAGGACTCGTATCTAGACATACACATGAACAAATATCATTCAGATCATCTACAAGCATCTCTAGGTCTTGCGTATAGTCTCTTTGCTTCTGCTTCTGCATCTCCCCCCCTCCTCCTTGAAGCCAGAACCGAGTCCTGGCCTCGGGTCGACCTGACCTGACGGACTCAGAGCAAGCGGAAGCAGAAGTCTGCCTGCCTGCCTGCCTGTCTGCCTGTGATCGAGCGTGTTCAATGGTTCTCAGCATCCCACGCAGACCTGCAGAAGGAGCAAAAGATTCAGGGAGAAACTCCCACGGCTCTTTCCCGGACAGCATTTCCTGCCGAAGCGAGATCCCGCATGGGGATAGGCCGCCGTTTTTCTTTTCGCCTTTTCCGCGACGAATGATTTCCGCATGGAGTGTGGTTCGTGGAATCCGGAACGCTGCAAGGCCAGGCTGGTGGCTGTGTGCGTGCATGGGAGGTCGAGGAAATTGTTCCTCGAGGACTGCCCAGGGGTGTAACCTGACCAAGGCATGTGTCCCCGTTCGAGGTCTCTCTCTCTCCCTCTCTATTAGTCGAGGAGGACGATTCCCCATTCCTCATTCTGTTCTTTTCTTCTTCTTTCTGCTTTCATTCTCCTGGGTCGACCTCGTCGTCATTCACCGACCCATACCCAGACAAGTCAGACACTCCTGGGCGAGTTTATTCGCGGCGGCGAAGTCCTTCAACTTGTTGACGATGATTTCATATTGGTGGCGGGCGCGGACGTCGATGTCCTGGTGGGCCTTGGAGAAGACGGCGCAGTAGTAGAGGAGGATCGGGGTGAGGGGTTGGATCTGGGACACCCATCACATACATCGTTAGCCTGTGGATCTCACGCGTGCGGATGACGGGACGATCGGACGGGGAGGGAGCTTACCTTGAACGAGCTAAACTCCGACAGACGCTGGAGGAGGCCCGCGAAGGTCTGCGAGGCGGCCAGGGCGCGGACGTGCACGCCGTGGAAGCCGCCCGAGGCAGTCGGGACGACGTCATGTGCGGGCATGGCGGTGAAGAGCAACATCAGCGCGGTCTGCGAGACCATGTTCGTGAAGAGCTGGAGGGCCTCGGAGGAATCGTCCACCATGCGGCCGGCGGTGGTGCTCGCGTTCTCCAATTTCTGCAGCAGCATCGCGCTGAGGGCGTTGTATCGCGCGACGGAGTCCTCGATCTGGCAGCCGCCGTGGACGAGGTCGATGGCGGACTCCTGCTGGTGCGCGAGACAGCGGCCGGCGATGGTCACCCAGAAGATCGTCTCGGAGAAGGGACTGAGGTCGTGGTCCGGCGGGCTGGAGATTACCTGCGCGAGGAAGTCGGTGCGCAAGGGGTGGGAGCATTGGAAGGGGCTTTCGGGCATGGGGAGGCGGGTGAGGATCATCTGCTCGCTGACGGTCATGGGGGATTGGTTGAAGAGGCTGAGGAAGCGGTCGAGCATGTAGGCGGCCCAGAAGACGCGGCGGCGTTCTTCGCGCTCGATCTCGCAGTGGCCCTGCTCGTCCGGGGTGGAGTTGGGGTCGTCGATCTTGTGCAGTTTGAGGAGCTGCACGAGGCGGAAGCAGCGGCTGGCGCTCATGGAGCCCCGCTGGTAGCTGACGTGGGTCGTCTCGTAGATGGCGAGCAGGATCAACGCTTGGACGTACTCGATGGAGATGGCCTCGCCGAGGGTTTCCAACTCCCATCTCTCCAGCATTGATCTGGTGGTGGCGTAGAAGGTGGCGCGGACATCGAGGAATTGACTTCCCATGGAGGCGGCCATGGTCCACATGGCATGTTGGAGGGTTGTGAAAGGTGCAGAGCTGTTACCAGAGGCGGCCTCTCTCTTGAAGTATCGCCGTCGGTGTAGGAAGGGTACAAAAGAATGTACTCGATCGAAGTACAGATGATTCAGATCGGCTCTTTGAAATTCCGTGAGAGGAACGGCTTGAACGTTGTCGAGACCGAACGACGGGCCATTGAAGTTGTTCTCGATTGGGAGGGTATTTGAAAATGTGTCCATGGATGTGAAGAGGTTCATCTTTGACAAAGCATCCATGTCCATGTCCATTGCATCCTGCATGTCACCGGTATATGTCATGAGAGGATATGGTGGGGAGAACAGCATCATCGGATCGAAGGGTGGATCTGAGAAGATGAGAGGCGCGGATCCGTCGGGCAGCGTATCGCATTCTTGCAGACTGATCTCTGATACTGCAGTGGAGCTCTTGCGGGATGTATCTAGGGATGGATCCTGATCGGATTCTCCGCTGGAGTTGCTCGTGTCTTGGTTGGTATTCGCATCGCCAAGCTGCTGCTCGAGAAGCACTTGATCATTGGTCAGCGGATGTGCTTTTACCATGATGAATTGGCGAGCGACACTCACAGATGCGGGACTGCAATGCTCGCAATTGTCCCTTCTTGGGACCTCTGGGCTGCCTGACGGCATTGGGTTTGCAAACGATGTTCAGATCTTTGCAGTTGTTACAGGTTGGTCTGGTCGATAGTGTAAGCATGGTGCACGGCATCCGGCCAACGTTCATGAAGTGGTATACGCACTCTTGTCGATCACATCGCATCTTCCGCGTCCGGCAACCTTCACAGGCAAGGCCAGGCTGCTGTCGGGATTGGGTCTTCTTCGTTGTGGTGGGATGTTGCTCGGCCATGTTGAATCACGATGGTTGTCTCTCGTGAGCTGGCAAGGGGGTGATCAACAACACCTAAGGTATCTTGAGATGAGAGAGAGAGAGAGGCTTTGTTGAAAGGAAGCTGACTTGATGAGCCAGTGAAGAGATGACTGATCATGGTTATAGAAAAACGTGCGGATCTTCAATGCTTCAAGTGTCTCTCGGCGAGGATGCGAAAGGGCTGGCCCGCAGCAGCGGATACAGCCACGAGCTGAAGAAGACGCCAACACACCTGCATCGCGTGTGCGTGGTCCGAAACGTGCTGACTGACACATGGACATGATCCGAGCGGGTGTCGATCGGCATGGCCATCGTTGGGCCATCACGCGAAATCCGAGGCTGCGATACCACGTTGCATGGTTGGCCGACGATGGGAGGGGGGACGCACGATCCTGATCTCCGAGACGAAGGATCCTCTGGGCGCGGCGCTGACCTTTACACGACACCGCAGGTGCCTATCAGGACGGCAAGGCGCTGACTGTCAGCCGTATGTACACTTTTTGTACAGTGAGTGGGCCTTGGCCTGACCACCATGTGGAGAGGACGTTTCTGCCACGAAGGCTTGGTATTCGCTGCCTGTATGCTACTTGGTTGTAACCGAGATGCTTTCCCTTACGAGGCTTGACCTTCTTGGCATTCGCCTAAGCAAGCGAAGCAGCATGAATGATCGGCCCACCAATCTCCCTTCTGCCTCGCTGTCTCCCTCTCGCTCGCCCGCGTGTGCAGAAATGGGTACACTGTGCGCGTGCAGCCGCAGCAGGAGTCAAGCATAGTGCATTGGCCATTTGACCTTGGCGACCCGTATGTCTCTGTCTCGATCGGGTGCATTGTCGTATATTCCTCTGGAGCTGTGGTGTTAGTATGGGGCTGCGGCCGCCTGGGGAGGGAAAATAGACGGGCTTGCGCGTCTGGAGCGGATTCTGACGGGTGAGTTTGCCCGGTTGGTCAGACGGGCGGCCAGGGCAGGCTGGAGGAGGCGGTGTTGGTTGGTTGGTGGGTTGGGTTGGTCCCGCCGCTTGGCCACCGTTTCTGCCCTCATGCTCTCCGAAGAACCTTGCAAGCAGGGCAAGCTTCTGTGGCGCATTTTGACGTGATTGATTGCGGACAATGCCAGAGCGAAGGATTGGCATGCCGCGCCAGGAGGATTGTGAGCGATATGAGTAGGTTCGAAGCAGAGGCCCAATGTCTTATCTACAGATTTGATGGGGAGATATCGCATCATAGATTGGATGGCCTGAAGGTCGTGGTCTTTCCCGGTCGTCGGGGCTCGCCGGTCTCATCGTTCACGATAGCGCTGACATGACGGGACGAAACCTAGAGCCTTCTCGTGGTGGTTTCACCCAAAATATCACTCGTCGTCTGCGGCGTAGGTGCACGGCCAAGACAGAGATTATTTTTATCAAAAGTCCGATCGTGTCCGTCGCGAAGTCAATCGAGACGACCGCGGCGATCGTCAACTCCCATGAATATCAAGATCGCGATCGACGACATGGAGTGATTACTGAGGGACATATCGGACCCCATGATTCGATTTTGATTAGATTGGACTGCAGCACATGCATGTACCGTCCACCAGTGCAGAGTGTCAGTGGTGACTAAAACAACCTTGGATTGCAATGTTGTGGACAGCCACATCAGCCCTGGACCACGCCCATGACCGGCGATCAGAACGCCTTGCATGATGAGCGACATGGATCAGATCATATCCGGCCGATGATGAGTGATTATCTCGGATGATGATAACAACCATCTTGAGGTGATGTACCTTTCACCTGAGCCGAGCAGGGAACACGCCTAACCATGCCATTGCGGAGTCTCTCGTTCGTTTCACTTCATTTCATTTCACTTCACTTCACTTCACTTCACTTCATTCCATGCCGCGCAATCAATGCGAGACGATGAGTCTTACCGATCCCGACCAGCATACAAAATAGAAAGGATGGGGAGATCCCAGCCCATACGCGCCATGTGTGAGGTTCGAGTATCAAGGATGAAGATGTGATCGTGGGTGTGTGCTACCATCACCACGATCATCACCACGACCACCACCACGACCACCATGATCACCACTAGTCATCCCGGACGGAGTTTTGTTTTGAGATGGATGGATGGCTGGCGAGAGAGAGAGAGAGAGCGGGGCTGTGAGTGTGTTTCCACCGTCCAGGGCTGATACAAGCAGCAGCAGCAGGATCAATGGACTGTCCTTTCCGATTCGCCCGTCTGATCCCGATGAGTATCGCCGAACGCTTTCCATTTCGAGTCAAGTCCACCTGCAGCTGGGCGAGTCCTCGACCTCACGCATGCGCTAATGGAACACTATCGAGGGACGGCGTGTCGTACACGCGAAGGAGGGAACGAAGCTATCGTGACCTATTTATTATCATGATCATTATCATTATTATTATCACTGTCCGGGCGCTGTGCATTATTATTCCACACTCATGCGGTGCACGCTTCTCTGGTGACCGACCACAGCCACCCCGTCCGGCCAACAGACCTCTCCGCCCTAGTCCAGGGCTTGGAGGCGTGAGGGAATCATTGCCGCAAGGAGATGTCGATCCACGCCAGTCGCCGAAAGAGGAATCGCCGGACGATGATCTCTTGACTCTTCATGCATTGATTGCATGAGGGAACGCACAGTATACAGTGATACACAGTCAGGACGTATATGGTACACTTTGTGGGGTCATCAACTCCCTGTAGATGTCGTGTGTGTGTGTGTGTGTGTGCGTGTGTGACGATCATGGGTGAACATGTGTGTGTATGTGTGTGTGTGGAGGGGCGTGTGTGCCGGTTCTGCTGCAGGGAGATTCCAATCGGTTGAGAGCAGAACCCTCCCAGGCACAAAAGGGCGGCCTGATTTGATTATATCCGAGAGGCTCGGCCGAGCTGCCACCCAGCATTTTGGTGGCCTCTCGCGGCGATAAGACCTGACCACGCACGCGAATCACGATGCTTGGAATTACTCCGCGCGGACGCTTTTCTTCGCCCGCATGTGAGGAAGGACATGGCTGGCTCAACTGAGACGCTTACAGTCATCATTCAGTACAGTAAGCACACACACACAGAGAGAGAGAGAGAGAGAGAGACAGGGTCACGGCCCATCCTCTCTGTCGGACTTTGCTCCTGCTCTCGACCGGAGTTGTTTTCAAACATCCGGCCGGTGCGTGCTGTGCCCCACCAGCACCGCCGCCGTCAGCTTTCGCCCTGGCATGTCCTCCTCCTCTGCAATACGCCCGGAGATAATGCACACAGCTGGGAATTCTTGCTCCTATGACGAACAATGCGCTCTCCTTCGGCTGAACAGTGCTTCTCTCTCTCTCGGATGAAGCTGAACAGCGATGCCGTGCACCGGCAACATCACACGTATCCTCTGTTGAAGAGAGCTGAAGAGAGGGATTGGAAAAACTACAAAGGCGATCCTCCTGCTGCATCTTTCCCTTGGCCATGCATTCCATCAGCAACACCATCACCAGGCGTCTCGCACTCTTCAGCGCTCGTCAATCATCTACCACCACCACCACCAGCAGATCGATCCTCCCTCTGATCGCTCCTCCCACCACATCTCTTTTCTCATCGCCGTCAAGAACCATCCGCTCCAGATCATACGCCATGGCTTCCAACTCTGCCGCCTGGCTCACCGCCGCCAAGTCTCCTGCCTTCGAGGTCAAGGAGGCCCCCCTCTGGACCGCCGAAGCCGGCGAGATCCTCGTCGAGAACAAGGCCGTCGCCATCAACCCGGTCGACGGCTCCCTCCAGGCCTTCGCCTGGTGGCCGATGAACTACCCGACCGTCCTGGGCCAGGACGTCGCCGGCGTCGTCGTCTCCGTCGGCAGCGGCGTGACCCGGTTCAAGAAGGGCGACCGCGTCGTGGGCCACGCCCTCGGCATGGCGACCAAGCGCGACCAGGACAACGCCTTCCAGAACTACACCATCCTCACCCAACACATGACCAGCGCGATCCCGGACGGCATCTCCTACGAATCCGCCGCCGTCATCCCGCTCGGCTGCTCGACCGCCGCCTGCGGCCTCTTCCAGGACGCGCCCTTCCTCGGCCTCGACTACCCGACCTCGCCGCGCCGCCCGGCCAACGGCAAGACCATCCTCGTCTGGGGCGGCTCCTCCAGCGTCGGCAGCAACGCCATCCAGCTCGCCCTGGCCGCCGGCTACGACGTGCTCGCGACGGCCTCGCCCAAGAACTTCGCCTACGTCAAGAGCCTGGGCGCCTACGCCGTGGTCGACTACTCCTCACCCTCGGTCGAAGCGGACCTGATCTCGGCCCTCGGCGGCAAGACCCTCGCGGGCGTGCTCGACGCCATCGGCGGCGACGCCACCATCGTCAGCAGCAAGGTCCTCGCCGCGACCGCCGGCGCCGGCCGCATCGCGACGACCAAGGGCGCCGCCGACTACACCCCGCCCGCGGGCGTGGAGATCAAGCGCATCTTCGGCACCACGCTGGCCAACAACGCCGTCGGCGCGGCCATCTACGAGAGCTTCCTGCCCGCGGCGCTCGCGGCGGGCACCTTCGTCCCCTCGCCGCAGCCGGAGGTCACGGGCAGCGGCCTGGGCGCGGTGCAGGGCGCGGTCGACGCGATCATGAAGGGCGTCTCGGCGAAGAAGCTGGTCGTCACTCTGTAATTGTTCCAGAGAGAACGGGAGGGAAGGAGAGAGGTGGGCTGCTACGGTTTGCTGTATGAACCCTGCTGGAGTCGGCGCGGATATTCCACAGACAGATTGGGTTATCTCTTTGAGCGGGACGACGGACGGAAGGAATTAGAAACACACATGCACACCTCCCTATTTGCAGGGTTTTTGAAGATGCGAACTCATAGAAAATCAAAGCGGATTGTTTTTATTTATTTTTTGCTTTCTTTGTACTTGAGAGAAGAAATTGGAAAATCTTTACAGTGTTCTGCTTTTCATGATCCTCGAATTGTCTTTCGTGGAGGGGAATAGATGCGGTCACCAGCATGCGGGGTTGCTCCCTCTCTCTCTCTGTGTGTGTGTGTGTCTCCGAGTGAATCGATGGCAAGAGAGACGCAGGATGATTTCACCCCAAGAAATCCACGCCGATCACTGGCGAGTGTGAAACGCGACTCTTGATCAAAAAAGGTGTTCTAATAAGCCGTCGCTTTGTTCTATTTGGTTGTTGTGTTCAATCATCGACGAGACGATCGCAATCGTAGTAAATTCCAGAGAAATGATATCTCCTGCTCACACTGACGCAGCCATGGATTGGAACGGTTACAGGATGGTCATGGTCTATCTCTTTGATGATGGTCGTTACATACATACCAAGGAGGCGGCCTGAATTGAAGGGTCGTCGCGATCACACAAACGCGGGCGGGCTTTCTCGCCGCGGGCGGAATTTGGAGGGACTGTTTCGATGGGCGGTGATGATTCCCTGTTGCTTTTCGGCAATTTCTCCTCCCACTGTATGATGAAACTTGATCTCGATGATTGATTGATTTCCTTTTGAGGACGAAATTCACCAGCACTATTGAAATGAATAAAAGTCTCACATTTTCTCTCATCGAAAGAAACCAACCAATTTCACGCGTGTGCATAACGACAACGAGGTCACAGGTTCATAGATGTGTATCTCAGCTGATGGTACCGGAGATCTGTCTCCCATCGTTCTCCCATCGTCTCCATCCTCCTCCATCTTCGATCAATCTTCTCATCTCATCGACATCGCAGGATATCTAAAGCGGCGCCATGACGAAACATTTCATCGGCACGACGACCGTCTTCTCCAGGTCCCAGACGCCCAGTTTGGCAAAGGGGTCCTCGCGCAGCATCTCCCACACGGCGTCCTCGCTGCCCGCGCGGATCACGTGGATGCTGCCGTTGACTTGGAAGTTGGGGTCGGCGGGGCTGAGGGAGGGAGCGACGAGGGTTGGGCCGCCTGTGGAGAGAAAGAATCAATATCGGTTGTCAGATGGGAGTGATTGCATGATTGATGGATGGGTGGATGGGAGGAATCGGAGTGTGAGTGAGGAGCGGCGGTTTTGTACGTAATGGGAGAGACGGCAGAGATCGAGACGGCAGCAGCAAAGCAGCGGTCGACTCTTGTCCCTCTCTCGCTTGTTCCGATCACGCTTTCTTGGCCGTTTCGCCGATCTTTTTGGGGCATTGCGTGCTCTTTTCTTCCTCCCCGATGTCGATCGTATCTAATCTGCAACGACCCATCTTTCGAGGCTGGGACGCAGCGTGCAGAGTGTGCATGGATGGGAGAATATGAGATGGGGGAGAGGGAGAGAGAGAAACTCACCAAAGATGACTTGCTTCCCGAAGATGTCCGCGTTGTGCTTCAGGTGGAGATGGCGGTTGTCGGTGCGGATCTGCTGGCTGTCGGGCAGATCGGGGAGGTGCACATACCAGTCGTATTGCTGCTGTTGCGGTTCGGAAGAGGTGGAAGATGAAGGAGAAGACATGATGGTCTGTCGTTCGGGGGTGTATCGACGGTGTGTGATGAGACGAATAGGTACGGATGAGGTCTCTCGTCTTCTTCTTATTATCTTTATTCTCTCCCTTCTTTTGCTGCTGCTGTTGACCGTGCGGTGATGGATATGTGTCTGTCTCTCAACTACAAAAACAACCCCACGATATGCGAACGTGGATATATCACCCAAGACTCTCCCTCTTCCATCGCATAAGCAGGACGGAAGGGAGGGGACATCGTTACGCCATTACTATCTCCGTCCCTCCACGATGTCCGAGAGATGTTCTGCTTGCCAGGTGAGTGTCAAGGACAAAGGCAAAAAAAACTCCCATGAGCCGTCCAAATCAATGTCCATTCCACCACCTGTTTCACGAAAGAAACTCCGCGGCGCCAACGAAATTATTAAATACTCCGGGAGAGCGAGAGCAACAGCCCTGGACCGGACCGGACTGGACTGGACTGGATTGGATTGGACTGGACTGCAAGCGCGCCTCCCTCCTCCTCCCCGCAAAGTCCCGCCCCGCCCCACCATCAACCAGATGATAATGGTACTGCTGATCTCGGGCTGCTACACCTGCATGTCGCTCACTCAACTCAATCAACTCCGAGCAGGACAGGACACGAGATATGCACACACCCAGGTACACACACAGAGAGAGAGGTACCGGCAGGGCAACGACGATCGTGGCGGATTTGTTTTAGTCATGAATAACAAGGATGCCCCCATGCGCGCGCCGCCCTGCTGCAGCCGCCGCCGATCGCGACGTTTGCATGTTCTGCTGCACACGCGAGGGACCGGCCGGCTGTGGTGGGTGGTGGTGGATGGTGGTGTGGAGAGATGTCCACTGGGATGTGCATATGCAATGGTGATCGAATCGAGGGGTTCCCGGATCAGCTGCGGTTATCATATCATATCGTAATCAAATCATATCATATCATATCGATCCATCGATTCCTCAATCAATCAATCTAACTATCGGGTGCTTGCAGAAAGGACTAATAACACTGCAGCCGCAGCAGGAGTAGTAGGAACATAGGCGATCCTCTATTCTCTTTCCCACATAATGCCCACCAGGATGTAGAATGGTATAGCGAGATGCGATGGTGCGTCGGTCTCGGTTACATATGTGTCCTCTCAGAGGTCGCATTCGCTTGATACGTATCACACCGCCCGTGTCACCATCGCCCATCGGTACGAGGTCGGTCAGGCTGAAAGGGAGGAGTGCGTATGGCGGTGGCTGCATTGCATGGTCCCCCGTTGGCGTTGTCGTGATCCTGTTGATTGTCGGTCTCGCGCGCTTCGTCTATACGTCACTCTCTCGGCGTGGCTTGTCACTGTGTCTTGTTGCTGATCAAGCCTTTGGGAGGTTGCGTTGTCGGTGGTGTGCCTGGGCTTGGAGACGAGGAGGGTGTAATTTCATGTATGAGTGTATGTGTCTGTAGTGATGAGAGTAAGTGTAAGTTTGTGTGTGTGTGTGTATGTGTGTGTGTGTGTGTGTGCGTATTCATCGCGAGTCAGGAAAGACAGGCACGATGTAAGGAGCATGTCTGATTCGATCAAGGTCTGTCGATAGAGATTCTCCTGCGTAGAGAGGGAGACAGAAGACAGAGATAGAACGCATCGTGGTATAGGAGTATAGAGATACGTCGAGGAGCTACCAACACGGAATATGGACATTCACGAGATCGACAAATTGCAAAGCTGTAGATAGATACTCAATGTGTACGACTTTCTCTAAATGGACAATGACGACGCCTCTCGTGCAACAGAAACCATAGCGACAGATCTAAACAGAACCAACGCCGGACCCAAATCCAACACCTCGCCCTCACCAACGCCAGACCAGAGTAAGAACAACTCCACCGGGGAGTATCTTCGCCCTCCCAACTCCCATAACACACCTCTAATTCCCAGCAGCGGCAATGATCTGCGGCAGGAGGTCCATCGTGTTCTTGAAGAGCTGGCTGGAACCGGGGACATTGAAAGCGCTGACATACCAAGTGCCCTTGTAGCCCTGCATGGCGTTGAACTTCTGGTAGAAGCCCGAGTTGATGTTGTCCGCCGACACGCGCAATTGCAGGGGAGTGAAGTCCTGGTAGTCGACGAAGTTGGGGGTGGTCTTGGCGGCGCCGGTCAGCGTCTGGAGGGTCGAGATGGCGTCGCGCACGGCGGATTCGATCACAGTGCGCGTCGTGGCCTGGAGGGATGTGTACCAGTAGTAGTGGAAGCCGTCCACGGGGGACGGACTGATGGTCACGACGCTGGGGACGTCGGGGACGTTCCACGCCGTGTCCACGCCGCGGTTGGGGTAGGCAGCGGTTTGCATCAGACCGGTGTTGTTGACTACACCGCCATAGTATTGGCCTCCAGTGATTTGTGAGATGAGCGCCTTTTCCTTGGAATCCAAGCCGAGCGTTTGCATGTTGGAGAGGATTCGTGGCATGGCAATGATGACTTGCTTGGCGACGATGAGTTTCCGGCCGGTGGGTGTGTTCACCACTAGGCGAACGTTGTTGTTGGCTCGGATGCCGTCGATGATCTGTGAGTTGTAGAGCACCGACGATCCGAGCTCGGCTTGGGCATTCCTGTAAAGCTGGGAGTTGTCCCGGTTGGCATTGACGATGGCACCGTATCGCTGCCCTTCACGGATCATGACATCGTTCAGGTCGTTGAAAACATACAAGGCCAGGTCCTCGCGGAGGCGACCGGGAATCGCAGGTCGGTTGAAAGCGGCATAGGCAGAAGCGTTGGAAAGACCGGTCTGCTCGATGTACTCGGGCCATGTGAGGGTCAGAGCCGGGTCAACGGGAGTCTTGAGGTATGTGAGATCGTTGGCACCGGGGTTGAACTTTGCAAGATCATCGAGATAGTCTTGACCGAGAGAGCCACGGCTGTAGTTTGGCATGAGTACCTTCTTGGCGAAGTCGGCGTGGATGAATGGAGATCCGAATTGAGTTGGTGATACAGCTGTGTACGGGGTGTTCAGGCGATCGAAGAAATTGGTGACGACGCTGTCGTTCAGGTAGATCTGAAGACCAAAGTCGACGCCCTTTCCGGTTTTGGGGTCGTAGTATGTACGGGCGTGTCCACCGAGGCGGCCACCCTTTTCAACAACCACGAATGATTTGCCCTTGTCCTTGAGGGCGATTGCAGCGTATGTACCAGAAGCCCCACCACCGAGAATCACAAAGTCTTTTCGGATGACATCAGATGCTGCAAAGGCTGCAGGGTTGAGAGCTGCCCCTGCGGCGCACGTGGCGATGGCCACGAGAGTGGTTAAAGTTTGTGCAAGCATATCTGCGTTATTTCTGTCTAGCCAATGAAAGAAAATTTAGAAATGATTGTTTCGCAGACTTGTGGATGGATGTCTTTCATTCACTCAACCGGGCGAAATGGCGATGCTTTATACGTTCATCAATTCATCCAACTTCCATATCGTCGCCGTGACGAGCGGCCTCGTCAGAACACAGCCCGGCATCCTTCGAATCCGCGAACGCCATTCTTCGCGTAACTAAGCGAAGAATAACGTAAGTCTCAGTCAATGGTCCTGGTCGCCGGACTTACATTCAACAGGGAGGCGTTCACTGACAAGCCACGCGAGCGACCGATGCATCGGCTGCCCATGTGGCATGAAGGAAACGTTTCTCCACGTGGCTTGGGAGGCAGCTGCTTGGGCCCCGGGACAATTACACTCCGGGTCCTGATCAGCACTGCCAGGAACGATTCCTGTATATGCCCAAAATGGTGTTTGAAGAGACTCTCAGGAGAGCCCAGGAAACCTTCGGCCGCAGCTGGCGTTCCGAGGGCCGCGCGTTGGAGGCGTAAATCCGAGTACGTCCGAGCTCATAACTCCGAATCCTTCGTCGATGATTGTCAGACTCGGATACGGCAATCCCAGAATAGAGCATGCCCTCACGCAGGATGAAAAGCTTCTCGAAACTTTGCTGGATGCGATGCGCCGGACGCTCTGGACTTTTTGTGGCTGTGCGTGAACTGGAGGACAGATCCAACGCTGTCAGCATTTACAGCGGGTCGTCCTTCATGACAAAGCACTAAGCTTTCATTGGAAACACGATGAGTGATTGAGGCCCATCTTGGCTATGAAACAGATCGCGCAGACTGTACGGATCGGAAATGCGCCACCGCCATTTTTCGTGGGTGTGATGATGAGTTGAACAGATGTCACGATCATCGTGGCTGATCGATATAATCACTGGTGGTAGAATCGCCCGTAGATGTGCCGAGCACTGTCGCACAGATGTGAACTTGCGTGATCCAAGGCGCGCCGCCCGTCGTCTTCATTTTTCAGCTCATTCGCGCCATCTGATGAAATAGGATGACGATTGATATTTGTATGCTTATCTAGTATCGTCTGGAGGGTGACGATCTTGCAGGTATCAGAGTGGTAATTGCTAATTGGATCGAGAGCAGCACGTGATACAAGTAGAGCATAGGCACCTGCGATGTGCCAGATCTTTACATGAGTTAGGGTCAATTTAGGGTTTGGGTAAGGACAACAACGCCAATGTACACAATTTGCCCACGTTGACTCATGAATGTCTGCTCTCCTTCCCCAATAGCATATTTGAGTCTTGTTGGTGATTGGAGGTAGTGACAAGCTTTGTTTAAATATGCAGCAGTACTCCCTCGGTCCATCGAACGCGTCTATATATCGGACTTCGGTATCTTGAGTTGCGTTCGTGAGTAATGAAGTTTGCCTGACAGGACGAAGGGTGCGTGCTATTCCTCCCCTGGCCTGTGACGTGTAAAATGGACTGTCAAGCATTTGAGCCAACCACAAAAGGAAAATTTGTCATCTACGCCTGTAATGCTTGACGTACAGATGTCGTTCGAACCGGACCGAGGACTCTGATGACTGACTTTACTCTTGATCTGCACAGGCCTGATTCACTTGATGAAACACCGGTCGGTGGAGCAGAATGATCACTCGCTTTCATTCAGCTAGTAGAGTGACCTGTACGATCTGCCTGATACCGGTGCCACTTGCTATTTGTATGGTGAAGAAGTCATAGCCTTTTGCCATGAGATTCCGTGAGCATACTGCTGGGCGAAAATGATATTGGACAAATGATTTTCTAATATGATTTCATGAGAGAAAGGCTCATCGAATCCATAGTTCAACCTGCGCCAGGACACCTCAAATAGATGAAACCCAAACATGTAACTCCTCAAGCAAAGATAATCCCAAACACATCACGCCAACCAATAACCAACACCCAAGGCCAATGACCCCCAACATACAAAACAAAGCAAAGTGAAGAAAAGACATGTGATCTTCTGCCCAAAGTCTCAAGCGCGCAGCCATCCGGTCTGTTTCCAGGCATCAATGTACAACCTCGCAACCTCATCCGACACCGGTCCGACCTTCGAAAGCGTAACGGAATGAGAAACGCTCTTCTGCGTATCAAGCAGGAGTCCACCGCAGGACATGCGTACGAATTCATTCTCAAGGAAATCAACCAGCTTTATCGCCGGATTCTCAACAGGTTTGCCCTGATAGGCTCGTACAAGTTCCAGCCAGCGCGGGAACGAGACGATGTTCGATGAAGGAATGTCAAGGGCGTCCGCCCACAAGTTCACCATCGGTCGCCAGGGTTGGCGGATGGGATTGTCAATGTGGTAGATTGGATGGGGGGCTTGCTCGGACATGAGGAGATCTGCGCAACATCCGGCGACGTCCTCGACGGGTGTCCAGCTCAGCTCGCCTTCGAAGGCGGGGACTGCTTTGATTGTTTGGCAGGATTTGACGAGGAAGCTCAAATGTTCGTGGGTGTTCCATGCACCGCTCGATTTGGAGCCCGCGATCTGTCCGGGTCGAACAGATAGAGCATGGAAGTGCTCGGGGTATCGATGCAATGTCTCATCGAGCATCCTCTCGCAGATGTATTTAGCATCGCCGTAGCCGTTTCCGATCAAAGACCGGACATCCATCCGTTCCTCTGGCACCAAGCGTTGTTCCGTCCAGATGGGATATTGCCCCACCACGGCGATGGAAGAGACAAACTCGAAGCCGATCTTGCTACTTTGATGAGATCCCGCGTCTCGCGCAAGATCGATCAGGTTGCGCATGACTTGAAATTGAGATTGAAACCCATCGACAGGACGCACTGCACTCATGGGCCATGCGTTGTGACAGATGTGCGTCACTCGTCTCATGAGGCCTTGGTATTCATCCGATGAGAGGCCGAGCTGTGGTAGCGAGGTATCAGTCGAGATGACCCACACCTTCTGCATTTCCTCTTCGTTGAGTTGGATGTGTCGATCTTGGAAGACTTGCACTTGGCGCTGATAACCTGCAATCTTGGTGACACGATTCATGCAGACCACCGCAGAAACTTCGGGGAGCCGGGCTAGATGAGCGACCAGATATGATCCGAGACTTCCACTCGCACCCGTGACCAGCACAGTCGTGCCCCGCGCTGAGCGTCCTCTGCGGCCATCAGACGCGAGGCGCCCCGTCGGCTGACTCCAGCCTGCGGTGTATTTCCGCACATAGCCTTCAATAACTGCTTTTCGATCGACCAAATCAGCTGGCAATTCCTCATCGGGTTGGGACCTGGCGGCGCGACTCCCATGTGAGATTGGCACAGAAGGAGATGCGACGCTTTGAAGAGATGCATACCTTGGAGGTGCTTGGGCCATACCCATAATCAACTTCTCAATGTTCGTCTCTGGTCTGCTTCCACCAGTCCAGGCGACATGGCCGTAGCCCACGTTCTTCATGCATCGATCCCAAGTGGCCGGACTTGTCACGGCGTGATTGCGACCGTCGTTAAACATCCACCAGCCTTCGAAGAGACCGAAGATGAGATCAAGAAAGATGACAGGTGACGTCATCTCCAACACAAGAAGCACTCCATCCGGTCGAAGGAATTGTTTGATGTGAGCCGTGGACTGGTTCAAGTCATGTGTAGCGTGTACCGCGTTGCTCGCCAGCACTAAATGTTGTGTTGCGACCAGATCCTCTGGGGCTGGCTTCTCGATGTCGTGAACGCGATACTTTACAAAGTCGTACTGCTTGAAGCGTTTGCGAGCCTGGGCAACGAATGCTGGCGAAAGGTCGGTGAAGGTGTATTCGACCGGGATGCCCATCTGCGCGAGTGCAGGCAGCACAATCTTGGTGGTTCCGGCGGTACCAGCCCCCATCTCCAGAATTCTGAGTGGTCCTCCGTTCCGAGGTACGGAGGCCGCAAGGTTCGTGAAGAACTCAACCATACGCTGATAGTACATCGCGTTCAATGGCCATTCTCCATACAGCTTCGAGACGAGATTACGTCCTTTCTCGCTTCCGAAGATCAGCTGCACACCGGTCTCCTTGCCTCGGAGCACTTCAGCAAGACGGCTACCTGTGTGGAAAGCCAAAGCAGTCGCATCTGCATGGGCTGGATGCACAGTTTGAACCTCTTCCAGACGATCCTGAGCAGACATAGTCGGGAGGGGCTGGCTCGTACGTCGGTATCCGCCCGAGGTCTTCTCGATAAGGCCAGCCTCTGTGTCCAAGATGTTATACAGGTAGTCGACGAGGCGGCCGTGCTCTTGCACATGCGGCACGCGTTTGACCACACCCCCGACCGCGACCTGGCGAACATCGATTCCCAACTTCTCGAACGCCTCGAGGATCATGATTACACATAATTCAGTCTGATCCAGGTTGGCACCAGCCAGATAGCCGTCGAAACCGCACTCTTGAATGCGCTGATCGATGTTGGTGTTCATAGAATTGAAAGCATCCATCCAGGTCTCGAAAGAGATATCGAGCTCGTGTTTGGTGGACTTATCACCTCGATCCGTGGACTGGTCACGTGATGAGCATTCTGTCGGTGCCGTTGACGGAGTCCTTGAGCCGTTGCTGACAGACAATGAATCCTCAGCTTCACTGTCCGAGTTACTGTCAGGTAGACCAGCACCGGTGCGCTTGCAGACACAAGCGACCAAGCCCGGGAAATCAACAATGTCACCTCGGTCATCTTCGGGAATCTCAATCTTGAATTCACCCTCAATTTCGCGGCACAGCTCCATAGCCATGAGAGAGTCAATCCCCAAGTCGCCCAACTGAGCATCGTCCTTGATGTCATTTAGCTCGAGGCCACACAAATCAGCAATAATTGTCTTCAACTTGTTGGCGACATTCGGGCCTGCTGATCGTGGCGCTGATGATTCCTTGACATGCTTCGAAGCCGACAAGTCTTGAGCCCACGATGCATTTCCAGACGTCTCTGGAACGGTGGCTGACTTTGTGATGGTAGTGAATGCTGGGACCGGCTCTCGGTCGATAGCTTGTGCGGCGGCATCGATGAGCTGGGCTTGCTGAGCACCTGGGGTGCTGCGAAGCAGCAGCTTCTTCATGGCTGGCTTGGAGACCTCAACATATTGAATACCCAGAACGACTTCTGTCAAAGCGCCATTGATGGCGTCGAAGACAAAGATGTCCGTACAGAATGCCTTGTCGGAAATCTTTTGGTGAGTGGCGAAGACGTCCCATTTCTGTTCACCGGGGGCGTTGTCCGAGCTAGCGACGGGAGAACGAAGCCATTGCTCGATTGCATTGGCGATGTAGAGAGTGTTGGGTGAGCGTTCAGTCATGCAGTTCACCCATATACCACCAACTTGAGCAAAGCAGTCTGCCCTGGCCGTGTCGAACCAAGTCCCGCTGGTCGAGCTGCTTACGACCCTACCAGCAGACTCGGCGCCCAATCCGACGAGCCTTTGAACGCCGCGATAAATATCTCCATAGTCCACGACATCCGAAAATGCACGATAGATGTTGCGGCCAAGGATCATGTCGTCAGGCGAAGTGTGCTCGAGGAGGGCCTTGCAGCGCTCATAGTTGACAAGGCGCTCGTACCGTTTAAACTCACGTCGATACTGTTGATCATCCGCACGAAGTAGGCTGACTTCACCAGTGACGTGCGTGGTGGCATTGCCTTGCTCGCTGGTGCTCGTGATTTTCCAGTCCCAGAAATTCTCCTCACCCTGTTTGGCGATGAAGTCGAGCCACACGGTACGAGACGCATCACGGCAGATCGGAGCTTGATTCTCGATGTGACGAATGACTGGCTTGTAGTCTGATGTGGCCTTCTCGGGATGGAGAGTGAGGATGGATTCGATCACGATGTCGATTTGAAGAGTTGCTGGACAAATCGGCGCCGCACCAGCAATGATGTGACCTTCCAAGTATTCCTCATACTGTTGATGCGCAGTATTGATCAGGAATCTTGAGTGTAGCCCCGCGGAGTCCTTGTGACCAACAAATTTGAAAAGTCCCAATGGTGCTGCCTCAACAACTGCAGGTAGGGCAGGAGCAACTTCGGGATGAGCTTGAGGCAACTTCAAGTCAAGCCAGTGCTTACTTTGCACGAATTGATACGGAGGAAGCAAGAGGATACGATACTCCAGAGTTTGAGACTTGTGATGGGCCCAGTGAGTGACCTGGACACCAGCTTTCCGTAGTGCAAGCGTCACATCTGTAACGTTCGATCGAACATTCTCCGAGGTAATGTTGACCGCCTGGAAGTGAGACGATTTCGGAGAGCCAAGCGCGCTTTTGACCATGCTAGTGATTGTTGAGCCAGACCCGGCCTCAAGGAAAACTGCAGATGGATATTTCTTAGCGATGCGCTGGACGGCATCGTTGAAGTACACTGGGTTACGCAGGTGCTTCGCAATGAAGTCCGAGCCCACAGGTTCATCGAATCGTAAGTTCTTGGAATAGAAGAGGGGGATCGTGGGTGTGCGGAAAACGATGCCCTCAGTGACTTGGAGCAGGTCCGAAAGCAAAGGCTCGACCAGAGTGGAATGGAAAGCATTGGTGACGTTCAACCGCTTTGTTCGCATTGACACCTTGGAATCAAGCACCGCCTTCTCGACAGCTTCAATCGCGTTGGTAGATCCTGCAAGCGTCCATGAGGTAGGTCCATTGTGACATGCGACGGTGGCCGGAACCGTTCCCTGAGACTCTGCAATGGGCGCGGATGCCGTGAGTAGTGCGTTGATATCGCTAGCGCTGCCCTCCATGGCAAGCATAGCACCGGAATCTGCGCCCCATTTCTCGCGGATGAGCAATGCTCGACGTGAGATGAGCTTGATGGCGTCGGAGACGGAAACAATACCACAGACGGCAAGCGCAGTCAGCTCGCCAAAGCTGTGGCCCACTGCAGCAGCGACCTCAATACCACTGTCGATCCAGCTCATGGCACCAGAGTATTGCATTGCGAACATCATGGTTTGCAAAAGCACCTGATCCGTGATCGGCGCATTGTCAAAGATGCGCGGGAAGATACTCTCGAGGCCCTGTTGTTTGATGATATCGTCGCAGGCGTTGAGATGGTCTCGTAAGATCTTGAATTGGTTGTAGACGGAACGGTTCAGGCCTACATGTCGGGAAGCTTGTCCCGCAAAGCACAGCACGACAGGCCGAGGGAAATCCAATGCAGTCACGACGCCGGCGGTGTTTCCATTCAAGAAGTCTTTGATCTGACCCTTGACACCCGACAACGAATCGGCTCCGAAGTTGAGACTCAGGCGCATGCCCAGATTCGATCGTCGCGACAAGTTGAGGGAGAGGTCGGACGGAAGCAAAGTCGTTTTCTGGTCTTCAATCCAAGCAAGCAGACGTGTCGCATTCCTGCGGATGTCATCCTCACTGTTTCCTGACAATGAGAAGGCATGTTTGATACCGCTCTCATGGATCGCGAATCTCGACGACGAGGGGCGCTTCAGGAACGGCTGCGTGACGATGACGGAGGCGTTCGATCCTGAGGCTCCGTAGTTGTTGATCAGTGCTGCATAAAAGTCGGCATTCCACGCTTTAGCTTGAGTCAGAACTTCCATTCCGTCATCTGGCGTGCTGTGAAGTTTCGGGCTCAACTTCGAATGGCTGGCTTGGCGCGGGATAGCTCCTGCGTGCATCATAAGTAGGACTTTCATGACAGCAGCCACACCCGAAGTGCACTCTGTGTGGCCGATGTGACCCTTCACCGATCCCACGACGAGCTTCTGGGGGCGCGCAACCTCTGGACCAGCCAGGACAGTACGAATGCTAGCCCACTCAGCAGGATCGCCCACCGGAGTACCCGTCCCATGTGCTTCTGCTACGGTGATTTGCTCAGGCCGTAAGCCAGACTTCTCGAGAACACTTTCGAACAGTGTCGAAAGGGAGGGTGAATTGGGCACGACAATGGGTGTGCAGTTCTCGTTCTGCTTGACATCAGTGCCAGCAATGCATCCCAGGATCTGATCTCCGTCAGCGAGTGCAACAGACATTTTCTTCAGGATTAGGCCAGCGACGCCCTCTCCACGGCAGTAACCGTCTGCATCAGCGCTGAAAGGCTTGCAAGCGCCCGTGGAGCTCAGAAAAGAAGCACCTGCAAGGTTGTGGAACCAAAGAGGGCTGCTGATGACCAACGCGCCACCCGCCAATGCCTGATCACACTCCCCAGCAAGAATGGCGCGGCAGGCTTGGTGGATGGCAACAGCAGATGAGCTGCAAGCAGTGTCAACTACAAGAGCCGGGCCTGTCCAGCCGAAGTAGTGGCTGATCTTGCCAGCGATGAATGCAGCCAAGTTTCCTGTTGCACTATAGGCATTGGGCTCATGACAAGCAATGTTGGTCTGGTAATCGGTCGAGCAGCTGCCGATGTAGCAACCGACGTTTCTGTTAGGGTTCGAGCCGGCGAAGTATCCAGATTGCTCGAGCGCTTGGTAAGCGACTTGAAGCAAAAGTCGTTGCTGCGGGTCCATAGACGCAGCTTCGCGAGGCGACTTCTTGAAGAATTTGTGATCGAAGCCATCGTGATCACGAAGGAAGTTACCGAACCACTTCTGTGTTTTCTCAGCTTCCGGACGAAAGGTCGAATTCATCGGGAATCGGTCTTGCGGCACCTCTCGATGCTGCGAAACTCCCGATTCGAGCACTTTCCAGAGCTCCTCTGGATCATCTGCGTTGGCAAACTTGCAAGACATGCCAACAATGGCGATATCGGTGTCTGCGAATCCTGGTCGCGGAAGTGGGGAAGAGGTCAAGTTGAAGCTCGCCTCATCGAGCTGGCTCTCCAGGTCTTTAATCTGCGTGATTTGTTCCGATCTGATCGTCCGGGAAAGTGAAGTCGGTATGCACCGTTCAATTCCGAAGCATACGAAGTGAGCGTCCGGATTCTCTTCCACAACAGATCTAATCGTGTGGTACCAATCGGCTTGCTCTGTAAGTATCGCCTGCAGTGCTGCCATGTGTTCATTTTTCTCGAACTTCAAGCTTCGATCAAGCGTGCAAAGTTCGAGCATAATCTCGAGATTAATACGTTGGCCTTTGGAGTGAAATCTTCCGTAAAGTGAGACTGGAACTGCACTGATCACCTGGTCACAGGCTCTCAGCTCAGACTCGAGTGCACGGATATCTTTCTCAGCAACGGTGACAGTGGCACGATGCTCGTCAAAGATCACAGAAGTATATGCCTGTGGAATGTCAGTAACCGATCAGATTTTTTGTTCAAGGTTGAGAAACTTACATCTTCGTAACGGTTGATGATCGCTGCAATTGCAGCATAGTTGCTGCTTTCGGACCACATCAAAGCCAAGGATTGTGCAGCTCCCGCAACACTATCGCGGTCGTATCCGTCAATGAGCGCTCCGACACACATGGCCAGGCGAATGGAAGCCGCTGCGTTGCGTCGGAACTCATCTTCGCTCGCACTGCTCGTCACGGCCAAGGAAGCCAGAAGTCCAGTACAGAAGCCAAGTGCGCGAACGTCAGACGCTGCGCCTGCTTTCTGACCAGTCAGCTCCAGATAATCGATGTAATGTACTAAATGAGTGACCACTCCAAGAGGAGTTAAGACGCTGCTCGGAAGTCGAGACCATGCGCTGTCTGGGCGAGCATGGTGAAGCAAGTCGGATAGTGTTCCGATATTCTTGTTCGATGTCTTCACACCGAACTGAGGCGAGAGCTTGGCCAATACACTCCAAGTGAGAGGAAGCTCGTCGACGACCTCGCGAATCCAGGAGTAACGGGCATTTGTGCTGAGCAGAGCGCGAAGACGGTGGAACGTCTCGTGATGCAGGGAGAGGATTTGAGGTCCGAAGACCAGGACGGGCCGCTTGGCGTCGCGAAGTTTCTGGATTTGTTCGGTCATGGTGAGTGATTCAGTATACCAAGTTGAATGGTTGTGTCTTGTTTCAGAAACGGTGGGCGTCTCCTCTGTATTCATATGAAGCCGACATGCCATGTGGCAATGGCGATAGTTGACCGACCAATCATGGTATTCGCAACTCCGGTTATCATCATGTCACTCTAGAGGTCCTGTCGAAGGATGTCGAGGTAAGCATGGTAAGCATTCCGCCGAGGCGATGCTGCTCGGCACGACATGAAGTCCGGTACGAGCTGAAGCTGAGCGCTGCTCTGGCGTGTCTCCACGGTGCAATCTCGGCCATGTTCAGGCGGCCGAATTGATGTTTCACGGACTTCCCGATGGTGCTCTAGTAAAACGGAAGATTCGACCGATGAATTCGCTTACGGTAGCGGTGTTTGTCGCGTGGCTCGCTGCCATGGTCGCGGTTATTTTGGTGTGGTCTCATGCGCCTAGAATAGCATAAAGAAGCCGGAGTTTTCTAAACTCCCTTGCTCAAGACGGTGGGCCTCAGCTCGCTCGACTAGCTGCACGTAGCGCACCGGTACACTCGCAGCTGATTCTACATAGGCAATCTCTCACAACGCGTACACTGCTGTTCACAGATTGTTCTGTTCTGTTGCGGGTACATTTTGACTGCAAGTGAGGCGGGGTGGATAGTCACACAGGCGGCAGTGTGAAGTTTGTGAACGACACGTTGTGCTACAGGGCATTTCGTTGAGTTAACGAAAGTCCAGCGTGTGTTTTATCCTCCTGTCTCTGCAGATGCATGCGATCTAAGTCGACATAAGATACGTGTGATCTAAATCATCACTCTGTACAATAGCTGGAGACTATTCGTCTCTATTACATGTTTAAGTATGCTCCAGCAGAGCTGAAAGCGTGTGTCGCATTAGTCATCAGAAGGTGGAGGCATCGGCTTAGTCATAGAACTGGCGAACATATATGTGACGACTCGTGATACGAAATCAATGAAGCTTTATCCAACTCATTAGAATCCATGGATACGACAAAGACGCAATCTATTTCGGGCCTTACTCCAACATTTGTCCTTGCGGGGCAATCCATGACTTCATGATCGGGAAGTCCCCACAGTGTCCTCATTCGTAACCCGCTCGTTTGCGATAGTCCGATATGGCGCGAACAACCATATCCGCATGATCAAAGTGCCAGATCTTGTGCGATCGGTCTTTGATCTCCTCGAAACACGTCTTCGCCTTGACCCATTTCTTGGGTTCAGCCCACTCCGGCTGATGGTACAGATCGCACACCCTTCTACTGCTGTTCACCAGCCACTGACTCCGAGATCGTCGGATGCTATCGTAAGTTTGGAAGGCGAGCTCGATGGCTCGTCCTTTTGGTATGGACGTACCGACGTCAGATTGATGAGCAAGGCACTCTTCTATGAGTGAAACCAGACATAGGACATCTTCGACACCCGAGCAAGCGCCTGCTCCGTGGTGCGGACTTGAAGCATGTGCTGCGTCTCCGGCGAGGCATACCTTCCCTTTGTTGTAGAACGGTGCGGGATATTCCCACATGTCGAAGACTGCCCATTTTTCGAGCTCTTCGGGGAATTGCTTGATGATGTTGCGGACGGGCGCACACCACTTGCTGAAGGCTTCTTCGACGTCCTTACGCGAGCCGCGTTGCGTCGTGTGCAGGTCCTTTGGCCATTCTTTCGGGTCCGTGATGAAGCACGTCACGTTGATCAGGGCACCATTCGCAACCGGATAGTGCATGAGATGGGCGAGAGGTCCGACATGCATATGCTGGTTCCGTGCCTTATAGACGCCTAAGGCCTTTTCCGCCTCGCCCATCGGGACAAGAGCACGGTAGGCGCATTTGTGTGTATACTGTGGGTCTGAAGCCGGGTCATCTTTTCCGAAGAGGCTTTTCCGGACTTGAGACTTGATACCATCCGTCCCGATGACTTCGATGATCGTTGCCATCAGATTGCCGACACACGCCAATCAATCGGGTTTGAGGGAGAACTCACCTGCATCTGCTTGAGTGACTGTTCCGTCGGTGAAAGACAGGACGACTCGCCCTTCCGACCCTACACTCTGCATGGTCTCTAGGCGTTTGTTGAAGTGAACGATACCGGCTGGTATGATCTTCACGAGGTTCTCGAGGAACTGATCACGTCTGGTCCCCTCAAAGCCCTTGTATCCGGCATCGAGCTTGAACAAGAGCCTTTGTTCGAGTTCGTTCGACGGGTCATGCTGATTGTATCCGTCGATCCATCGTAAGTAGTCATTGGGGTCGTCGACGTCGTTGGAGGTCGAGACGGAGCCTCCAGACCTCAATGCCAGCACGATATTGGGATCGATTATTTCCATGCATTTGATAGCATTCGCTGTGAAGGCGATCCCGGCGCCGATCTCTCGAAATCCCCGACTCTGTTCGTAGACCTGGACATTCACACCACGGCGGATTAAACCTGCAGCGAGGATCAAGCCGACAATGCCGCCTCCAACCAGTGCGATATCCAAGCCTTTAGCTTCTTGACCTTGGTGATCCATGACTGGCATGTGTTTAAAGAAACTTGCAAGGTGATGTTTTCGTGCCAAAGTGTAAGGCGGATGGATATGAGAAAAAATATCATATCATAAGGGATTAGATGATTGGCCTTGCTCAGGTCATACTTGACGGTGTGCTGCTAAATCAGGCTTCGTGGTAATCGCTAGAGAGCATAATGGATTAACCACTCCGTTTCATTGTCCGGTGGATCTTTTCCACAAAGTCCGGTCAAAGTGAAGTCCGGATCTAGTGATCGTCGTATATCGCTGCAATTTACTTGTAGATCGGTCGAAACCGATTCCCGATCGGGCTTGCATCGCACCACGCGTGACGTCGAGAGTCATAGCCAGAGATTCAAACCACCTCGTCAACCGTGTAGTGTCGAGGATCTTCACCCTACAGTTCAAAATCGCCTCCAACGATGTGTGGTGTTGAGAAGAATCACCGTGCGAAACCACATCGCACAAAACGTAGTGTGGGGAAAAGAGTCACTAGGTGAAACCACACGGCACGGCACATGGTGATGAGAAAATTCGCCTCAATGTGAAATTACATCACAATCGTCAGCATTAAAAGAGACTACTCCAAACCTATCCCGAACGCCTTGTAAACGAAGTATCCAACCACCATAGTGAGCTAATATACGTCTATCGTATGTGATGCTCGGACACCCATCGATCGTTTATGAAAATGACATATTTCCTGAGCGATGGCGTCGACGTCTTTGGTTCTGATAGGAACCCGGTGCTTGCCCTCCCATTCGATGAGCTTGGTGGAGCTGGGATCGCAGTATCTTCGCATCAGCCCGCGATGTAGCTCAATGCCGGGGTCGTCCAAGCCGTGCACGTGAATCGTCGGGATCTTCAGTACATGATCCCTTGACCACCTCGTACAGTCAGGCATGTCGGTAGAGGTGGAAAGAGCAGCCGCATCCACACAGCCTTTCGGCATCGTGATGTCAGGATACAGCCAGACCAACGGGCCTCGCCCGGCAAGCAGCACTGCGAAGCGGAATTCGGGTAGACCATTCGCAAGTGATCCGTTTCCTTCGACTTTCTGCTGGGCGAACAGTAGGCTCGCGGCCAGCTTTGCTCCTTGGCTGAAACCGAGAATTGCTGTCCATTCTCCTAAATAGACGTAAGCCTTTTGCTAAGGTCGGACGCACGGAAAGGCCAGATGATGTATACCTGTCGCACCACACAAGTCATCGACGCACATGGCTGTAATTAACGCTGCATCGACAGCTTCGACCACTTCCTCGGGTGCTCGGTAGGGCTCATCTTCGAACATCGGCAGCCATGATCGGAATGGTCCCTGGCTGGCATAAACCGACGTCACGTCTGGACCGGGTCGTGAGCAAATAAACGGCGCATCGGCAAATACAAAGCGGAATTTGTCATCGAGCGATTTCCTCAGTACTCTGCATTGCTGGCGAAAGATCCGCGCGTTAGTCCCACCGCCATGGAGGCAGAGTATGCGTGGGAGATGAAGGGATGATGCGTCTCGGTGGAGCTCGGGGATAACCATCTTAGGGTTAGAAATCCGATATTCTTCAATTTCGAAAGTTTCTTGACCGACGTCGTTGAATACATGGAAGATGATCACCTATAATCCATCTACAAACATCACATCGCCACCAAATTATGCTACACGATCGCAGGATCGTTCGATGCTCGCTTACCGCAATGCTCGTAAGCTGAGATAGGGGCATTTCGGTGTAAAACATAGTCCGGAGGGCATCGTGTTACGAGATCGAACGCTGCGGATGGTCAGCCACGTCTCGAAAGGGACATCACATTCCAAGAGAGACGCCATGTAGATGTGGTGAACAGGGGCCTAACGAAACAATCGGGTTTCGCCGGGTGCGGATGTGATTGCCTCAAGACATTCACTTCAGGATGGACCAGGCATCTGCGGTCTCGCACAGCGAATCCCAACAGATACCGGTGACTCCGTTGCCTCTCTTAGCCCAGCACACCACTCGCCTATTAATGAGCTAAAGTCAGCCGCAGGGCTGATATGATTGCGTCGCTTGTGGGTCACGAGAAATGCATGCGCGACGCATCAACTAACCTGCGTGGTGGCTGCAACAACCGTGGTTGATATCTTCAATCGCGAATACTCCGGCCGAGAGTGGCGGTTCTGAGTTAAGTCCGCTCATATGCAAGCAGGTATCGGTCAAATCGGACGGTATGTGTCGATGACTTACCAGATGTTCCGGTTCCCTGATGACCACCAGTGTGACCAGCCGAGTCTACGCAGGACAGAGACCACAAGATCGTTTTTGTTAAGTTGATCAAATACTCCGTCCAGTTGACCGATGCCCTATATGACGAATGACGACCAGGCGTAAGAGTCAGAATTGCTCGCCTGTTAGTGACGAATGATCTAGCATATCTCAACCTCACGTTATTCAGCTCGGCTTTAAGCGGCGCATCTCGTACGAGTCACATCTCCGATATGTCCGCAGCTCGGCCGAACCACTTGATCGACACTCTCGCGGCATCGATGTGCCGCTCCCCTCTCCCTGAATAGGGCGAACGAGCGAACAGACCCCTTCGAGCAGATAAACAATCAACAGTTTACTGTGTGGAATAAAGACCTGGTGGTTCACGATCCTACATCGTTGAACCCGAATCTCGGCTCCGTCGTTGAGAGATCGCCCGTTCGAAAAAACACCAACACCATCTGAATCTGTTCAAACGTGCAAGATGAGCGACGAAGAGAAGCGAGAATCATCGCTATCAGCTCCGCCAAGCGAGGCTTCCTCAAAGCCTGGAAATGAAGACCTCAGCAATCACACTTCTGCGCCAAGCTCAATACCGTCTTCACCATCACCGCCACCGAATGGCGGCACTACAGCATGGCTTCACGCCTTAGGTAGCTTCTTCCTGCTATTCAATACCTGGGGCATTCTCAATGCATTTGGAGTGTATCAGACTTATTACGAGTCCGGAGCGCTATTTACCGAATCGTCTTCAAATATCTCCTGGATTGGATCAATTCAAGCCTTTATGCTCCTCATGACGGGAGTATTCGCAGGCCCCGTCTACGATCGCGGCTATCTGAAGACACTACTTATTACGGGGGCTTTCCTTGTCGTTTTTGGTCACATGATGCTCAGTCTCTGCACAGAGTACTGGCAAGTGCTCCTGGCTCAAGCCTTCACCGTAGGAATCGGCACCGGCTTGATGTTCGTGCCGGCATTCGCCATTCTACAGCAGTACTTCACCACAAGAATGGGACTTGCTATCGGCATCGCGGCCTCAGGCTCATCTTTCGGAGGAATCATCTACCCGATCGTCCTCTATCGACTTGTGGACACAATCGGATTTCCCTGGGCCGTCCGGGTAGAGGGCTTCATCGCCCTCGCAACCCTGACAATCCCCATCGCGGTCCTCAAATTCCGTGTCAAGCCTGGTCGTGTCCGCGCAATGTTCGATTGGAGCGCATTTCTCGACGTCCCGTACATGTTCTTCGTCATCTCGACGTTGATCTCATTCATGGGCTTGGTCGTGGTTCTGTTCTACCTCTCCTATTACTCCGAGGCCACCCAGATCACCAACACTCAAATGGCTTTCTATCTGATTCCGATCTACAATGCGGCATCGTGTTTCGGACGGACGTTGCCCAACGCATGGGCAGACACTACGGGCCCGTTCAATCTCCTTGCTCCAGGGACCTTCATTGCTGGCATCCTCATGCTCGTCACGATGGGCGTACACACCGAGGCTGGCGTGGTAATCATCGCTATCCTGATCGGATTCGTCTCAGGGGTCCTGATCGGTATGCCTCCATTGTGCTTTGTCGCTGTCACGAAGGACAAGTCCAAGCTGGGTACCCGTATGGGTATGGGATACGCGATGGTGGGCTTCGGTGTACTCGCAGGAGGACCTGGAGCGGGCGCTATCCTTGGGCAGGGCGAAAGTCTGAACTGGATTAGCGTTTGGGCTTTCGGTGGTGCTTCGTGCTGTGTTGCTGGTCTCATGTACTTTGTCCAGAGAGTCAGCATGGTTGGGTGGAAGTTGAAGAAGGTGTGATCTGCAACGCGGGCTTGTCGGACTCGCCACATGTCCGAAGGGGAGAGAGTCGCTCGTATGAGCCTTATAGATGATTTCGAATAATTTGTACGTGATAGAACACCTTTTTAGGAATGTCCTCAGCAGGAATGATGAGACACTACGGTTTCAATGAAATTTAATCAAGTTTGCCTAATCCTGCCAGGTGGGATTGATCAATTTACAGACAACACAACAAACATATTGTTATGTCCTTGCGCGATGTTCAACGTATCTAATATATCTAATTTGTCTAACGACATTTCAATCGTGAGGGCGCCACAGTCACTGGGACAAGCAGTTCCGGAAAGCATTCAAATTGGCCGGCTACAAATTACTCCGCTAGTTTCTTACCACTCCGATCCCCCATAGTAGCCATGAGCCTCGCCATGATATGTTCAGCAGGAGTTGTACTCGCTCCAGAACCATCAAGCGCCGCGCACTGCAGGTCCAGCTTTCCATTCAAGAACCATGGAGCACTGTACCGAGGCTCTGATGTATTCCAGCTGACCACCCGGTGCCGTGCTGACCTGTAGTAGCCATTGGTCCAATGGTGCATCATATCTCCCATGTTGATCACATAGGATCCGGGAATGATGGGAACCTCGATCCATGTCTCTGTGGGTGGGTACCACACCTCTAGACCCTTGGAATTGTCTTCCGCGAGGAGGATGGTGATGCCACCATAGTCGGTGTGGTCACCCACTACAAAGAGCCACGCGTCAGCGAAGCTCACGTTGATGCACAGATGGTGAAATGGATTCACTCGAGATAACGTACCTCCAAATTGGCTTGGATCTTTGAACGGCTGCGGTGCATAGTGGAGTAATCTCATGGGCATTGAGGGTGTTTCGGCGAATTCGAGCATAGTCTCCTCAGTGACGCTCCACTCAGCAGGCAGTCCACGTGCCAGGATTTTGAGAAGTACTTTAGACAGCTCCAGCATGTCCGCTTGGTAGTTCAGAATTGGAGTCTTGAAGTCCTCGTCTGCAAGAGCCTTCGGCCAAAGGTTGGGACCAGTGGAGAATGTGCCCGCAGTGGGATCATCTGCCGGTACTTCACGGCCGATGATGAAGGCCTGGAAAGAAGTCAGCGCTTGATCCCGAGTCTTCAAGAGACATAGAGGGACAGCGGTTTACCTCTTTCGTGTCGGGTTTCAACCCCTCCTTGTGAGTCTGGATGCCAGAGGGCTCATAACCGCGATGAGATTTTCCCATACACTTGCCGATCCAAACATCCATCTTCTCTTCTTCGGATAGTGTGAAGAAGAGCTTGGCGCGATCGAGATGGCCGCGCCGAACTTCTTCTGATACCCCATGGCCGACGAGGTAGAAGAAACCGTAGGTGTGGCATGCATGTCGCATCTGTCGCACAACTTGGTCTGCAGCGTCTGATGAGGGAGACTTCAAGAAGGGACTGATGTCCACCACGGGAATTGTGTGTACGGGAGGTTGTGTGATGGCGCCCATTTTGTCGATGTCTCGCGCCGATGAGGTCGATGTTGCTTTGCCAAAGCCAGAGCGAGCACGCTGTCGGTATTTGTTCCATATTTTTTCTTCATTGCTAATGGAGTTCTACAATGGCTGATCATCGCTGATGTCGCCTCATGTCCTTCCTCTTCGACTTCGAAGTCTGTCCCGGCCCGAGAGTTGTTTCGGTCCAGCCGGAGTCGAGTGACTCCGAAGTCCGGACTTAATCCGCAACCATTATCGGTGTCTCATTTTTAGAGTGGACGAGCATCAACATGTGGATATACTTTCTGTATGAACACATAAATACATCAGAAAGTATTAATTTTTATATTCGACACATGCAACATCTGAAAGACACTGCAGGTTCAACATCAGAATATCTCAGATCACCAAGTACGTTTTAGGGTCAAACTTTGGCGAAGAAGACCTACCACTAAAGTCGGAATAGTACACAAGCTCCACAGACTTCACAAAATGGCAGCGACATACGACTGGCTAGTCCGCACTCCTGCGAACGAAGCCGATGGCGAGACCAGGCGCAACGTCCGTCCAGAACACCTCATTCACAACAAGCCTCTCATCGAGAATGGAACCCTCCTCTTCGGCGGCCCTTCGCTCTCAAGACATCCCAACGAGGGCGAGACCGATCTGGCAGTCAATGGAAGTATCCAATTGATCCGAGCGGAGAGCGAAGCTGCGGTCAGAGAGATCGTGAGGAATGACCCATACTCCAAGGCTGGTTTCTGGAGGGCAGAAGAGGCTGTCATCCTCCCTTTTCGCTGCGTTTTGAGGACACCTGCGTGATGCGTCACCACAGATTGTCCAGAAGGCCTCATGATACTACAGGGCCTCTCTCAGATGTAGTCAAGGTGGTCGGCGGCGTGACTGCTGGCGGCTTACGAGGACTGAGACACCTTGCCGCATGATAGAGGGATGGAAATGTGTCGTGGCTTCATAGCACAATTAAGGCATTTTTATGACTTTGAGCATATCTTGAACTTGTTGTTGCCATCTGATAAAGGCATGAGTCGTGTTGATGGTCTCGGGACCCAGTATAGGTATCGGTCAAATCCTCTAAGGTTCTCAGGGATCGGACAGGGCACTCCGATGACTAATCCGATGGATGTCCATACTGATGACTGATCTCAAGACTGTTCTCTTCTGGCTCCGTCGTGTAGGTGCTTCCAGGCCCGCCTTTTTCTTTCGCAAGGCGAACATCAGACGTGAGGAAGAAGACCTAGAATCAGCACCTAGGTCTCTATAGTCTCCAATATCAAGCGACGTATTACGAGTTTGTATGGCGATATGAGAAGCCTACAAGCGTCCACAGCTGTTATTATTAGATGGGAGCGGAGTTTCGGCCTGAAGTCCGACAGAACACACATGTGCTGTGAAACAAGAAGAATTTAGGGTGAGCTGACAACGACTTCTAGCGACCAGTCTAGACCACGCACGGAATCTCTCACCCGGACTTCTATTACCAATTCAAGACTCTTTACATGTCACGAAATTTGATGACGACCAGCGACAAACGATTTCCACACGGGACACGACGTATGTGGTCACACGTGCCGAGAGTGCCGTCAACCATTTGCGATCATGGTTGACGACCCGAAGAAGCCGCCTCTTGACGGAATCATTCCCGAATTGGCTCCGCTCATAACTTTTTTGGAAATTGATGCGAGACCCACCGCCATTGTGCGACTCAACAAAGACCACACATCTGGAATAGATGCAATCACCGCGCTGTATGAAAATCATGCATGGAAGCTGTCTCGAGATCCACAGCGAGATACGCAGGATGTGATCCAAGCATTGCATTGTGAACTTGAAGGCAAACCAGACATCAGTCTGCTACATGGCCGTTCTATCAGTGGAAAGAGATGGGAAATACGGATCTGTGGCGAATTTGGCGTGGTGATCGCGGCGGACACGACGCAGGAACATGATGAAGCAGAACGGAAGGTTGAAGACTCAGCGGATAACGCAAAATATTCTTCAAGAGATTGGACCCGAGGCGATGCTTCTGGAGATTCCACATGGATTGGATTCATCAGATCGCGAGACTGGGCATCGACCTCGTTAGGTCCGATGTCAACCTGGTCGCAATTGTTCCGCCAACACATTTTGGCTATCATGGCCAATCCAAACCCACGACTGCTGATATGGGGCAAAGACATGACCTTTGTCTACAATGAAGCTTGTGTGCAACTGTTCGGCGAGGCACATCCGTTTGCTCTTGGACGTAACGCGACTGAGCCATGGTCCGAGTCATGGACTTCTTTGAAGCCATTGGTCAGTCGAGGCTACCAGGGCTACGCTACTCGACAGCACGACCTTGCACTTGCGTTGGAGCGGAAAGGATCGCTGGAAGAGACGTATTGGGACATGACAATTTTGCCGATACTCGACATGGGCGGTGAGGTCGTGGGAGTTGTCAATGAGCTTACGGAAACATCAATGACCGTATTGGGAGAGAGACGTCGGGCTGCGATCACCAATCTGAGTGACAACATTGCTAGTGCGACCACGTTCCAAGAATTGTGGGCTGCTGTGTTGAAGGGACTGGAGGCGTCCACTACGGACATTCCGTCCGCCATTCTGTACGAGGTGATCCCGGAGGAGACCGACAGAGACGACTCAGCAGTTGAGGAAACGCTATGGAGCGTGAGGTGCGCATTGGTTGGAGCTCTTGGTGTCGGTGAAGCCGCAAAAGAGGCGATCACCGAATTTGCATTTTCTGCGGAGGCTTCAACCGCCATGGACATTGCCGAAGCGTGTCGACAAGCTTGGCATACTCGAGAGCCTGTGCCTCTATCGGCAGAAGAAAAGACTCTTCCAACAGCATTCTCGTCTACCATCCAAGGTCGCGGCTCTGGCGAGCCAGTCAAAGAAGCACTAGTCTACCCTATCAATTCAACCACTGGAGGGCCAGCTTTTGGATTTCTGATCATAGGATTGAACCCTAGATCCAATCTCGACTCTTATTACAGGCTGTGGCTCCATATCGTTGTTGATTTTATCGAAAAGGCAGCCTCACTCATCTCGTTACCGCAAGAACAACGCCGAGCGAAGACCATAGCTGATGACATGGTGACATCTTTGGCGCACCAATTGCGATTCATGACGCTCCAGGTTGAGAGGAGTGAGGCAAAGTTCACCCGATTGGCAAGTACGGCACCCACAGGCATGTTCATGTACGATGGAGAAGGGCGCATGCTCTATGTCAACGATACCTACCTCGAAATGCTTGGAGAGACGCGCGAGAGCTATCATAGCAGAGGCGTGGATGAGAGTCATTGGCAGGTATATATCCACGAAGACGATTTGCCACGCCTCGTGGAAAGCTGGCAAGAAGTCAGTGAAAAGAAGAGACCTGTCACACTCGAGTATCGCCTGAAGAAACCCTGGAAGACTGTTGACACGGTCAGCGGACAGGAGACCATCGGCGAGAATTGGGTGCTTCTCAACGCATTTCCAGAAATCGAAGCTGACGGGAAGATCACTTCTATCCAAGGCTGGCTGACAAACATCTCGCATCGGAAGTTCTCGGAGAAGCTCATGTCGCAACGGCTGAATGATGCACTGGAGAATAAACGACAAACGGAGAATTTCATCGACATGACAAGTCACGAGATGCGCAATCCTCTCAGTGCGATCCTGCAAAGTGCCGATTCGATTGTATCTACACTGAGCTCCAGCAGCTTCGGAGCCACCCATGAAATGGTCGCACTGCAGTATGACGTCCTCGAAGATCTGGTAGATGCTGCGCAAACCATCATCCTTTGTGCACAACATCAAAAGCGGATCGTGGACGACATCTTGACCATGTCGAAATTGGACGCTGATCTCCTCGAGATTTCCCCAGACCGGGTCCGGTTGCCCATGCTTGTCGAGAAGGCCTTGAAAATGTACGAGGCGGAGCTTGAGCGCGCAGACATTGAAGCTAAGCTCTGTGTTGAGCCGACCTACGATGAGCTTAATGTGGACTGGGTCCTGCTTGATCCTAGTCGGTGTTTGCAAGTCATCATAAACCTTCTCACGAACTCAATCAAATTCACACGTAACTCCGATGTCAGAGAAATAAAAATCGTACTTGGCGCATCTTATGCCAAACCTACGGGCAAGCATCATCGCGTCAATTTCATCCCACCTCGACCTTCCAGAAGCTCACAACAAATTCGCGCTGCAGGACTGACGGATGAAAGTCCGGGTGAGGATATCTATCTACAGATTGGAGTCTACGATACCGGCAGCGGACTCACAGAGGATGAAATGAAGGTACTCTTCCAGCGATTCCAACAAGGCAGTCCCAAGACGTACAAACACTACGGTGGCAGTGGTCTTGGTCTCTTCATCTCACGGGAATTGTGCGAACTGCAAGGTGGACAGATCGGCGTCGCAAGCGGGAACGGCAAAACTGTCTTCACCTTCTTTGTCCGAGCCAAGCGGTGTGGCGACACTTCTGCTGACGATCCAGCTGGCAAACCCAGGTTTCCATCCTGCTTTGTCAGCGCATCGGCAAGTCCCATGGCGTACAGTCGACGCAGTAGCAACGTCCTCGAGGATGGTACCACGCAAATGTCTTATCAACTCGGCAAGGATGGTACCATGGAACACGACTTCCAGCCTTCGTCACTCAAGAGGACCATGTCTCAGCTCGCACGTGGTAGCGGCAACATCTCTCCCTCCTTGCGAGCTGTACAGGAAGAGTCCACTGCAGCGATCACTACGGTAACCACAACGACCATGATGACTACAACTACGGCCTCGATGGCCGACAAAAGCTTGAAACCGGACATGCATGTCCTCATCGTCGAAGACAACATCATCAATCAGAAAGTCCTTTCCACTCAACTGAAACGTGCAGGCTGTATTGTGCACGTCGCCAACCACGGCCTGGAATGCCTAGAGTTCCTCGACAAATCCATCTACTGCTCCAAATTAGGAGGCAATGTCCCGCTCTCTATTGTTTTGTTAGATTTGGAAATGCCCACTATGGATGGATTGACCTGTATTCGACATATCCGCGAGAGACAGCACGCGGGCCAAATCGAGCGCCACATCCCTGTCATTGCAGTCACGGCGAATGCGAGGAGTGAGCAGATATCCATGGCGATCGAGGCGGGCATGGACTCAGTCGTGACGAAACCCTTTCGGATTCCGGAGTTGGTGCCGCAGATGGAGAGGTTGATCGTTGAGCTGGCATCGGCGGGTGAGATTGCGGTGGAGGCTTGATCGAGCTTTTCTTCATCACGATGGCATGCGGAACCTTAATCTATGGGCATGTATATACATATAGAGGATCGAAAGTATTTTAATGTTTCATTCGTCAATGTAAACTACATCCATGAGCAATTCGTGAGACCAGCCCATGGCGCTAAAAGACAGCGTCATGCAGGGGAGGGTTCCCGGGCCGCAAGTCAAGCGCGAATCTGGAGCCTCAGGCGGCCACTCCTACCGCTCGCTGATTCCCGAAAAGTGAATAAACAAACGACCAGCGCGACTTCATATTTCAACAACATTGAGTTGCGCTGGACGACACTTTCAACATTTCAATACACGACGACTACACGACGACAACTTGACGAATCTATATCTACATAGGCACGCTGGACCGTCGAAGTACTGGGACTTGCCCACCAGCGCGCTTGCGATAATACAGAAGCCTGGTGCTTGGCCAGGAGCGGACACGCAACCACGATTTAACACAGTTGAAACGAGCATAATAATCGAATAATCCATCACGTATACCCAGAAGCGAATTAATACAAAATGTCGCAGACTCCGGCGCGCACGACGCGCTCGCGAGCCAACACTCCGGCCGTGGCGGTGCAACCCAAGACACTCCCTTCACTCCAGACGAAAGCCTCCACTTCATATGGATCACGCGGAAAGGCCACGCTACAAAGTCAGACCGCAGCTGCGGTTTCAGCTAACCAATTCGAAGATGCATTCTCGACAGCGCGCGCTCAAGCTCAAGAATTCGCAATCCCTAAGCGGCGAGAACGGAGGACGGAGCCTCTAGTTGAAGAATCCTTGGCGACTAACGAAGAGGAGTTGGAGAATTTAACTTCCCTAGTGAACGGTACGCGGTCACTGGAAGATGATGAGATTTCTCGTGCCGAGACCTCTATCGATGCTGGCGCTCTGTACGATCGACCAGTGAGTCGGAGTAATGCATTGTCGTCACGACCTGCACGAAGCACAATATTGCGCACAGCTTCCCCACAGGCAATCCCATTATCTCAGCCCAATATCTACACACAGGGCGGAAGGGTAACATCACGACTGTCACGCGAAGTCATGCCGCCTCCAGCCAGCCGACGCCTTCAATCACAAGCGTCATCGACTTCATCCAGATCATCACCTAAAGTAAGGCCAACAAGTACGAAAGTAGCTGAAGAGGAGCCTTCTAGCGTGCGTGTCTTTGCATCGACTTTGACGCGCTATTTTCCAGAACTCATTCGCGACGCGAACACGAGTCTGTCAAAATGGCTGCTGCAGTGGCTGCTTGCATTAGTCCTGTTAGGACTGCTCTTCACCGGACTATTCATTGTACTTGCTTTGTTATATTCGGCCGTTCCACTACCGACAGCCTTGCGGGAATCACAGGAGACTTTTGTGACGGGCATGAAGTATGCCCTAGGATTTTCGCCACGGGATTCACTCTTGGAGCAATTGGGACAGCTTTCTTCGGGACTACAGCGCGTGGAGGAAATGCGCAATCTATATGAAGAGTCGAGGAAGACGCTTGTTTTGCAGGACCATGCGTTGGATGAATTGCGTGCGCACTTGCCAGAGGTGGTTTTGGTTGAGAAGGTCAATGGCCAAGTGTCACTCACGAAGGAATTTTGGGATGCTCTAGAGCAAAGGCTTGTGAAGGACCAGAAGGCGCCCTTGTGGAATGCACTGCTCCGAACGCACGAGCAGCAGCTGAGGACCATGATCACCGACGAATCCGAAAAGACGTACGTGTCAAAGGAAGAGTACCTTGCGGTGATTGACAAGGCCGTCCACGACCGATTTGGAAATGTCCTGGCGAAAGTGGATCAGCGAGCTTCACAGATTGCCGGTACTGTCTCTCGGGAGACTGTCGAGGAATACATGAAGAAGAACGCGGGCTCTTTCACAGAAGAGGACCGTCAGGCACTTGCCCAGTTCACTCGCATACAAGCCGCATACGATGCAATCAACACAGTCAATTTCTTCGACCCAGGCCTCGGAGCCATAGTCGTTCCAAAGCTCACCTCTTCGACCCAAAAACCACCACCACGCACTTGGCGTCAATACCTTTGGTCCTACCAAGACTTGATCCTCATCTCACAATACCCTCCATCCGAGGCGCTTAACCCAACCGCCAGCGCCAGCGACTGCTGGTGCGCATCACCCTCGATCGACCGCAAAGGCAAAGCGCAAATCACAATCCGCACGCCGCTAAAATTCTACCCGGATACCCTCGTCATCGAACACATCCCGACCTCCGGCACACTAGACATCTCCACCGCGCCCAAAAACTTCGAAGTCTGGGCCGAGCTCGACTCGGCCGCCGCCGTCGCCAACATGCGTCGCAAGATCGCCTACTTCCTGGGCAACGATCGCAGCGCCGAATGCGGACCCGCACCGACCGAGAAATTCCTCTGCATGTACCGCGGCGAATACAGTATCCGCGCCGGCGTCGGAGCGATGGCTGCGGCGCAACAGCATGTCCAGGCGTTCAAATTATGGTATCATCCCATTGAGAGGTTGAACCTTCAGACTGATCTCGTCAGCGTGCGGATTACCGAGAACTGGGGTGCGGAGTGGACGTGTCTTTATCGACTAAGGATGACGGGCTCGAGGACGGATGTTGGGCCCAGTGGGGAGGTGGATGGTGAGGTCGGATGGGATTATTATGGTGAGCCGAGGGATGAGGACGAATTCCCGGCGGAGTTCTGGGAGAAGGGGGAGAGTGTGGGCGCTGGTGGGGGCATGAAACCCAGACAGGTGCAGACTGTGTGGCATGAGTAGAGTTGCAGTATGTTGAAGAGCATTTCTGGAAGAACCCACTCATTCCTCCATTGGATGCTGATATTGATACTGATATAACCGCGTCAACATCTCCCGCTTGCCTTGGTTTTCGACAGGAAACCGTTCTAAAGCATTTGCCTTTGTGTGGAAAAATAGACTTGCAGTATTCCCGACTACTGATCGTTGTTCACGCCGTTATTCTTTTCATTTGGCTTTTACAAAGAATAAATTTATGTTTTTTCGAGCTGTCCGGGGAAAAACCCATGGCTCGTTCACGACTCCCGCGGTTTACATATGATGTGAGTGGACTGCAAAAAATGGCTCGTTCTCAAGCAGATCGTCCTCGATGAACGCATGCTCGGAGGCCTTTGCGGGGCATAGTCTCTCTGACGTACGCTACATCCTCAATTTTTCTGTCTCTCTTCTCTGCTGAGTCGCTCTTGGTCATTGATTTCCATCGCACATGGCGCGCATCGTTCAGGATCATGCAGACGCATCGCTCACTCGGGGTGTGACATTTCTCGTTTAATCACCTGCGTCGGAGTGCCCGTCCGACATGACCGAGGCGTTCTATAATGGGCCCTGGATGCCCGACGAGATACGGCCGTGATGACGACGCTTCAACAAGGGATAGGGCGTTTGACCTGTCGGTCGTCCAGCTGAAGTCCCGGCGAGAAGAAAAAACAGTGGAGAAGGCTTGGAATGTATGACATCGATGTGATTTCCTTTCCGGGACTAGATTACGATTTTCGCGGCTGTGGCTTGCTGAGATTCCGTTGAGGATTCGCCGATCTTCTTATCACTGTCACGATTATTTCCCCTCCACCACGGAACCACACACACACATACTTCGTCATCATCATCATAATAACTGCCGTCCTGGCTGGAAGAGACTCGGCACCTCCTGATCCGGAGTTTGAACGACACCTGTTTGCCGATCATCCTCGGAAAATCCTCGTTAGTGAGGAGATGCGAGAAAATCGCTCCGTGCCATTGAATCCACACGTACTTTTCCCTCTACACGCATGCACTTTGACTCGTGTGGGTAGATTTGCAGACAAGGCATGAAGGAAGGCGCTTCAAGTTGTAAAAACGGGCTGCTACGCACAACAGCGAGAACATTTCCTTCTCTTGGACAGAGCCTCCGAAGCTCTCACAAGGCTGCAGAATGACTTCACTGTTCTCCTCTAGCGTACATGTCCAAGGCGCGGTGCGTCTACTAGCCGACCGGAGCGAGATCCATAATCAGGGTCCTCAACCGTTGGATGGAGGAAATGGACGTTGCTTCCTGCTTCGAAGGGAACCGTTTCCATTATCGTTCGTCACAAGACAAAACACGCAGGAAAACGTGGTTGTATCCCGTGGTGCCATTCTACATCGATTTCTTTCTGGAAGGTAGGGATGACAATCTCCGTGATGACCGGTCGCCAGCTGTGCGTTACATATCTAGCCAGGTATGGAACCGCGGGTTGAAACCCTCGTCGCTTGGTATATCATGACGACCCCGAACGGTAGGGAAACTTTCCGATTCTGATCTGTTTCAATTAATCTCATCGTCTTTACTGTACGTGAAGATTTTCAAGACCAGATTCATGTTCCTTTAGCATCTCAGATTGCGCAAGGCTCGAATCAGGCCCTTATCACCACTATCCATCCTCCCAACAATGGCTCCTCATGTGGCGCCTACGTCTATTTCAATATCGCAGAATCACAACACAGAAAGGTCGTCATGGGAGAGCAAACATCACGATCAAGATGAAAAGTTCGATGCGTCTCGCTCGCACTCTTCCTCTTCCTCTTCAACCTTGAACAATCCTTCGCGGCCTACCACAAGTCAATCAACTCCACAGAAAGCACAATCGCCGTCTAAAATCGCCCTCGACTGGGACGGCCCTGATGATCCAGCAAATCCCCATAACTGGCCGAAATGGAAACGAATCTACCATACCTTCATACCAGCCGCTATCGCATTCACATGCGCCAACGGCTCTTCTATCTATGTTCCAGGTCGCGCGAGTTTGATACAAGAATTCCAAGTATCCAGTGAAGTCGCACTATTGCCTTATGTCATGTTTGTGCTGGGATTGGCTTTGGGGCCCATGATCGCTGCGCCATGTTCTGAGTGAGTGTTGTTGATTGCAGGAACAATCAGCACCTTATTATCATGTCACTGATTCGGAGGCCCTAGGACTTTCGGTCGCCGCATCACTTATCTCTCCTCGATGCCACTATTCGCCCTGTTCACTCTTGGCGCAGGCTTCTCCTCGAATATCACCGGTGTAACCATCTGCCGCTTCCTCTCTGGTCTAGCCGGGTCACCAGGCCTCGCAATCGGCAGCGCAACAATTACTGACATCTGGGAACCTGCTGAACGAGCATTGCCCATGGCACTATACGTGATGACCCCATTTATCGGACCTGCCATTGGTCCGGTCTTAGGCGGGTTCACCGCCACGGCGAAAGGCTGGCGCTGGACACTATGGACCTTGTTATTCCTCACCGCCGTCAGTCTCACGCCGACCGCGTTCATGAGCGAGACGTATAAGAAAACGATCTTGCAGCAAAGGTTGAAATCGAAACAAAAGCAAGCACGCGCAGCCGGAGATTTAGCTGCCGAATCAGGGTCAAAGGAGCAGGTACCTTCCACACCTCAAAAGCCCTTCATCGAGTCGGCCAAGTTCTTTCTTCGCACAACCCTTACCCGTCCATTACATATGGCTCTCGTCGAACCTGTCGTGACCTTTTTCACAATCTACGTCTCCCTCAATATCGGCATGCTTTATGGCTTTTTCGCCGCCTTCCCATACGTATTCCGCACCAAATACGGCTTCAACCTCGACCAGATCGGATTGACGTTCCTCGGTCTTGGTGTGGGTGTTGTCGCCGGTTGTGTGATTCTGATAATCTGGAGCACGGTCTTCTACGCTAAGCAGGTCCTTCGTGCGGTCAGAAATGGTCAGACGGTAGCACCAGAGGCGAGATTGTGGATCGCGATGATTGGATCTGTGATGATTCCTGCATCGCTGTTCCTGTTCGGTTGGACGGCGGAGTGTAGCATCACATGGATTGTGCCGGTGATAGCAGAGGCATTTTTCGGATGTGGAAACTTGTGAGTTTCGACCTTGACCTTTTGTCTCTTTGTCGTCGATTCACTTTCCATGTGACTAACACTCTTCCATCCACAGCCTCGTCTTTATGGCCTGCGTCATGTACCTCATGGACTTCTACGGACCGCGCTACGGCGCCTCCGCCATGGCCGCGAACAACCTCCTGCGATATCTCATCGGCGCCGCATTTCCGCTGTTCGCCGTTCAGATGTACAAAGGTCTCGGCATCGGCTGGGCGACGAGTCTACTGGGGTTTGTTCAATTAGCACTGACCCCGATTCCATGGCTGTTCTATCGCTATGGTCCTAGGTTAAGGGAGAGAACTCGATATGCGAAGTGAAGAGATGGAAAGGTGGATGCTGATATGAGTTTTTGGAATTGTAACTTTTGGCTTGTATTTTCACGCTGCGCTTGCTTGCTAAACATATAAGATATAGACATAGAGAAATAAGATACCCCGCTCACGCTTTCGAATAAAGACATTCCTTATCCAACTCGCTGTGTCTCGGCGGTACCCTCATAGAGAAGAAAGAGAAAAGAAAAAGACAGATCATCCAAATCTGGAAAAATCCGACAAAAGAAATTCTTGAGAATCATCGTCTCGGTAAGACACGGACCTCACATGTCATTCTGGGGCCTCTGGCGATCATTCGATCCCATCACGCAGTGATCCCAAGTCCCGCGAGTCCACTCCTCATAGTATCCCAATGCAACCGGTCGACGTTGACCCCCACCGCCATCATGCCCACGGACGACGGTCGACCGATGCGCAAAGAAGGCGGCAGGTCCTCTTTCTCATCGCCCACCACATCCGACGCCACCTTCTGCGGTGCAGCGGGGAATGTATATCTCTTCTCTCTCTTCATCTGGGCTTTCTCTTCCTCCGCAGCAGCGGCGGCTTTCGCCTTCGCTGCGGCTGCAGCTTCCGCGCGCATCCGGCGGCCCACGTTGCGCGGTCGGCTCACGCTCTCGCCGGTGCGCCGCTTGATCGAGCCTTGACCCGCGAGCGCGAAGGCGGCGAGGTCGAGTGCGGTGCGCGGGCGTTTGGGGATGCTGGGCCGAGCAACGGGGAATTTCTCTCTCTCGGAGAGGTCGGCGTCGAGGCGCGGGCTGGTCAGGGTGATGAGCTTTGAGAGCGACATGCGGTTCGCTTGGGCTTGGGTGAGGGAAATCGGCGGCGAAGGGGGAGCGCGGACGGGAGAAGGTGGGATGGCGGAGTTCGGCGAGGGAGTTGCCAGGCGTGCTTTGCCGCTGTCGCTGTCGCTGCTGTAGGGTGAAGAGGAGATCGCTGTGGCGATGCAGCGTCGTGCGGGGTCCTCGGCGGGACTGGAAAGCGCGGTGCAGGGACTCTCCACCGCCGAGCTGGCGTTACTGGAGCCGCCACGGCTGTAAGGCGAGTGGGCGGAGGAGACGGCGGAGTTGATATTCAGCGACTCAGAGGACGAGGTGTTGATGGTGCTGATTGAGCGGGGAGCGAGGTTTCCCGCGGGAAGTTCGGATATGACCATTCCTGTGGAAGACCGTCTCGGCCAGGATGCGCGGATGTCGAATGAAGATTTGCTTCGAGGCGGGAATTCGATCGGCGGACTGCATGGGGTGGTCGCGGAGAGGGGGATATGCGATTTGGTCGCGTTGAGGGAACTATAACGACGCGATACCATGGGCGGCATGCTGACTTGGAGAGTGGGTCTGCTGCCGGCGGGATATTGCTGCTGCTGCTCGACGAGCATCGGTGCCTGGGCACTCACCCGTTTTGAGATTTCGCAAGGGGAATCCCGGCCACCGGCGCCTGTGGGTCTGATGGTGTCGATCGTGTTCACACGCAATTGCATGCTCCGACGACGGCTAGCCAGGGCCATGCTCTTGGCTCTATGTGCCATGCGGTCCACGACTTCGCGGATGACTGCGCGGCATTGTGTCCGCACACGCTCCGCGGAGGCTAGACTTCCGTCGATCTCGATGTCCGCACGCAGATGTAAGCCGGGCACGATGAAGAGGTTCTCAGTCCCAATGAAGCTGTTGTGGAACGCGGTCGAGCTGGATGGGTTGGTCTCAGTCACGAGGTATTTTACGCGGATCTGGACGCCGGTTGGTGCTTGAGTTTGAGTGTGCAGGCCGACGGGCGTGTTTGTGAAACTGCTGGCGTATTTGATCATGCCGGTGCTTGGCTTCCCTTTTCCGGGAGTGTATTGTACACGTTCCGTGAATTCATACCAGACTGTTTCTTGATCCTTGTGTGCATACCAGACTGGTTCATGGTTCTTGTGTGGTGATACGGTTGCTATCGGATCTGATGGTGATGGTTTCGGAGCAGATGTGATACGATACTCGGATATTAAAGGATCGGCTGTGATGATCTCAAGGTGGTTATGTAACACTTCAATGGCGAGATCTCGAGGGACAAAGTTTGGAATGGCGGTGCAGAGGGTGAAGTTCTCCTCTTTCTTGCGAAGGAGACTCATGGCGGCGACTTTTTGCTTTTCGATTCTTCTCCCGACGCTATTCATTTGGCTGATTCGGTGATATGATCCGACGATCTTATGGTGACGACCGAAGGTGTTGATAATTGTGAATTGATCACTTGTTTGGGTTCATTGAGCACGAGCAGGGGAGCGAGATATATATGATCATGAGGTATATACACGGTACTTAATTATTTTCTTTTGTTATTGATCCTACATACATCGCCGAGTTTACCGAAGTGCAGTGCCCCTGTAAAAACGCGAATGATGTCCAAGCGGGACGCACCAAGGAAGGACACGATGTCTGTGTGGTGAAATGTGGTGTGAGGACTGTGCAAGTGCCCAAAAAGCCACATGCGGTCGGTGTTGCTATTTTTGAAGCCGGGGTTGACGTGCGGATGTTGATTAGTCCTTTTTTAGTCTAGTGCGATTTGGTCATCCTTGACTCCTCGTGCACTAGACAATTGGTGCATTCAGCAGCAGGGACAGACAGCCCTCATTTTCTGCGAGCTATTGGATGGTCGTCATCCACATGATTTCTCCGAGAGATATGTCCCATTTATTATTGCCCACCTGGCTTTCCTTCCCACATCGGGGGGCGGAGTTGATCTCGCTGTTTCATCCTTCGCTTCAAGGCCGCCCACATGCAGACGATGAAACAAAATTCGCAGCCATAATCAATGAGATATCCTGTAGCAGACCATGCCGCCCACACGATCCATCCCTTCACGCTCACACTCACCTTTCACGATTGTCACGCTTCCACCATGTCCATCCTCCCGGTCGCGAGCACATAGCCTACCCAAGCCTTGGGAGAAACGCCATTTCATCGTCTGCTTTGCCTCCTTTCAGCTTGGCCGAGATGTCATGGAGATGACGGTGATGAGACTCCATCCCCCTGGCTACGACGACCATGATCAAGCATTTCGGTCACTGCTCTCCGGACTTGGCTGGTTCTCATTTGCGCGTTGAGACGTGGACACTGCGGTGTCCAGGGATGTCATGACACTCATATTAAGCTTCTGAAACTGTTGGCATCTAACATGGACTGTTGGTACATGATGTGCAAAATCGGCGACTGTCATCCAATCGCTCCTGGTACGTAATCCGAGGTCGGCTCCGAAAGCATTGTGAGGTCCACTTATCCTACCTGACAACCATGGGTGAACAAGGACGTCTAGTCGCTACTGTACTTCACCTTGGTTTGTTTGCCCTCGGCCGTGAGCATCGTGCATCATTAGACATATCCACGTAGCCAATAGCTTGACCAGACAGGAGGCCTTTGGCGTCCCAAGAGAGGCGCAGTACTCAGCTTGCTCATGCTTGCCAGAACGCATCTGGGGTTCAACTTTTCTGCCTTGGCCCGTGGTCTCGCATGGGCACATTCATGAACGACGCACAGACGGACACCGGTTCTACAACCGATACACCCGACGGTCCTTCCTCACAGACCTACTCTTTCAACATAGCGCAGAACGTAGGGCACAACATGATAATCCAATCACCAGTCTCATAGTCAGTGCGCGGGATAAAATTACATGGCACAGTATTTCAATGCAAGGGCAGATCCATTGATGAGCAATTACAATAGACGGCACAGTCGTCGAGACATCAGAATTGGTAAGGGCACAGATATTGTCATCTTATGGTTCACTCCGAGACCCACAATATGCCATACATATACGAGACCTCGTCACGGAGATAACATATGTAGTCATGAGGCACGGAGAAGCCAAGAATGATCGCAGTACATCATTGGAGAGGCACGGAGACAGCAATTCCAATGCCAACAGAGGCACTTACAACAGGAATGTCATTGTTGAAATTACATTCAGCGTATCGACACCAGCAAGTTTATGACACTCACGTCAATTTCATACGACAGCATCTAGAGCGGCGATCGACCATGTCCGCGTGTGGCAGTGAAATGTCATGATCTTGGCAGCTCGGAGCGTTAAGCGAGGACACGTCCAGATGGCGGCCGCGAAATGTCATAATTTCATGCATACTGAGAAGAGATGTTTCACTGAGAAGTATTCATCTTCAGAAACGGACTCTAAATTCCTCGGGGCTGTGTACCGATCGTGTGGTAAGAATTCCGGTCGCACGGGTACAGCCACGTGCGGTGCATATCAGGTCCCCAATCCACACACCAAAAAAATTGTCTAACACTGTCCGTCGACATGCACACCTCTGCAGGACATCTCTCGGAACAGACAGCTGCAGCATCCGATCGACAAAAATTTCTAACAATAAGCATTCGGAAAACTAAAAGTCCGCTTGTGAAACACAGACCGCCATTCCTGACTGCCAGCACGCCATGGCCGAAGCAAACTCCCTGCTGACGCGATTCAAGCTCGACAAACTTCTCAACACCGACACAGGAGGGCGTCGCATCGTGCTGTATGGGACCATCGATGACAAGCCCGCCTTGCTTCTCGCCGAGCGTGGCGCATTCTCTACCGACCCACAATATCTGGCGTCGTTCGCCCAACTCCTGACCCGCATCCAAAACCTTGGCGATAATGACATTTACCGGTGGTATCTCGCCAACAGCAAGATCCCCTCCAGCGAAGGTCAAGACGAAGAAGAAGAGAGAAAAGGCTCTCAGACCTCGGGCGCTGCGCCTCCGCCCGACCTCAAGATCAACCTCATCTACCCTTGCACCGACAAGCACATCCGCAAGTACAGCTTCCAACAATCCCGCGTCGTCCGCGAAACCCCACAAATCTACTCGCGATATGTCCGGCCCTACATGCAGCTCTGCCGCGAAGAAGGCCGGCTGAACTGGATCTTTAACATCCTCGACGGCCGCACCGAGCAAGAGAATGTTCTCTTCCGCTCCGCCGAGTCCGATCCAAACAACGACTACCTCCTCCTACCAGACCTGAACTGGGACCGCAGTACGCTCAGCTCCTTGCACCTCCTCGCTCTCGTCCAACGCCGGGACATCTGGAGCGTACGGGATTTGAAAAAGAGTCTGGCGCCGTGGCTCCGCCGTCTGCACTCGACGCTTACCAACAAAGTGACCGAACTCTACCCTGGCGTCGAGGGCGACATGTTGAAGTTCTACATCCATTACCAACCGACATACTACCATTTCCACATCCACATCGTACACGTCAACCTCGATGCCGGCGCCACGCAAGCCACGGGGAAAGCCCTGGGTTTGGAAAATGTCATCTCGCAACTGGAGAATCTCCAGGGCGGGGAGGATGCTGGGATGCATCTCCTGGAGTTGACGTATACTGTCGGTGAAGCGAGCGAGCTCTGGACGCAGATCTACCTGCCGTTGAAGCAAGGCAAGACGCCTACGGTGGGCAGTGGATGAAGGAAAGGAAAGGACTACGTCTCAAAGTTGGGATAACTCGACGTCTGTTTTTCTCGTTGGAGGCAATTCTTTCGCGTTGAATTGGAGAAACATCAAGGTTCTCGAAGCTCGATAAAAACGCGTGTGTCCCTGGCTCTATCCCATCAGCTTTCTATCCCCAGCGCTCGAACAAACCAAACCCGACGAAAGCTTTCGTCACACACACACACACACACATACACACACACGCACGCTTTCCCTCCAAAAACGACAAAGGATGCTATCGTCGACGGAAACCCGACTCACGGCACGAGAAAATACACGCACCGAGGGAACGAAAACGGCTGCCCGTCACCTCGCCAAATCTGCAGCGCAACACCCAAATTGCCAAGTTCAATCCCTAAGGAAAAAGTCCCGCGAAAGAAGGAAGGCGCTGGTCGCAGTACACGGGCCCATGCAACTGTTTCCGAGCCTACTTTCCCTGGTCTACGACATGCGGACAGGCAGGCAGGCAGGCAGGCAGGCAGGACGGTAGCAGCAGGTCCACGGCCAGCTCTGTATAGCGTCCGCACAACAACCAGCCGAGGGGTGGTATCATCCATAGGATATCGCCCGTGGTCGTAGTTGAGAAGTCCAGGAGGGGAAGTATAATCGACCGCTGCTGCCGCGTAGTGGGTTCTCCCTCCCCCCTTTCCCCTCCTCTCCGAGATGGTGTAATGCTACAGATAGCTCGAGAGAGATACATAGAGAAACCCACGAATTTCGCCCTTGTGGATCATCATCATCAGCACGATAAGGTCGATAACGCACCATCGGATTGTCTTCCGTCTGCTCCGCCATTGCAAACCTGGACAACCTCAAGGGCATCATTACCGGAAAGTCAGAGACTGTCTCCTGCCCGGTTTTGGCTTTTTTCGTCTTTCGCATTCGTATTTCGTCTATCTGCCTCCGCTATGCTGGGTGATAAATATAATCCGGAGGTTTTTGTTTTGGGGGGAAAAAGAAGTCCCCTCCAGACAGATTCTCCATCTCATCTTTTGCTTGCTAGCTTGGGCAGCATTCTACGTAGATCCGCGCTGCGACATGCATGCGTTCCGCTCTTCATGGATTTCTCTCGCCAGCGAGTCCCTTTCTTTGACATGCCACAGTCCCCCGGTAATTCCCATCCTCCTCCTGCTACCTTCACGACTCCGGCGCACTTACTTCCTCAAGGCGTCTAGGAACGCCTTCGGCGGCTGCTGTCGATAGCCCTGGGGGTTGTTCTCGGTCCAGCGCCAGAGGTCCTCGCAGGCGTCGACGAGGGAGCGCTTGGCCGTCCAGTTGAGCTCGGTGTTGGCGCGCGTGGGGTTCGCGGTGAGGTTGAGGACGTCGCCCGCGCGGCGCGGCGCCACTTCGTAGGGCAGGTCCCGGCCGACGGCCTTGCTGAAGGCGCTGACCATCTCGAAGACGGTGCTGCCCTTGCCCGTGCCCAGGTTCCAGGCGCGCACGCCCGGCTTCGAGGTGCGCAGGTGGTTGAGCGCGATCAGGTGGCCTTCGGCGAGGTCGAGGATGTGGATGTAGTCGCGGATGGCGGTGCCGTCTTTGGAGTCGTAGTCTGGAGGAGGGAAATGTTAGCCTTTGGCGGGGAATCTCATCATCGTCTCGGAGGGCTCCTTTCTGTCGTCTGAGGCAGTGAGAGCATTGTTTGCTGTCGTCCTGCCCCGAGATTGTGCCGGTAGACTCTCCTCCGTCCCTTCCATCACATCCGAGGGGGTTTCTTTGCACTTACCGTCTCCGAATACCAAAAGTTTCTCCCGCTTACCCACCGCGACCTGAGCCAGTAGCGGTAGCAAGTTGTACGGCACACCCTGGGGGTCCTCGCCCATGATACCACTGGGATGGCTTCCCGCCGGGTTGAAATATCTCAGCAATGCAGCGTTGTACTCCTCGCCGGCCTTCTCGCCTCCCGACTTCTTCGCGTTGGTGCGCTCCGAGTTGATGAAATCCGTGATCATCATCTCGACGGCGACCTTGGTGTTGCCGTAGGGGTTGGTGGGGCCGAGCGGGCACTCCTCGGGGATGGGGATCATGTTGGGGAAGCGGGTGGCGTCGCCGTAGACGGTGGCCGAGGAGGAGAAGACGATGTTGGTGACGCCGTGCTTCTTCATGGCGCGCAGGAGCGAGAGGGTGCCGGCGACGTTGACGCGGTAGTAGTCGAGCGGCTTCTCGCCGGACTCGCCGACGGCCTTGAGGGCGGCGAAGTGGATGACATTGTCGATGTCCGGGTGGGCGGCGAAGACGGCGTCCAGGTCGGCGTCGTCGGTGATGTCGCATCGGGCGTACTCGGGCCGCTTGCCGGAGATGAGCTCGATGCGGTTGATGACCTCTTCGGAGGAGTTGTAGAGGTTGTCGACGATGACGACCTTGTAGTCGGCTTCGAGCAGGGCCAGGGCCGTGAAGGAGCCGATGTAGCCCGTGCCACCGGTGACGAGGACCGAGCCGACGACCATGGTGAATATCGGGACGGAGGAGAGGGAAGCCGAAAGGAAGGGGTGGAGGAGATGGAGGATCGAGCAGGGAAGAAGGCTCAAGGGTGGCTTGTAAGGGAAGTGTTTTGGTCAAGAAGTGGAGATGTTGTTGGACATCTAGTAGTAGTAATAAGTGGACGAGGATAATGGTGGGAGATGTCTCTGGAACTTTTTCTCAATGCTTGCCGGAGCTCTCTGCACCAGATGAAACGAAGCTATAGTTAGCGCTACATACACTATTACTCCAGTGCTGCAGCATTGTCCAGTCCAGGTTTCGTCCAGTCCAGGTATTGTCCAGTCCGGTCCCAGTCCAGTACAGGTCTTCAGCCATGCATATACATATACAGTACCTAACTAGGTGCAGTAGTCATCAAGGGCATACTTTGGTTATTATTATTATTATTATTATTATTGTTATTACAATTATCACTGTTGACCCTGTCTGTCCCGTGCAGTTCCATGCAGTTGCTATCGAGCGCTGGCGGCTGGGGGGGTCCGCTCTCGGCGTTCAGATGCATCCTCCGCATGTCCCCTCACCCATCTGGCGGTGGACCAGGAAACCGAAGACCGAGACCCAATGGTTCGTGATGCTTGATTTATCTTGAACATAGAGATTCAGCGAGTGAGCGGACGACTTTCAATCACCCCGGCTTGTATTCGCAGACTCTCGCCAGACCAGCAAGGCATCAAATGGCTGAGCGTGCCTATGGAAAAAGTTGAGACGAACGATACCGTGTACTAACAACACGAGAGAGAGAGAGAGCGGCCGCGGGCATTGAGCGGCGGGGGAGGAATTCGGAGGGATTGCCCCGCCATATTTGCCCTGGTTTTCCTGGAATTGTCCTCTACTCGGCCCGATTCGGGGCATTGGTTACTCATCACATTCCCATTTCGGGTGACTCCGGAGCTTTCGACCAGCGCTAGGGTTCGGGGTTCAACTCCCTCCAGCTCCCCTTTCCCACCTGGGCACTACTACGATGGTTCGCGACTCGAGAATCTCTCTCCTGGAGACTCAGTAAAAATTGTATCAATGCAGCATCTCGGTATATACACAAGATAGACGTGGACAGATACGGCGATGTTGTCATACCATCGCCGAGGTCGAGGCCGTGGGTTGCGTTCGACGGAGCGTGATCAGCAAGTTGCGAGATAAGCATCAATCCCCCGTGATGAGGGCATCAGTGACCCGTCGACCGTAGATTACGAATCATAAAGCCTCTTCATTGTCACCCACAACAGGCAATTTTCCATGACACCCGTTGACCACTATCGGACAACCCGCCGACGGTAACAGTATCAGACAGGCAAGGATCCATGATCTTCCAAGATATTATAAATGTTCTACATGTTCTCAGAGAAGTTGACAAGGTGTCGATTGACCAGAACCTATAGAGCTCCCGCGAGCACTCCCTGCAGTATCCACAGCCCCAAGATCGCGAGACTGCCATGTCGGACAGCGCCCAAACCAGCCTGTGAGGGCCGGGTCGTCGTCGTCTGCGCCGCGGGAGGGACCGATGATGACGCTGCATTCGTCGAAGATGCTGTCGTGGTCGTCGTCGCGGCCGTCGAACCAGTGGCACCACCCGTCCACGACACGGAACTGGTCGGGCTCGTGATCGTAGTGGGATTCCTCGAACCCGACGACGCGCCCGTGCCGAGTCCACACGAGAGCTGGACGTTCTCCGCATCCTTCCCCGTCTGGAGGCAGCGCAGGAACGCGGCATGCGTGGCCGCCAGGGCGTCCTGGCCGGGGACGCGGACGAGGTTCACCGCGCACCAGACGTAGCAGTCGGGCTCGAGTTGCGGGTATGAGGTCTCGTTGCCGATCGTCGAACAGCACATGTCCATCGCCCGTACCCTGCGGGGAGGGAAAAAATCATCAGTCATGGCCCTTGTGGGAGATGTCGGGAGTCGTTGTGTGGCGTGGCTCACCCTCCTGGTACTAGACAGTACGGCGACGGCGTGTCGACGACCGGAATGGTAGTCCCGTGGCATTGATAAGTCGCCCAGTAATCCGTCCCGTTATCTGGTATGCCATAGCGAGAGGTTGCACCTTGCTCCACGCCCTGTGGAAATGCAGATGCCTCCGTCATGTTTTCCTTTGAATTATATCTTGTTGGACTCGCGCGAGTGTTATGTTTGCTCGTAGACAGACCTTGGGAAGCGCGACAACTGTAGGGTGGAAGGAAGGTCCACGCGAGAGTGAGATCAGGGGTGTAATCTCGCTTGAGCCGCCACGCCGCAATCCTGCCTGTTAAAGTATGGATGTGTGGTGAAAGCGGGCCATGGACAGGTTAATGCATCCATGTATCATGTATCTTCACGGCTGCATCTCCCAACAGAGTAGCGGCAGCGCGACAATTCTGTTCATCAGATTGCCACCAATTAAAAAACTGCCCAGATGTTCTACCATCAAATGGTAGAGCCAAGCTTTTACCAAGCTTCGGCGGGCGAGGATATCAAGCTTCTTGCCTCATGTCTGCGTTTAGCGCCCCATTCTCGTACAAAAATGCATTCTACATTGATCGGACCGTCGTGCTGGTCGAAATTCCCCCAGATATCACTGGGAAGTGTGACTATGAGATCTCCACCAGCGCGCATATATAGCGCAGCCGGCCCAAACATTCGATTTTCGAGGTAGCCAGATGGAAGACACAGTGACTGGGAAAACGAGGTAGGTATAAGTCAGACGGTCGCATCGCGAATGAGAGGAAAAAGTAAATCACTATTCGACTGGCACCCCACCTGGTGCGTCGCTCGCTACGCAGATCGAGTAGAGAGATCTTCAAAAGGGCTGGACTTGCGAATCAATAGGATAGAAGACCAAAATAGATCGGGATAAAGCGCACGAAGCCACGCCTTCAGCGGCAGCCTCAACGTCATTGATCTTTCGTCAATTCAGCAATCCTCAAGCATTGGCGCTTGACTCAAGACACCCTGCATCGAAGGCCAAGTCTCTCTATGACCAATACGAAATGCACCTGAACGACTTATTATTATGAAGAAGTCGGATCTCACGCTGACTAATAGTAGTCCGCTTGAGTACCGTCCGAGAGCTATGATCGATATCAAAGCAGCCATCGACAGGCCCATCGCCGGTGCAAAGAGGCGTCAAAGTCTTGGTCTCCATGTCGCAATGTCGGCCATTGGAGCGGAGCCGACAAAGTCTGGACTCTAGGATGTCGCGGAGCCGCAGAGATCGACAAGCCGGCCTGCCAGTCGTTTGCAAGGCAGGAGCAGAATGGGATCAGAGATGAGCGCCCAGCTAATCAATGAATGAATGGATGGATCAATGATCGCGTATTGCCATGGAGCCCATGCGTTTGTGGAATTTGGAAGAACAGCCACGGCAGCAATGTGAGATGACGATCATGGAAATGAGGGTCGATGATAGAGTTGAGTTGAGATGTGCATGCTGAGCGCCTCCTTGTGCTCGCCGAGTCTTTGTTTGGAAAAGAAATCATCATCGGCACATTCTCCTCGTTATCCTCAACGTCTTGCACGAGACTTTCACAAAGAAAAGCTTTCACGCCACGCTCATTGGAACAAACTAAACGATGAGCTTCACTTCTGAAGATTGCCCTGCCAGTGGCGGACGAAAACCAAAAGCCTAGACGACCAACCTCCGAGCCAATCGATGCACGTGGTTCTCTTCGATGTCCGCGACGCGAGGTCCGCCGCGCCAAGCGCTGGACTCCCGAAACGGGCAGTTTTCCTCTGATATCAAATCGACGGGAGAACGTTATAGCACTGTCGACCATTCCACGGCCGTTTTGGCTGTAAAGTCAAAATTGCCGGGCAGGGGGATATGCAACATGTCGATCGATAGACCATCGGTCCTGCTCCCGCCGCCGAGCATCTATGGCATTACGCGAGAATGGCTGCTGCTTTGGAGCCTCATGGACAGACGTCGATCGGTCACTCAAACGCTCGCCCGGGAAGGGCGAGTTGTCTCTTCTTCTTTCTTTTCCTTTTTTCTTCCTTCGTTGCCTTTTTTCTTCTTTTTCTACCTTACTTACTTTCTTTCCTTCTTTTTCCCGCAACTTCCCTTCCATTCTTCTTCTTGTTTTTTCTCCGCGTCACCGTTCTTCTTCCCCTTCTTCTTTTCTTTCGGAAGTGAATCCTGCGAGACTGACATCACGTGGTCTCCTCTTCTCCTGTGGGGGAGAATAGGGACTTTCCTCTGAGCCGAGGGACGACGGCGAGAGGACTCGTCTCTTTTCGTGGAAGAAAGGACGAATCTTTACACTAGAATGGTGGTGGTGGTAGTGGTGGTGGGAGGGAGGGAGATCTCTTGTGGAAAAAAGGGGGAGTCACGCGCGCGAGAGGATGTTCTGGGGGAGCAATGGGAGACGGGAGATGAGAGATGAGGGGGATTGGATGTCTGTGACGCTGGCATTTATTTTATCCATTTGTTGACGAAGAAGTATCGGGTTGAAACCTAAAGATCGGTGCTGTTGATCGGTGGTAGAATTTATAGGCACACCAAGGTACGATCCGCAGACACGGCCCCTGTGTGCTCGGGATTGGTGAGGATTCACCGCGATCGGATCATTCCCGATGGTCGTGGGTCGTGAGAACCAGGGGCTAATATGGGAGGGGAATTCGCGATCATGTCATGGCTTTGCATAAAATTCTATTTTTGGAAGAGTTTTGTCGTCCCTCCGTGGCGTCTCCCCTCGACGGATGCGAGGCTGTCCCTCCTACGTTGCCATCTCTCACTCATAAATGCCTTACCCCTCCAAGTGCCGTTTCCCGAACAGCGCTCAGGTGCTGCCGGGTCCGCCGAGCAGCGCGAATCTCCGCACGATGCTCGGTCCAAACTCGTCATACTCCGCCTTGGTGTGGCAGTAACTCCTGAACTCGGGGGTCTGACCGAGGAGACTGCCTCCGAACCACGGGCCGTGCCGTTGGCGTTTGTGCGTGATGACCTGGACGTCGAGGCCGCCGGATTTGGCCGCGTTGCCGGCTTTGACCTCGCTGGCGGCGATGCGGGCGTCGACGAGGTGGCGGATGTCGCGCTGCAGGCGGCGGCCGAAGTGCTGGTAGAGCGTCGACCCGCCGGAGAGGACGATGTTCTTGTAGAGGCCGCGTCGCACGTCGATGGGCGAGGATTGGATGACGGTGTCGACGATGTTGGGCAGGGGCGTGAGGAAGTCGGACGAGTAGATTTCGGGGTTGAAGAAGATCTCGGGGGCGAGGAAACGCTCGGGACCGACGTCGACGCGGACGGTCTTGCCGGTGGGCAGGCGGGCGTCGTAGATCTTGTACTGCTCGGCAGGCTCGCGGTCATAGCGGGCGAACTCCTTGACGATATCCGGGCAGACGTAGCAGAATTCCTCCTTGATC